ACCAGGGGCAACCCCGAGGTACACCATTAACTCAGATTTCCGAGATAGTGTATTCTGACGCACGTCTTTCGGTATGAATACATATGCGCCACACCCAAATATTCTTAGGTGCTTGATGCTGGGAGCCTCGCCATTTAACATCTCATAGGGGGTACGCCATTTGAGACGTCGGACAGGTGTCCTGTTGTAGAGATGAACAGCGTGCTCAACCGCAAATTCCCACCAGGATTCAGGTAGACATGCTTCATGGCGCATGGCCTCAGCTTTGTCCATTATCGTCCTGTTGAGTCGCTCCGCTCTGCCATTCTCCTGAGGAGTGTGCGGCGAACTTTGCAGGATCTGGATACCCTCGTCTTTCAGCATTTTGTCGAACGCTTCAGACTTGTATTCTCCCCCAGCATCTGACATCCACTTCTTAACCTTCTTGCCGTACTGGTTTTTGGCCATGGCTAAGAATTGGCGCGTGGCCGTGATCGCAGCACTCTTGTTGCGCAGATTCACTGTCCATGCATTGGAAGTGTAGTCGTCATAGTACAGGATGTAGTACCTATACTTATGGTAGGAGTCGATGGGAAATGACTTCACATCAGAGTGAATGAGCTCGAAGGGCTCTGTCGCTCTCAACGTAGATGGCGGAAATGCTTTGTTATGCATTTTCCCTTCCGCGCATCCTGGGCATATAGGATCCTCCCTAGGGAACTCTATCGAAGATGGGAAACCCTCGGTGTGTTTCTGTGCTTGCCGTAGTACGTCCTTAGAAGGATGTCCTAGGCGGCGATGCATAGTGTGGTAATCGACGGAATAAACCGTCTGATGGATACTCATTGCGTCCTGTGAAGGCAAGGACTGTATTTCGAATATCGTTGAACTAGGGTGCCGCGGCTTGAACACATATAGTGGTTCACGCGCTCCTTGTTCATAGAGGTCGACGTGCTGTGCACCACCGCGCACTGACATTCCTTCATGGAGGAACGTTCCCATGGATAGGAGACGTTGATGAAGACCTTGGAAGTAATAAACGGGGAATAATCTGGTCGTCGTATGACTACCATCGTCATTCTCGAAGTTCAAGAAGACTGTCCCACGCTTTGTGCATACGGCAGAGCCGTTTGCGGTCGACAAGACGATTGGCTCACTGAGGTCCTCAATCTCAGCAAAATCATCTAAATTGTTGGAAAAATGTAATGATGCTCCAGAGTCCAACATCCAGGAGTCTGACGACTCAACCGGCTCTGGTTCATGCCAAGCCTTAGCTTTTCCCTTACATTTGGTGCACGCAGCGAAATCGCGCGAATGCCGACAACCAACTGATTTGTGCAACGAACTACTGATACATTCATTCGTTACACTGCGACTACGACTGCGAATACTACGTCTCTTCAAAGTAGACCTAGTGCGTCTACTACTACATGCGGCTGTATGAAGCGCAGGGTTAGTAGGTCGCTTGGGAATAGAAGCTGAAGGGACTGACCCAGCATCAAAGTCCTCTCCTAAGCCGGCGGCGTTAGCCAGCTCGTCGTCGATGTCGTACTGACCGTCTGATCCCCAATCAAGTGGATCCTGAGTCGTAGGACCTTTGTCCTCGTCGTACGAGTTGTACGTCCCGTCCATGATCGCGTCGATCGCATGGCCTACTTCAGAACCATGACGAGAGCGTTTGGACGCCCGAGACTCTGACTCCGAGTCGGAGAGGTACTCCTCAATCCGAGTGGAATTGTCAATGACCTCAGACAACGTTGTGAGACGCTGTGAGGTGCCAGAGACGTCGATGTCTTTGGCGAGCTCGAGGGCACTCTTGAGCCACCGGTGAGCATTCTTGCTGTGGCCGGTTTTGGCGGGATGGGTGGTGACCGTGTGAGACTTGCTGCCCGAAGGCGCTATCTCGACGACTTTGGAGGTGGTAGGACCCGCTATCGACGCCTGCGAGGCGAGATGCGCATGGTCCGTATGATCTCCTTGGTTGGCGCGGGACTTAACTTGCTTGCCGCTGCGTTTACCGCGCTGCTTGCCTTTGCCCTTGCCTTGACCTTCCTTCGCACCGCTGCTGCTGCCATCCTGGCGCTGCTGCTGCTGGTTGAAGTTTGGTTCGCCGTGCTTACGCTTAACGGCGGAGATCTTCTTCGCGCTCTGCGAAGATGACGCCTGCTTGCCGCCTTGCTCGTAGGCAATGACGACAGACTCCCGGACGTAGTCGATCTTCATCTCCGTAAGCTCTTTGGCTTGGAGGATCGTGGTGACGACGGTGTCGTACCGGGAGGGCAGCGCATTGAGCGCTATCATCGCCCGCAGTGAAGCGGGGATGTCGATCCCTTCGCCCGCAAGCTTGTCAAACGCAGCTGCGATGTTAGCGAACGTCGGGTTTGGGTGCTCGTTCGGAGGGATCCGAGCATTGATTGCTGTCCTAAACTCCTTGTAAACACCGGCGGGGGTCTGCTTGTCATAGAGCGCCTTCAGCTCGTCCCAGAGGGCCTTGCTGGTCGTCTTGTTCTTGACAGCCGCCTTGACGGACGACGTCAGGCGAAGACGGATCGACCCCTGTGCCTTCTGATCGCGCTGCAGCCACTCGTAGTAGACTGAGGGATTCTCTGTGTCCAGAGTAGGCTGGGGCCAGGTCGAATTGACAATGATCCAGACCTCCTGCGCCATGAGGAAGGCTGACATGGATTCAGCCCAGGCGCGGTAGTTGGAGCCATCGAGGATGGGGACAGCGGTGAAGAGAGTGTTGGAGGCCATTGGTAGAGGGTTTGAAGTGATAAACTCAGTAAATGGGGAATACTGACAACAATGTCGTCAGCCCTCTACTCAATGACAAATGCAGCCTTAGAGGCGCAACCACCGCTATGGTGCATGTGCTGGGGGTAGCAGCAACAGAGTTGCGCTAAGACCTGCAGCGATGTACGCGCATAGTCCCCCCCTGGCTTCAAGCCACTAAGGCGAAGCCACAGGTAAGCTGGTGCGCACACTGAGACGCAGCCAGTGAGGCGCAGTACTCAGGCAGTGACGCAGCCAGTGAGGCGCAGTACTCAGGCAGTGACCAGGGCTCATAACCTGTTGAGCAGGCAGCTCCACACAGTGGTGCGCCCTCACAACTTACCTGCAAGGTTGGTGATGCTTGATGCACACGCAAGTACTTCGACTGAAGGTACTGGGGATTGAGCTACGCTACTGGGGTCCTTATATACATGAGGAGACCGCTTATCTAAGCTACTGTATAGTACGTTCCCACGACATACAAGGTAAGTGGCGTAGCCATGTGATAACACACAAATGACATCATAGATGACATCACGGACCCGGAGCTTCCCATAGAACCGGTCCGGCCTGTGATTGAACCCGGCAGCCCGGTAGGCGCCTTCCTAGTTCAACAACTGTTACTCTATACAAACAGTTTACATCCATTTACTATATATACCCTTTATTTACTCGTTGGCCATAAATGAAAAGTAAACTGTTGGAGCCTTACCTATGCCCGCCGGCCCTTACTTACCTACCGTAAGTTACCCACCTCGAGTTTCTTACGCTACCTTAGCGATGTTCGCGCTCTGGTCACCGCGTCTTGCGCTCGGTGTCTGACGGGACGGTCTTACGAGATTAACCGCCTTACAATGATGCTGACACAATCTATAAAATTATGGGACGGCGGTGTCGATGTGGCGCGCGTAACTCGCGTGGTTTTCGCCTACGCCCACGAGAAACGCACATGGAGCGCACATGGCGTCCACGTTCGCCGCGTGGCCTCAGCCACCTACCGGCCGGGCGCTCTCTCCTCCCCGGCGCCTGCGACCCCGCCCGAGCTGTCCCCGAGCGGGATTTCCGCGCGAAATGCAGGACAACTCAGTACCGGGAAATAGGACCTGTGAGTACACATGTGTTCCCGAGGCCTGCAAAGATGGGAGGGAAAACAGTAATGGGAGAATGTGACATAAATACCAGGAAAATAGCCAACATAAGTACCGGGAAAACAGGAAGACAAGAAATATTGCTGAATGTGTACCACAGGCCGGGAAGCATTGAATTAAAATGCAATCACAAGACTGAACATATTGGGAGCACCGGGAAATCAGTACCGGGAAATAGGATATCTGAGTAGTACCAGGAAAATGACACATAAATACCAGGACAATAGGGGATAAAATTGCCCTGATATTCTAAAAGTCAAGCATATCACTGACAGTGTACCACAGGCCGGGAAGCATGAAGATTAACACACAGAATTGAATAGAACTATGCTGCCAGCCCATGGCTTCGGCTGGCAATGCCCAAGAATATAACCTTCATAGTAACACAAAGCACAGAATGAAAGAACTGCCGCCAGACCTGAGGCGAAGCCCAGGTCTGGCATTGCCTAAGCATGGAATCTTAAAAGTAACATGAAGCACAGAATGAAGAAATCACCCGCCACGGGCTGGCAATGCCCAAGCATATAACCTTCAAAGTAACACAAAGCACAGAATGAAAGAACCGCCGCCAGACCTGAGGCGAAGCCCAGGTCTGGCATTGCATAAGCATGGAATCTTAAAAGTAACATGAAGCACAGAATGAAGAAATCACCCGCCACGGGCTGGCAATGCCCAAGCATATAACCTTCAAAGTAACACAAAGCACAGAATGAAAGAACCGCCGCCAGACCTGAGGCGAAGCCCAGGTCTGGCATTGCATAAGCATGGAATCTTAAAAGTAACATGAAGCACAGAATGAAGAAATCACCCGCCACGGGCTGGCAATGCCCAAGCATATAACCTTCAAAGTAACACAAAGCACAGAATGAAAGAACCGCCGCCAGACCTGAGGCGAAGCCCAGGTCTGGCATTGCATAAGCATGAAATCTTAAAAGTTACATGAAGCACTGAATGAAGAAATTGCCCCGTAAACCCGTGGCGAAGCCACGGGTTTGCGATGCTCGTGTAGATAGGCTCGCCGACGGTCGCGCGCGGGCGAGGCGGTGGCGGTTGCTGCGGCGGCGGGCGACGGCGCGGAATAGGCGCTGGATGTTGGACACCGCCCGCGCGCGTCTTCGGATTTCGTCTTCGTCTTCCTGCTGGCTCGGGCTCTCTGTCTCACCCATCTCTGTACATTAGCCGCAGCTACCCATGGCCCCCTCGCCGTCGTCAGCAACATCTGCGGCCGCCTCTGCGTCCTCGTCAGCTGCCTCGGGCACCTTCAGCGTCGGCGGGAACCTCAAGGTCGGTGTGGAGCGAGCCGCTCGTCTGCTCGCGTGCAGGTTGCCGAGCCAGGCTCATGCACTTCTGTAGATCGTCGGTATCATCTTGGCCATATCCAGTGGCCTCCTCATCGGCTCCAGCTTCGTCTTCAAGAAGAAGGGCTTGCTGCGTTCGCAGAGGGGTCAGGTCGCCGGCGAGGGCGTGGCTTACCTCAAGTCGGTGCGTCGGCTCGCCTCTCCTACCCCGCTCCCACTCGCTCACGTCCGCACTCGCCTAGCCACTATGGTGGACAGGCATGACCAGTGCGTAGTCGCGCATGTCCTGCCAATGCACGCTGACGCCGCACTTGACAGTGATGATCCTCGGCGAGATATGCAACTTTGTCGGTATGTCCTCCGCCCGCCTCCTATCCCGTCTCCTCACCCTCCCGCAGCATACGCCTTCGTCGAGGCCATCGTAGTCGTGCGTGCACTCCATACTACTTCTCTCCGTCCCTCCTCATGCGCCTCCGCTAGACACCCATGGGTGCCCTCTCCGTCGTCATTTGCGCCATCCTCTCCCACTTCTTCCTCGCGGAGAAGCTGAGCTTCTTCGGTTGGCTAGGCTGTGGCCTCTGCATCGTGCGTCCGCCCCGTTTCACTCGCCCTTTTTACTCACCCGGGACCCCTGTCGCACCGACTGCGCATGACACAGATTGGTTCGGTCGTCATAGCGCTCAACGGTACGCCCTCCTCCCTGCCTCCTGGCGGACGGGTACACACAGCTGACACGCCCTACCCACGTTCTGCGCATAGGGCCCCAGGAGGACACGCCCGGCCAGATATTACAGTTTGAGAAGATGTTCCTTGCCCCCGGCTTCCTCGCGTACGGCTCGACTCTAATCGCCGCCTCTCTCGTCATCATATTTTTCCTTGCTCCCCGGTGCGTTCCCGGACGCCCGTGTTGACTGATGCGGCCCGTCCTGATGTGGGGAATGTAGGTACGGGACGAAGAGCATGCTGTGGTACATCATGGTATGTAGTATGATTGGCGGTATCAGCGTCAGTGTCACGACGGGGCTCGGCGCGGCCATCGTCACCAGCGTGGAGGGCGACAATCAGGTGCGTACTCGGCATCGTTCTGCTCGTCCGCGCTCCGTGAGTGACCGATTATGGGTGGTGCGCAGTTCAAGCACTGGTTCACGTACTTCCTCCTCGGCTTCATCGTCATTACTCTCGGTGCGTAATGCAGTGACGCGGCGTCTATCTCCAATCCCTTCTGACACTCTTACGCAACGCGCAGTCACCGAAGTATTCTACCTGAACAAGGCGCTGGCGCTCTTCAATACAGGTGCGTCTAACCACCGTCTGCTCCCAACGCGAAGCTGATGATCGTGGTCGTCTATTCTCCTCGCAGCTATGGGTGCGTTCTCCCTCTGCTTGGCACGCGGAGGCCCTTCACGAATGCTGATGACTGCACCCTGCTCCAGTCACGCCGACATACTACGTGATTTGTGCGTCCGGACCCTCTCGCCTTCCGGCGGATCACTGCGCCCATACTGACATGGACTGCCTTCTTTCGCACCCGCAGTCACGTTCTTCTCCATGCTGACTACGATCGTGCTCTTCCAAGGCCTCAGCGCGCCGCCGACGCAGATCATCACGCTCGTGATGGGCTTCCTCGTCATCTGCTTCGGCATCACCATCCTCCAGCTCTCCAAGATCGACCCTACCGAGCTCAAGATGCTCGACCGCCGCTCGACCATTCTCCTGCAAGCCGCTAGGAAAGAGACGGAGGGTATGGATGAGAAGAACCTCGCCGCCATCGAGGAGCCCGGCATGGACGCGCTCCGCGGCACGTTCGGGATGGTCGGCAGCGTCATTAGGGCGAGGAGCGCGCATCGCATGAGCATGAGCAGTAAGGGGAGCGTGCGCAGCCGGTACAGCAACGCGCCTCCACTTCCAGGGAGCAACGACCCGCTCGCGGGCCTGAAGCGTCATCAGCTGTGGGACCCGCCGATGCCATCGCGCGCGCCGAGCATGGCGGATGTGAGCTCAATGATGACGGCGGACAAGGACCGGGCGACGCTGGACGAGCGTAGCTCGGTGTTCAGCGGGAGCGCGATGAGCGGCGCGACCGCGATGGGGAGCCCGGTGCCCCGCGAGCGGAAGCAGACAATCAAGTTCGACAGCCAGGACGTCGTGCATTCGTACCACATACCTGGCAGTGGCGACAATTCGGCGATACATGAGCGGCGCGGGGCGTCGCATCACAACTCGATGAGCCCGCCGGCCAAACCTGTGAGTAGCACCTCAATGAGTTGCTGGGAGTCTACTGGATAAGGGGATTGACGGTCACCGTAGACTTCGTCCAAGGAGGGCGACGCACAGGTCCTCACGCTACCTGTGAGCTCCTCACTGGACGACATCTCGGAAGAGTCTGGCAACAGGACCGCTCCGCCGCGCCTTGGCCTCACCACCGACCCATTCCACCCGCACGTCCAAGACATCTTCGAGCAGACACCCTCCACCGCGATTGAAGGATACTTTGGGTACTCGCCTGACGACGAGCCACGGCGGAGCGCCTCACCTCTTAACTCGCATCATCACGGACGATTCTGGCGGTCGCCAGGCGGGCGCAGGTACCCCTCGGACGGCGCGGACGACCGAGAGGAGAGCGAGAGCCTCTGGCAGCGACAGAACGATATGTCCGACGAGGACAGCCCCGCAGTGACGCCCGGTGGCGGGATCCGCCTTGTCACGAACCACCGACGATGAACCCCGCGCATCGCCGCTGTACCACCTCCGCCGCTATACAAGGCGGGGATTCCGCGACTCCTGGCTAGTGACTTATTGTGTTTGTGTGTGTGTGATCATCTTTTTCGGGATGTACGTTGGACACGACAAAGATCGCGGCCGGTCGATGACCGGTACTACTAGTTTTGACACTCCTTGACCCGGCGCTGCGGTACCTATCCTCTCCTATCTCCCCATCTTCCTCATCTTCAATTTCGAACACGGACTAGGACGGTTTTGTTGGCCCCGCTGTACAGTACATTACCCACGTCGTAGAGTGTGTGCACGAATGGTTACATGAGCTATAATGCCCTGACTAGCTGCCGGGTGCCGCACAACGTTATCACAATGGGGATGTCCTGAGAAGCGTACTAGTGCGGCGTTACCTGATTGATAGGTGCGTGGTCGCCCGCACGCGCACACAGACCCGATTCGGACGGGGGTTGAAGTCGTCCCGGTGGCGGTGGCGTGCGCGCAAAGGTTATATTGCCCGTATAACATAACGTCGATGTGGTGCTAAAGAATGCTTCTCGGGGGTGCTATGACATTACCAGCTCTAGAGTACGATAAACGTGTCGAACTTGTCCTAGTCCACTGCGCAGCTAGGCGGCCTACTAGTATGGTCCAACGGAGGAGTGTCAATGTCGCACGGTCGCGAAGAGGTACAGATATCTAACATATGTGGTATGGCGAACGGCGGTCATGATGGACATGTTACAGGAACGAGATGCAATGGCAGTCGAACATAAAGCATGCGAAATAGGCAAGCGGACAGATTTGGTTTGTTGACGATAGTGGTAAGGGGCAGCGGAGCATGAAGGAGACTAACGACGAACGTGCAGTCCAAAAGTCCAGCGGCGATCAACGTCGGGGGTGGATCATGACAGGATAGCAGGGACGGGCAATGTCTCTCGGTCGTACAGCAGCTTAGGCCTCATCCCACGCCTCGACGCCTCGGGGTAGACGCACTTGAGATTACGCCTCGCGCACTGACTAATGAGAACACAGTCAGTGGGCGAAACGCTGAGAGCTTCCTCGAACTTACTTGCACGTCCTGTCCTTCTTCCCTGGGGGCGGACTGCCGCATGCAATCTTGCGCTTACGACAGAAGAAGCACGCGAGGGTGAGCGGCTTCTTGGGCGTGTCCTCGACAGGTGCAGAATGACGTAGAGGTGCGGGGGGAGGCGGCGGGGGAGCGGTTGGTATGGAGAGTACTTGGTACGGGGAAGCCAGCGGGGCAGAAGACTGAGCGATGTCATCTGAACCACCGTGGTAGTCCTGTTGCATGGCGATAGGAACGGGGCGAAGAGGCTTCGGCTGTGGGGCATGAATTGAAGGCGGATGTTGAGAAGATGGAGAAGGAGAAGGCGAGTAATCGAAGTTCGGGTACACGTAGCGGTCGTGCCTGGGAAGAGAGCTAACCATAGCCTGCTCGTGAGACGAAGACGGACTGTGCGATGTATCTGAGTGGTATGACTCCGTCAGCGTAGAGCCGTATTGCAGGTCTTGGCCTCGGCGGTCCTGTGTAAAGCTATGGCTCGCCTGCAAGGCGGCGCCGCCAAAGTGATGATCTAAGACATGAGTCACAACTGCTGGAGCGACCTCAGCGTGGCGGACGGCTTACCGAAGTTGTGGTTCTGCCCGCGACCTGGGTACGAGTGTGGAGACAAACGCGGGTGGGCGGAATGACTGTAAAGATATTGTCCGCCGACATTGTGCTCCGTCGAAACCGGCTGGCGACCTTGCGGATAGTGAGCATAGTCGCCGCCAGTTTCACAGATTGACATGGATTGCTGCTGAGCAGCAAAGTCGGATGGCATCTCAGCGGCACTCTTGGGAACCCAATGCGAATCAATATTTTGGTATCAACTCGGTAGATAGTAGTCTCACCGGAGCGGCAGGATAGTCACAAGTGTGCGCGTCGCACGCTACGTTAGAGTAGCTGGAATGGATCGGATGAGCACCGCCGGGTTCATAGTCAGCAGTAGGGGCCGAATACTGCGACTCGAAGCCATGGATGTAGTCGCCCCGGTCATGTTGTGCGAAGAACGGCTCTGACACCGCGGAAGTTGGGCTGTCCGACGGATAGTCGTTTTCCTGCAGATAGTCCCAGTGGCGATGATGGATGGCAGAGTCAGAGACTGCGGAATACTGGTGGCTGTCGTCCTGTCCGCTAGGGTACGGGGCAAGCCCATAAAGACCGGGCGGTACAATCGGTACCGTCTGAGACCCGGTAGAAGGGTGCTGCGCCTGCAACGTCGCCAAGTAAGGGCCCTGACTCATTCGACACCGTGAGCCCATGGCCGCAGATGAGCAACGTACTACGAACCTGACTACATCCAACTTCATAAGGCGCATCGTAGCCGTTGGTGATAACATAGGGAGCATGCAGTCCTTGCACGGTGTCGAAATGATTTAGCGGTCGAGAGATATCGTAGACAGGAGACTCGAGCAAACGATACGAGGAACGTCGGGCGATGTTTACATGAGCAATCGGCGCATCAAGTGGGGAGGCAAGCGAGTCGGAGTCGGACTCGACATCGGTGGCGCTGGACGGAAGCAAACGCGGAAGCATCATGGAGTTGCGAGCGAAAATGGAAGGTATCTAGGATGGGCCGTCAGAGTGTCCGCAGACGGGCTGAAGGAGCAGAGGCCAGTTTGAGAGTGAAGAGAGGAGGAGACGCATTCCGAACTCACATGGGTTTATAGTCCTTTCTATTAATGACCCTGGGTGGATTAGAAGTCGGCTGCGTCGGGGAGAGGGGCGTGTTCTTTAGGCGTCTCCCAGCCAAGGATCCGGGGAATAACGCTAGGCCAAGTCATCTGATGGGCCGAGCGACTTAAATCGTCCGTCATTAACCGTGTCACAATCCGACCGCCACGCACCTGGCAGCTAACGTTTATCAAGAAGCTAATCCTGCTCGAGCCATGCCTTTATCGTGCAGCATCACTACCGGCCGCGATGTTTGAACTACAGTATTTGGAGACGGCCTTGTTGCGCAAGATTTGCTTCCGCGGCACCCTGACGCAACCCCACGCGATCAATCTGCCTGGCAATTCTGTAATAGCCCAGGGCAGCCGTATTTGTAGCAGTCACAGCCATCCTGAAACCGGCTTCTGGTACAGGGGATCTCATCTAGATGCGCTCGGGCCCCCGTAAAGTGACTGTTGTACGTACACAATCGAGGATATCTCCCTCGGTGATATCCCGTCGAGCGACTTGCCTTATGTTGACGACTTTGCTTTTCATCCGCTGATCGCCACGCTGCACCCAGAGTCAGCTCTCGCATCCTAATCATGTCGAAGCTCCCCGAGTGCACCTCGCTCGCTTCGATCTCCCATGGGCCTTACGACCCAACTCCGCAGAAGGTTTGAACGCAAACAACAACACGTGCTTCGCGCGCGAAGCCCATCTCTTCTGCGAGTATTAAATGAAGCTTGTATAATGTGTCTTGTCCTTGTTTGGTGAATCGCCTTATGCTCCTGGCGCAATAAGCGTGCGCAGCATGCGTCAACGCTGCGCCCGCCATGCCGCGACACACAGCCTTCGGTGCCGGTACAACAATGCACCTCTTGTTCGAGCAGGCTGGGGCGACGCCAGCAGGGGGCGACTAGCTCCGGCCATGTAGCACGCCGGGCGTCGATAGCGCTTATCAACACTTTTGTCTGGGACAGCGCCGACTACAAATTCCTCTGACAGGCGACATGCCGCTGGTGCAAGCACAGCTCGCGACTCATCCGGCAAGCTCAGGAGGCTCGACGCCATTTGCCTCTGCCTGAGAGCCGCGACGCAGGCCGAAGCATGACAACCTGCGCAATCGACGCAAGCGCCGTGAGAAGTGACGCCTCGTTCATGGTATGACCTCGCAACAGCACTCACGCCGAGGTTGACATACAGTACAGAGTCCTCTGACCGAGAGCTAATTGTGCCCTGGAGATCATGCGGGTGCACTACACGCCGACAGGTTTGATTTCGCTTCCACCGACAAATAGCGTAGTGCGTTGGCGCATTCAAAGGGATCGATGTCGACTGGAGTAGCATGCCGTCAATACTGAGGACTGTCGGATAGGAGAACCGAAGCGACTCGCCGGAGACACTGTCAGTGCTCACACGAACGTATCTGATCTTGCAGCGATAGCGCCCAGTGCCGCGACGTTCTGAGGCTGCGTCCGCGTCCTCGAAACTGAGACCAGCGGTGCGATACTGCTGCGAATGGTCCTTCCGGCTGGGGTGTGCCGCCGGTTGAAGCACGAATACGGGCCGGTACGCCTGTTCAGAGCGATAGCATCCTTCCGCCTTCCGCGAAGGCCGGCCGATAACCTCGATTGGCTGTCGCACTGGAAGACGAGACACGCTGGATATAATCTCGTCATATTAAGCAATGGGCTCCCTTACACGAGGCTGCCTGATACGGGAAGCTCGCCAAAGAAGCACCATTCCCAAGTGGCGGGAACACAATGGATTGTGAGGAAGATTGTCCGTGGAGCCTGGCGGGGCTATTGAACCAGCGCCGCCCAGCCACGAGATCCGAGATGGCATGTCAGCTCGTCGGAAGAGCAGGCACCCCACGAACTAGGCAAGTCCATTCCCTGCGATCGGCTGCACAGTCTGCGCCAAGGGCGATGCGATGATCCCGAAGCATCCCGAGGCGTTGTGCGAATAATGATTGAAGCGGAGCCTTTCCTCTGAGTAGAAGAACCATATCGGCAAGCGAGATGGGCGAGAAGAGGCCTGGGTCGAATGAGCCGCATTTGGAAGCAGGCTAGAAGTGCGAGAAAATGCTCCCCGGCGGTACCTATTGAACGTCGATCGTCTGCAAGTAGAAACGACGTGCTGCTACCGACCTTCAGTATGGAGGGGAAGGTTGCCCGGTAGACGCGTGGTCCGGCTGCAATGGTACCTCAGTTGCAGCATGCCGGATATCAATGAACTCGAGCAGTACCTGAACGAACTGGACATTGCGTTTCAGTTTGATGTGAACCGTACAAAATGGGCGTTGGAATGGAGAATCCCGGGCTAGAACGCGCGAGCTGGACCTTCGGTATATATTGCAGCCACGGGCGTGCTGCGCGAACGTGTCAACGGTCTGACCGCGCACAGGAGGCAACAGTGTCGCGTGTGTACCATGTGCGAGGGCGGCGACAAGACAGTGGTCGGCCACAGTGAGGACGTTCAACCGGTGGAACTCGCGTGTACGACACGCGTGTGTGGCTGTCGACGCGTCAACGACGTACCACACGAGCGTTCGGTGGAGTTAATACAAGGCCCGCGAGCAGAAGACACGAAGACTGTGAGACTCGTTTCAACAGTAGCAATAATTCACAGACCGAAGGGTTCCTTGAGCGTCCATCGAGGCCTCACAGCGCCGATAGAAGGAACATTGCTACGTGTGGCCGAAGAGAAGGCAGTGATGATGCAATGGGCGTACCGCGGCCTGCCGAATCCGATAGAATGGGAGTAAGCTACTGGACGCAGATATGAATGTGAGAACATTGCGAGAGCATGTGCTTGCCTTATGATATTCAACGGCGTCATCCCAAAGCGGCACGAAACGCGTTCTTGCTTGATGCTGCACGCGAGACGTCTGTAGGATGGCTGACGGGTCAGTAGACTTGACAAGGAAGTGTTCATGCGACCCCCGCATCGCATGCATGACCGGGTGCATGTAGCCTAGAAGCATCCAGGTATGATACCTAAAATCGATTCACCCCTGAGTTGCGTCGAAAAAATCCTTGCGTCCGTCAGCGATCAAGCAGACAATCGATCCAACGATGCAACAAGCTGACGACTGCGGCGGGTCGACATGCGAGTGCTCACAAACGACGTCACCACTGTAAAAAATCCTGGTCGTCGACAACCTCATTTGCCATGTGGCATTGCGAGCCATCGCCGAAGTTTGTCGTAGTTGCAAGGGAGGCAGCCCGACGTCGCCGGGGCCTTCGCGTGCGCGGGGTCAGCAAGCAGGTAAGATAGAGTCAGATCCGGCACGCCTCAAAAGGCATGCGCGCAAATAGCGAGCGGTAACATGCTCCCAACCGCCGCTTATATGCCTTCCCACTCCAACCGTAGCGCACCGAGTCCAAGTCCGAGTGCGAAAACCGAATGTTTGCATACGACGAATGCGAATACGAATGCGACCGGGAAGAAAGACACGACGTCGTTATCTCGCCTACAGGGATACGGATACAGACGTGCTCCACCGGGGCTCGCACCACCACGACGGCGGAGGGGTGAGCGGCGCAGAGAGCCAGGCTGGGTGTCAGGCCAGCTGGTGGGGCTCTGGGAACGGGATGGGCTCCGATGTCCGCGCCGCTTCGCCCCACGCGAGGAGGCCGACGTACGGCATGAGGTTGTACTTGAGTGTGTAATGCGCGGGTGGCGCGTTTCTGTGGAAGGGAGAAGGTCAGTGGGGGTTGAGAGGGCATGCGTAGTGAATGGATGAGAGTGCGAGGTGAAAGGAAGGATGTCGCGGAGGCGCTTGCTACGAAGAAGATACGCCAGTGTACGCGAATTTGCGTTCATGGAACGCCACGGTTGCTTGTCGAGATCTTCCTGCTGCAGTGCCGCTGTGCTGTCCGCGCAGGGACGCATGAAGCTATAGGCTATGCCGGTAGGAGGGTTGCCGACGCGGCAGAATATTATTCTGATGCGCGTACGGGCCAGACCGTCGGCGAATAATAAAAATAAGACACGCACCGGAACGTCGTGCTCATGTCTTTGAGGTGGTACTTGTTTTTGAACGTCGATGAAATGTTCGCGTCCTCCTTGCGGCGCACGATGCGATCCCAAATGACCACTTCGTTGGCAGTCTAAAAGGGCGAAACGCATGGTCAGCACGCGGATGGAAGCGCTGCGGAGGATATTGCGAGGTCAAGACCGCGACCTGGGCCGCATCACGCCCGCAGAGCGTACACTCCGCCGATAGAACGTCTGGCAAGGCGAGCCGCGAAGATGGCGCTTTGGGTTAGTCGAGTCGGAGTGACCTCACGAGATGCATCTCAAGGTCCGCTGGTATCGGAATCGCGTCGCGGGCCGTGGGCCGGAGACGAAGAACCGCGGCAGTTACCAAACGCGCAGGCATTGTGAACGAGGGTGACAAGAACAGCGTCGCGAGAAGAGGAGCGGCAAGGCAACAAAGAGGACGAGGAAAGAGAGGACGTACGCCCTGCTGATCGGTGTATTCGGCGCTCACGTAAAGGAAGAGCTGCTTTGTGTTCCAGTGGAATAAGGGTGACAGATCTGTAAGAACGGAGGGAGCGTGAGTGCGAGGAAGGAGACATGTCGTGAACGTTTGAGAAGGGAACGGGGACGCTTGGAAGATAGGCGGGACGGCAGCGAACATAGCCGGTACGGGGACTCGCTGCTCGCTGAGTGCGTGCAACTGATGCGCGACGAGGAGGACGCGGTCGGGACAGGCCACGGATGGGGCGCCACAGAGGGCAATAAATGCGAGGGAGGTCCTCGTACAGACGATGAGCGACACGGCGCCATCACATCGTTGTCGGTGCGCGTGATGGCCTAGACTGGACGATGCCACGTTGGGGCAGGTCCAGTCTCTATGTCGACCGGGCCTACACCCTCGGGGTGGGTACTTGGGTGCGCGATGGGAATGCGGGGTAGGCGGTCCAGTGCGAGGGCAGGGATTGGGGCACGGGAGGATCTGAAATGCAGGCGCCTGTGGCGAGGGCGATACGCCGCAGACCCTTGGACACTGTCGCCTGCGCGTGCCCAGCGCGGGTGGCGACCCGCTGCGGCGTGTGAGCAGGGCGGGGGAGGAGAGGGTGGTCTGGGAAGGGACGAACCGCAGCGACACATCTGGGGGACAGAAGGCACCCCTCGTGGACGCACGCATGACGGCGGTCTAGCGGAGGAAGCACTCGCGACACAGCGTGGGCGGGGCGGTTCTGGGCGTGCGTGTTCTCAGCAGCACGGCGGCGGACAGTACGCACCTGCGGTGAGGTTGAAGTTGACGAAGGCGAACTCTTGCTGCTGGCGGCTTCTGTACTTGCGCAGGTAGCGCCCCTTCCCGGGCAGCCTGTGGGGCGTTAGGGGGGGCGCGCGCGGGGGCGGGCCACGCACACTTTGATGCTGTTCACGACGACGCCGGCGGCGGGCGGGGTCTGGTACGTGTGGTACAGCGCAGAGGCGATCGCGACGGCCAGCACGAGGCTCATGAGGCACGACGAGAGGAACGCGGACACATTGTTGACGCGCGAGAAGATCGTGTGCATGGCGGCGGCGGCGAGGGCGGCGGCGGCGAGGACGACCGTGCGGACGACGGAGGCGGCGATGGCGGCGAGACGTGGTGGCGCAGGTCGCGTGACGCGCGTGTTGACGGGTGTTTGGTGCTGCCTAATCGGGGCACGCGCCGCAGCGGGCGGGTGGCCGCCGACGCCGACGACGACGACGCCTCCTCCGACACCGCCCAGGCGGCCTTCTTGCTCTCCCCCGCCATGCCCGACGCCTACGTCCTCCACAGAGTCATCCGCCGCGTCGCCGCCTGGGCTGTCGTCGCCTTCTTCACCGAGATCCACATCATCGGGACCGAGAACGTGCCCCGCGATGGCCCCATCATCGTGTAAGCAGCTCTCGGCGTCGCACACCATGCGCTGCTCACCGCCATCCAGCACGGCCACCCACCACAACATGATGATAGACCCCGCCGTGCTCGGTGCGTCTCCTGTCTGCCAGCTCGCCTCGTTCCTGACCCTCCGCCAGCGACCATGTTTCCCTACCAGCGCATATTGCACTTCTGGGCCAAGGGTGCGTCGTCCACGCGCCCGTCTCTTCATTCATCTCACACGCTGCGCAGCGTCGCTCTTCGCGAACCCCGTCGCGAGCTACGTCCTCACCTCCGCAGGCAACATCCCGGTCGACCGCAAGGCCAAGGACCGCCGCCAGCTCTTCGGCGGCACCTTCAGCACCCTCGCCCGCGGCGAGGCCGTCGCCGTCTTCCCCGAGGGCACCTCCTACACCGAGCCCCGCATCGTCCAGGTCAAGGACGGCGCCGCCTGGGCCGCCCTCGAGTACGCAAAGTGGGCCCACGAGAACTCCCACAAGGTCGCCCCCGGCGCCGACCGCGCGCGCATCGTCACCGCCGCAATCGTGTACACCAACAAGACAAAGTACCGCAGCAATGTGCGTCCACCCCCACGCTGTCGAAGCCGTGCTGACCACCCACGCTGATCCTGCTCGCGCTTCGCTTCTACACAGGCCATCGTGGAGTGAGACTGCTTCGTCCATCCGCCCGCGACTTGCTGACCATTGGCCCGCGCCGGCGTCACGCAGGTACGGTCCGCCGATCGACACGGACCCATACTTGGACCAGTTCCTGTCCGACGAGGAAGGCGCGCCCCGCGCGGCCGTCAAGCGCCTCACCGCAGCCCTGGAGCAGCAGCTCGTCGAAGCAACCGTCAACGCCCCTGACTGGTACGGCCCGGCCCATTAAGCTTTCATCCTGGCAGACGCTTATTCCTCGCTTCCGCGATAGGGACACGCTCTATGCCGCGCGAATGGCGAGGGACCTGCTCTGGGAGGACGAGAAGGCCATAAGCTTGGATGAGTTCGTCCCCGTCTCACAGACGTAAGCCTCGCTTCTCGCCTTCGCGTCCCGTGCACTCAACGCTCCACCCACGTAACAGCCTCGTCGACCTCTTCTGCACCCCAGACCTCGTCCCCAACCTCACAGCGATCAGGCGGCACCTGCTTACGTACTACTCCCTCCTCCAGTCTACCAACCTTACCAACTCGGTCCTCTCGTCTCTCCCGCTCCCCGACACGCTCGACCCGCATCGCCCGATCCCGCTACCGAGCCGCCTCTTCACGCTCTCCCTGCTCGTCCGCGACACCCTCGCGCTCCTCATCGGCCTTCCCTTCTTCCTCGGCCCGCTGCTACTGCATGTCCCCGCCTACATATTCGCACGCGTCGGCGCGCGTCTCGCCGAGGACGAAGAGGAAACACAGGCACAGAACAAGGTTGTCTTTGGCTTGCTGCTGCTATTGCTCATCTACCCGGCTACTTTCTTCTTCTTCTGGGCCTTCCTCTGGTATACACCGCTTGGCGCGCTGGCTTCGGGAGCGTTGGTTGTTCTCGTCGCCAGCTACCATAATAAGCTTGTGAACGGTGAGTGCACCTTTCGACTAGACGTCTATCCGCCAGTGACCAACTCGACGTTCTTCCGCAGACAACTACGAACGGTTCGCTTCCTTTCTGTACGCTACGATGCCTCGTACTGATCCCTGCGCAGCGTGAAACGCCTCGTCGCCGCCTGGCGCATGCTCGTCGGAGTATGGCTCCCCAAGAAGTGGGACCTCTCCCTCAATGCCCTCGCACAGTACACCGTCCCTCGCGTACCCGCTGAGAACGAATGGGTCGACCGCTCCAAGGTGAAAGCGCTCAAGGTCACCCCGACCGTTGTCACGCAGACCCCCGCGAACGGGACCTCCGCCGACGCGTCCGCTTCCTCGTCCCCGGCCTCGTCCCCCCGCAAGCGCCGTCGTCCGCCTACGCGCAGGCTCATCCGGCACGTCCTCCGCGCGCGCGTCGAAGCCGCCAAGGCACTCGCCTCGCTGTTCGAGCAGCTCGAGAAGGGCCCTGGCTCGGAGGGCAAGCGCGTCGCCGCGTCTGCACACCTCGCACGCGCGTGCGGCGGCGGCGTCGACCCGCACTCGCGCCCGGACTTGGCTACCTCGGAGGGCGTGGAGACGATGGCGGAGCCCGTCGGGTGGCGGTACGCGCGCGAGGTCGTGGGGTTCCTGCGGGCGCGCGGCGCGCGGATCGCGCAGCTCGAGGAGGGCGTGGAGGGCGACTGGGCGGCGCTGAGCAGCGAGGGCGAGCAGGATAGCGATGTCGTGACTACCGATGCGGAGAGGGACGACCTCGTGTTTGTCCCGCCTGGACAGCGGTCGCCCGTGAAGGCGTGATTGCGGTGCGTCTCGTCCTGTGGGTTTGGTTCTCTGGGAGTCTGGGTTGCACATGTATCTACTGCTCTGTCTATGTTATCCCATATAATCGCTCATTATGTTGAGTCTTCATGACGAAGGTCTGTTCGGATGTCCTATACTGGTGCAGTCGCCCTCTCGCAACGCACACGTTCAGGTCGTGAAATTCGAGGATAACCTGCTCCCTAATGGAGACTCATGCATTGACTCGTACGGACACGCCCAATAAACGGCGGAGTGGACCTAGATGTGACAAATTCTACGGTAGCGTCGTGCAGTACAGATAATTGATAATGATACGTGAACCGTTCCATGACAGCACAGCCAAAAGAAACGAGAGCGCACGAGAGCACGGGAAGAGGAACAAGACGACGAGGAACACGGTACACGCAAACTGCAGTCACACAAAGGTCACGATGCGAGAGAGGCTAAGGGGGAAATGATGGCCAGTAATTGGGAGAGCCAGTCGCGATCGACATCGCCTGGCGGCAGTTGGCTCTGTAGTACACCCAGGTGTTGGATGGATATCCGCGTGAGTGCATTCTCGATGCGAGTGGCAAGAGAATCGAGGAGGAACATGAGGTCGGTGTCGGACGCCTTGTCCATGACGGGTAAGAGCGCCCGTGGATCGAAGTTGTGGGAGGAAGAGGTATCGCTCGCAGCACTACCACCGGAAGCCGAAGCAGAACACAGCGGACGACCGGACGAGAGCATTTCCAGTCTCACGCACAGCATAGCCAGCTCGCGCATCTGGTTCACGCTGAACTGCACGCGTGATGCCGAGGGGTTTGCGTCCGTCTTGACAAGACTCTGACGGCCAGAAAGATCACGAGGATACACGAGGGACAAAGTCTCCGGAACCTCCAGACCCTTCAGCTTGACCTGGCCAACGGGCACAACGACAATCCCGGAGTTTCGGATCGCCTCCACGGCCTGCGATGGCTGCAGGTGGGAGTATTCCGTCTCGGGCTCGGTCTCCAAGATCCTAGCATTGATTTCGCGAACGACATCCGCGCTGCACATGATCTGGCCTCCGGCTGCGGCGCCTTCGATTCGCGCCGACCGATTCACCATGGGTCCGAAGTAGTCCATACGGCCAGTGACTGGATCGGGCTCGCAAACAGGGATCCCACAGTGTATGCCCATCCTGACTGACAGTCCACGAGCGACGAGCTTGCCGCCCTGGTCATAGATTTCCTTCCCATCCTCGCACTCGAGGATCTCGAGGGGCCAGTCGACTTGGAGCAGCTGCGTTTGGACGCTCAGGCAGAACCAAAGTGCGGCCAATGCTGTTGGGAACGAACACATGAAAGCGTCGCCTTCGGTCTTGACTTCGTACCCGCCACAGCGTCTGAGCAGACGTCGGAGGAGATTGTTGTGCAATACGATCGCGGTAGGCATGCCGGCGTTCACCTCCCAGAGATGCGTGGAGTTCCGTATGTCCGTGAAAACCATAGCGAGATGTCCAGTCGGGGCCGGAATCTCGCCGTCGAGACGTGAGATATCGCGGTTATTGATGTGTTCATCTCTTCGTCGGCGCTTCGAGGAGAGGTACGCCTCCGTGTCAATAATCGACTCCATAGTAGGCTGTCGAGAGCGAGCAGGTCCTTTGAAGAGGTCGGAAACCGCGATCACCATGATCATGGTCGTCCCCACGGTCGTCCCATCAGCTCCATGGCTGATGGCTAAGTCACGAAGCTTCTGTGCGGCGATCATGGGGTCGCCGCGCTCGGTGCGGGCAATATCCACGGCGGTCTGGTAGGAGACGTGATCCCACAATCCTGAGTTGCCGACAATCACGAACTCGTCTTGTTCTGAGAGTTCCCACTTCGTGACGTATGGCCTGGCGTTCACGACGGGTAGCAAGTTGTAGAATCCAAATGACCGTGAGACGTCAATCTCGTCGTTGACTGCACCTTTGGGAGCCACCCAGCCTTCAGCGCTCCGGATGCGCAATGTCTCCTGCCTGTCGAACGGGTCATGACATCGGGACAACAACTCGGCATCACCACCGCGTGAGATGACTGCTAAGGACCGACCAATGTTCGCGACATATAAAGTCCTGCCATCTAGATGGAGAACAATGCCGGATGCGCCAGACCTCTTGTTTGTGATATCCCGGACCGCCGTTGACGTGCTGACATGAGACATCTTGCGCCCGGACGTCGAATAGAGGTAGTCGTGCAGATGTCGGTTGAGCTTCAGGAATGTCCGCCGAAGCGCGTCGCTGATGTCCTCCCACTTCTCCGGTTTCAGCCTGTCCATCTCGGACGAGTACACCTCGAGGAACCGGTTGCGCAGGTAGCTGTTGATGTAGTGGTTGTTCCCGATGTGCGATGACCGACCAAACATCGCGAAGATGGCCTCGTCCTCGCTGCCGCGGAAGTTTGGCTGAACGAGATCAAGCATGTTCAGATGCTCGGTGAAGCCGAGCGTGTCTGCGATCCCGTATGCCATCCCGTTAACCTCGGATAAAGAGGTACGAACGCGACGATCTTCGTTCTCATCAGGGATCATGGCGCCATTCGTGACAGTGATGTCGATGAGCCCAAGAACGCGCAGCTGCGTAAGACCAGAGAAATCGGCAAGGAACTTGCGCCTCTCGTCGTCTTTGATGTGGCCGAGATCTGTTCGGATTTCTAACCGCTTGTTGCCGGACAGATTGAGATACTGCAGGTTCTTGTTGAAGTTCCTATTAGCAGGACGTGAGTGACCTACGCCTACGCATCCTGCGAAGTACACACCAGTTCCAGTCAAACTCCCAGTTGAAGATGTTGTACTTCAGGATGTTGCTGCCGACGTCAAGGACAGTCAGGTTGGAGAGCTTTCCAAGCTCTTGCGGTAGCGTCTGGAGCTTGTTGCCGTTCAGGAACAGCACATGCAGCTTCGTCAAGCGATTAAGATCCTCCGTCGGGATAGCCGATAGCTTATTCCCGCTCAGGTACAGCTCCTCAAGGTTGGTCATGCTTCTGAAAAACGACGCGGGAATCTCCTGGATGTCGTTGAACGACAAATTGAGTATCTGCAGCCCCTGCAGGAGAGACACCGTCTGCAGGTTCTCGTCCGTCATGCGGTTCTCGCCGAGGTAGAGCCGTTCCAAGGAGTAGACAATCGGCGGCAGCGCACGACTGGAGTTCGTGCTCGCACTCGATCCCGACGCTTTGCGATCCGGCAAGCTCGCGCTCCTAGGAGGCGGAGTGACCATGTCGCTGTCTCCCGCACCTTGACTGGCTAGACTTGCGATGTGCGCGACGTTGTGGGCGGGCGCGACGCGCCACGATCCCAGCAGGTTCGACGTCGCGTTGATGAGTTGCAACGACGCGCAGTTCCACAGGGTCGGCGGTAGCTCTGCCAGGGAGTTGTTATGTACTTCCAGGGTCTCCAGACGCTGAAGGTTGCCGATCGTCGACGGGAGCGCTCGCAGCTGGTTATTCGAGCAAGAGAGATGCAGTAGATGGGTAAGGTTTCCGAGCGAGTCGGGGATATACCGAATTGAGTTGTGGTCTATCCGCAGCGTCTCCAGCGCCGTCAGCTGAGCGAGAGCGCGCTCGTCCAGTGCGGAAAGCTTCGCGTGCGATATGTCGAGTGACGTGAGCGCGTACGGCTGGCCAATCGGTCCCGGGAGCACAGTGAGCTGCGTGATATCGTTATGCGACGCGTCCAGCTGCCTCAGACACGGCCCAAACGAGAGGTCGAGCGCATGCACGGAGTTGTGATCCGCGAAGATCTGCTCGACCTTCGGGAGGGCGGTCATAATCGCGAGGTCCGTGATGTGGTTCCGGCGACAGTCGAGCATCTTCAAATTGGAGAGGCGCGAGCAGGTCGCTGGGAACTCGGAGACCTGGTTCCCGACGATGATGAGCCGCTCGAGTGCTTCGAGCAAGCCGATGTCCTCCGGGAGCTTCTCGAGCATGTTGAACGAGATGTCGAGGTCAACGAGCTTCGTGAGCTGCGTGACGACGGTTGGGAGCGTGCGGAACTTGTTGTTCGACACGTTCAGGTCCTTGAGGTGGCGCAGGCGAGGGAAGTACCACGGGAGCTTCTCCATGCGGTTGTTCTGCACCTTCAGGGAGCGCAGGTCTGGTATTCGGTCGAGCGCGGCTTCGTCCAGATCCGCTATTCGATTGCACGAGAGGTCTAGCCGGTGTAAGGTAGTACAGTGTCGTATGCTCTGCGGGACCTTCTTCATCGCCATGTGGCTTAACCGGAGCTCCCGAAGCGTTGTACATGCTTGGATGAAGTCGAGAGGGATCTCTAACATGGGGTTTCGCGACAGGTTTAGATGGAAGATCGCGTCCGCGTGAGGGTAGAGCAGTACGGGAACAGTCCGTAAACTGCGCCCTGTCAGATCAATGAGGTCGAACGTATCGACGTGCAGGTCGTCCGGCTGCAGCCAATGAGTACACAAATCGCCGGAGGTATGCAGGCAGAACGTACCAATGGCCCCAAGACGTTGCTCTTGTACTCGAACTTCATTAGGAAGGCCAAGTCGTCTGCGCCGAGTTCTTCGAGTCCATCCGCTTCATCGTAACCCGCCTGCTCGAGCCTTCTGCGGACAATATTTGCAGGCTTCTCCGTCATCGCGAGCACTCGTTCTATGAAGAGGGGTAAGTTATCACGACGTATTCATCACTTATGCAATGGAAACTCGCCTCGACCTCGCTCCTTCAAGTACAAGCTATGTGGTTCGCGGTCGGGATCGAGCGACAATTTCTTGTTGAGCTCCGGGATGAGCATCGCGACGGTAATGTTCAGCTCGCATGCAACGACGTGGTACGTGCCGTTCGCCCTGTATATGCGAATCTTGTACCTTGTGGGCTGCTGGGCCGGCCGGCCTATGGTGCTCAACGTCGTTCTGTGCCTCCGTTTCCGCTTCGCCTGTGCACCCGCCGCCGTGACCGCCGTCTCGTCATCTTCGCTCGACTCTGCCGCGATGGGCGTTTGCTCCTCGCCCTCCTTCTCAACAGCCCAGCTCTCGGGGGCGGTCCAAGCTGGTGAGTCGTCGAGGAATTCGGGCGGTCGCGTTGTGGGCGAGATCTTGCGCCCGTCGAAGACGGTGCCGTTAGGGGCGAGCGTGCGCTGGGGCGCGGGGAGGAAGGGGTTGCTGAAGATGTTGGAGGAGGACGCACCGAGGGAGCGATTGATGGACGAGCCGTCCGAGGCGGATTGGTCGAAGGCAGCGCTCCGTGGTGAGCCGCTGTCAGGGGCTGAGGGGAGGAGGGACGGGTCGATGATGCCGTCCATGCGGTCGAGGTCGGTGTCGAGCTTGAACTCGGAGGAGGCGTCCTCCGGGACAGGCGAGTCGGGAGAACGCTCCACGGCCCTCTTCTTGCCCTTGAGCTTGCCCCGGATGGAGAGCGGGGTGAGGGTGATGGCACCGGAGGACGAGCTGGACGGCGAGGGTGCGAGGTGGTGGGCATCGAGGGGCGGCACGGGGGGCACGAACTCGTCGGAGGGAGGCGCGTCGGAGCGCAGGCGGCTCCGCGAACGCTTTGTCTTCATGATGCTGGAGAAGATGTTGAGGGTAGACTTGGACTTGCGCGGCGTGCGCTCGGGGGACTGGTCGACGAGCGTGCTGGAGCCGTTCGTGCTGTGGCCCTCGGACGGCCGGGGGGAGAGGCTGAGGGTGGAGGTGCTCGGTTGTCGGGACATGGAGAAGGACGCGAAGGACGACTTCTGCGAGATGAACCCCCGAGGCTTCGGCGGCGGCAATGGCTGGAAGAGACGTCGTTCAGTCAGTGGGTGCGTGTCCGACAGAGACTGCGAGCTCACCGCCTGCTCGTCCTCGTCCGGTGCAGTCCATGGCGCGATGGCGAGGTTGTCTGCGAGACTGGTCGGGGGCGCATGCGGAAGTAGATCTTGCGGCGGGAGGAGACGCTGGGCAAAGTCGGGGCCCAGGTCGTCAAAGGCAGCGAGGGCCTGCTCAGGCATGGTGGATGAGGATGCGTAGGTTGTGAGGACCTGCGTGCTCATCACGGCGCACGGCGAGGAGGGGGCGCATGGGGCGAGGACGACGTCGACAACAGCGGCGAGCTCGAGCGACCAACGTCGCCGCCGGCGTATCGCGGATCATGTGACATACGACTGTCGCTGTCCTCGACAGAAAGTCCGATCCACGGGGAGAGCCGTTGCGCGCAACGCGCAACGTCACGCAAGTCACGGTGTGGCTCCCCTGTGGCCTAAGCGGCGCCCGGGCCAACGGTACACGAATCTTTTCAACCTTGGGCTACAAGGGATTGTTGGAGGTTATACTGAAAGGATTATCCTCTAGTAGAACGAATGTCGCCTCCGTGTGCGTAGTTCGAGTGCTTACTCGATGCACCGCGGCCCGCCACCGTATACTTACGTAATCTCCCGGTAGATACATCGCGGCCACCGGCCACGGTGGCGACTGTTGGCGACTCAGAGACTAGAGTCGGTCCCCGCAATCCCAATTGAGCTAAAAGCTGGAATGTAAACCCGATTATATAATAGCTATCACACATCTCAACGATGTTCAGAAAACAGTTGTAAGTATGTTTGGAACGCCGGACCGCGTCACAAGGCACCCGCCACATGCCCCGATTAGGCAAGTGGTCGGTCAACGGTAATAAGTTAGTCGGAATCTATGTACAAGTAGACGACAGCTAGCCGTGCAGTATTCACCAGCACGATCCTATGACTTCTCAAATAGTGCAGCTCTCTACTGAGTTCTCATCGCTGCGGCGGCGCCGAGGCTGGACGAGCACATAAGCAACTGTCTGAAAGTGTATGTCACAGCGTGATGTATGTGACTGTTGCACGTTGCGCGTTGCGCGTTGCACGCAACGCCCCTCCCAGTCGATCGGACGTTCTCTCCTCGACGCGTCCCCGACCCTTCCCCGAACCGAACTACCACCGCCGCATCCTCTGCTTTGCGCACAACGACATTCATGTCTGTTGAATTAATCCATGTGCAGCGGTCGATGGCTTTGAAGGGTCGGCGGACATTGCTGTGTCACCTGCGCCAGTAGCCGACTAACTCCAGTACCCGCGTTTCCTCAAGCCCCCAATGGATCAATTGCCTGTGGGCACTTCATCGAAGGCATGTCTGCGAGCGGACAATGCGCAACATCGGATGGGAAAGTAAGTGTCAACTCGTTCCTGTACACGCTGTGTCTGACAAATGATGCGTGTCGCACATATGTATCCTCTCATCTTGCTGACTCCGAGGGCGTGCTCTGACTAGAGCATCGAGGTGAGTGGGCACATAAGACACCAGCACACTCTTATGTAAGTTGCGTGGTTTCTGTGCACATGAATCCGAGTCAAACGCGTTCAGTGCTCTGCTTATCCTGGCGTTCACGCATGAAGGTTACCCGTCTGTATATTACTACCTCTATGTTACTGTTCGTAGGCAACATGACCTCCGTATCTATGTACTCCTCCGCCAGTCCTGTGTGTCACTGAAAGCACCGCTCCAGGATTAATTCAAATTGGCCCGTTGATGTCCCAAATCCTCGCGCAGACAGGAATTCTACGCGCGATTATCGCCAGACGCTCGTATATTCTCTCGTCAACACACTGGTGCACTTGCTCATGAACGAACAGCAATTACTGCGTCGTTAGCTGCCTCGATCGCCGCTGACGCTATCGTGTCCGTCGTCATTCAGCGGCGCACGTACGTACCATATCGCACCACCCGCCTCTCAAGTGTCAACCAAGGTGTCCGGAGCGCACTGCTCCTGAAAGATAGTATGTACACCGACTGTATCTCGACATATACGCGAATTGATGTGTATCGCAGGCGTGTTTCAGTTCGAGTGAAACACAAAGTATTTCTCGCAGTCACAACAACGGCTGAGTCCATCGCAATTCAGTCTTCAATGACTGCAAGCAGTGCACGCTCCAAATTCTCGTACGTACTCGTCTCTTGACGCTGGATCACTTCTCCGCTTGATACCTGCTTCGGTTCGCTCACCAAGCTTCATACAATCGCTGCCTCCGCCGCTTGTATCATCGGTGCGCAAATAGAGACGGTCCATCATGCCAACTTGATAATGGAACGATGTCGAAACGGTGCTGTTCGTCTGAACGGTGTATTTGCTTGGAATCCTGGAAAGAATTGACGAACTCCCATAGCCGGACAACTCGCCGCCCGTGCGGTCTCTCGCAGCATGCGTCTGTACGCTGCTCACTTCCATATACTACCTCGCCCCGCAATTGAGCTGATTCGCTGTTCCCTGTAGCCACGAGTCCTTACCGAGCGCCACGCTCACTCGCGTGTCGACGTCTGCCATTCGAGATCGTTAACGTCACCGGCATCAACTCCAACATTTCTCCTACAGCAGTTGTTGGACCACACCTATCCCCGCCCGCCACCTTCTCATGCGCGCTTACTCCTTGACCTCAGCCCGCGTACTTCATCTCCCGATCGCAATAGGCTCTACAGTACTTGCGGGAGAACACGAGCAGCGCATGAACACGAGCGGAAAAGCGCAAGGATAGCAATGTGGTCCTGTGGTGAGTCTTCAGCTTCGCATCTGCCGACATGTGGTATTGGGGTTCCGTCGTGAGGCTTCCAGCCTCGCATACGCGTCATACGGAACTATCCAGGAACCCAGAGGCGGTACGTCGAACCTATCCGCGAGCTGTATGGTACGACAAAGACTGCCAGCCGTGGGTAGGTCTTTAGTCAATGAAAGTCCAATCGATCATCGGTTTACTGGGCGATCTCATAAGGTTTGCATGTGTTGTAGCCGGGCCTCAACGTGTCGTTCTGATCAGTGGTTGCAGCCACACAGGTCCCTACGCGAGTAGACGAGGACCACCTGCGGTACCGCCTCTTGTTTGACGAGCTACAACTCCCAAAGCTTGACTATCGTGGTATGCCGTCAAGCGTACCTCAGGCGCGCTGCTAGGTCCTTATAGCCGGTCTCGCGATCGCTGCCGATGACTATGACCATCACTTATAGTCTGCCCTTCTGCTGCATACCATGAGTGCCTCCAAAATTGAGCAGGAAACAACCATCGTTCTTCATTATGTGTGAGCACTTTGTAAACCTGCCCTGTCCGAATGTTGCATACTAAGGGACCTACAGATTCACTGCTTACGACGTGGTGAGTACTCATCAGCCTGGCCCATTGTCTGATGAACCAGTAACGCTTCGCAGTTCGACGGTATCAATATGCTTGGCACCGCTGTCCCTCCGCCAGTGGGGTGTATAGCTGGCACCACCTCTTCAGTAACCATCCCGTTCGCATATGCATCGCCCTTGTGCGTCATTACATAACTGACCACCCTAGCTGTTTCTAGATGTCTGTGGCTCAATTTTGGGGAACACCGTACAGACTCATACCATCATCACAGTGTACATTGCGTCGATTGCCACATCAATTGCTGCGGATGCTATCGTGTTCATCGTTACCTGGCGCCGCACCTACCACACCTTTCCCGCGAAGCGAACATCGAGGTGTCTCTCAGCTCATCGCTGTTGAGAGACGGTCAGTCCGCGAGTCTTCTTCACCCATTCAATATACGGAGCTGATCACTTACCCTACAGGAATAATATATTTTCGCGTCAGTAACCCCGGTTTCTGTCGCTGTCGACTTAACCAGCAAGTTCCTCATAAGATCGCTTGTCATCGTTAACTGCATCACCATTGTTACCTATTCGACGGCGCCGGTACTAATGCTCTAACATTATGGTATTGCGCTTTGCTCATACTTCACGCTGCCGCCTATCCAGGAGCTCTATGGCATAACAAGGTACATGACAGTGCCGTTCGTCATTTCACTCACGAAAGCCTCCGCTATCTCGCCAGATAGCCCGTTTTGTACTCTGCAGAATATCGACCATCCTCGTCTCGCACATGCTCCTGAACCTGCGAGAAGCGAGCCTTCGCATCAATGGCTCCCCGACGTCAGTTTCTTCCAACCTTGGCGCGCCTCAGGCAGCGACCATGCCTGACATAGCCTTCTCGCGGGGTGTCGATGCATTCGGGGCCAGCTGGCATGACAATGGAGATGCAGACATAGACGAAGACGAGTTCGAGGATGACGGCGAGATGAAGCTTGAGGTGATGGGCAGCAAGACGGAGGAGATCCGGTCCGAGACGATAGCGGCGTAGGACACTCCATCTGCGTTTGAGCGGATTCACGGTGTCGCTGAGGGGCTGCATATGACGGTATCGAAAGGTCTCAAAACTTTGTACAGTGGTGCTTGGCGGTGGCCGACGTCCACTAAGTCTCGTTGCTCAAAGTCTGTATTCTGTTGTTGGACTAGTTTTCGATCGTGTATCGGTTTATGTATAGCGTTTGCGAGCTGTTGGCAGCTTTGTATTGCCACTACATCCTTCGTCTCACAAGCATCTCCGACACCCTTCCTGCTGTCTAGAAGACATGTAGTCATCCCCTGTCCGCTTCCCAATCCTTCCAGATCGCCGATCCGTGACAGCAGCATCTCCGAGCCCCACGACCGATGGCACCCAATTGCTACAGTCTAACCCGCCCACGCCCGCCGCGCCTACAATATGGCCAAGTAGGCTACTGACTCTGCGCCAATACGCCTACGACACCAAACGACTTCTTCATCAGTGCATACGTTCAAGAACAACGGAATATCATACATATGATAGCGGCATGGGCGGAGGAAAGAACCGAAAATCGACTGGCGGGCGGCGGGTGCCTCGCCACCGATTGAAAGCGGGTCCATGTGGGGCGGGCGGTTCGTCGTCGTCGACAAAGAGGTCAAGCTGCGAGGCGCCCCTTAGCCACTTGCGGCGTGTCTGTAATTATCTCGCCGGGGTCGACTAAAGACTGCAGCTGCGAAGTATAGAGCTCAGCGCGTGAGGCAGAGGACAGGTTGTGAGAAGAGAAAAGCAAAGAAAAGCTGCCGGGCGGTCGGATCAGAGTACGCGGCGAAGGTGCCCTCGGCGGCGGAAAAGGAAATACTTGTGGGTACTAGACGTGGCGCGGGGTGTTGCACCACGGCGACTTGAAAACGATCACGTTCAAGTCCAGGTTGCCCGTAGTCGAGACAGCGGGTGCGCACCGCCAGGTCCGATGGCGTAAGCCGACCCGCCTGTGCGGTACGTCTACCGTAGATGCTGCGGAGATGCACCGGGCTAGTGCTTGGTGACTCGGCGGCGCGTTTCCATCCAAGGCTTGCTGTACATTGTACAACATGCCTTGTTAGCGAGCGAAGTTTAGAGCCCAGGTAGGAGAGCTACACACCGGAGTGAATGTCGAGAGCGCCTTCGCGGCTTGCAACCACTGATCTGGGCTTCCGTGCGAGGCTGTCTCCAGCGTAAACATCCCACATGAGCTCACCTGGCATGCATACATGCACTATAGTCGTCCACTCACGTAGCATAGATCGCCTCGTACCTCCACCGCCGCTTGCCCGCTGCGCCGATCCTGTCGCGGATGATGTCCAGGATGAAATATGTGTATCGACGACGGCACCCCGGCCGTGGGCCCACTGTTCCCCGAGTGCATCCGACGACGCAGTGGGCGCGCGTCGGTCGATGGTGGCGGGGATTGCTATGCTGACTTGAATTAGAGTGTCGACCCGGACATGGCGAGAACACGTGAGCAATACGTTCGTGAGCAAGCGGGGGTAGGGATCGCGCAGCTAAGGACTTACTTCAGTAGCCGGTACGTATCTAAGTACGAGAGGCCAGGACAGTGAGCGTACTATTGAATGCATCATGAGACGACGTCGCTCGCTCGTGCCGCCAACCACACATAAGCGCAGCCGGGTACAGGTAGAGTTCGGTGAGTCGCTGTTCTTGTGTACACAAAGGTAGGGAGAGACAATTCCCTGATAGGCCACTGACCTGACCGCTGTCAGTGAGCACCACGCATCTCACGTCCTGTGCGAAGTACAACGGTGCCGCCGTGTCGGCGACGGCTACGGTGAGCTAATTGACAGTCTTTCGGGACTCCGACTTTGGCGCAGTAGACATGTATGGAGTGAGCTGCGATAGGAGGTGTTTGTAGAGTAATTCTCCCCGGCCGTGTCACAGCATGTCCAGAAGGACATACAACGAGGAGGGGCGAGTAGACACGGTCAGCGTGGCGGCGTAAGCAGCCAGATGCCAATGCGCGGCCCGGCAGTCCGCGAGCTCTCATCACAGTCGTCCAAGTCGCGTCCCGCCGCCATCTGCAGCTCGCGCGTTCGCCGCTCACAACCTACCGCACACATCCCCCATGCGGGTTCACAGAGAGTCCTACAGCGTCCTGCGCAGTACCCGTGCGGCCAGCCCATCCAACCTTGTTCTCTTCCCGATCATGCGACCTCTCGCAGCCTCCGGAACACCTACTCATTCTTGTCGGGTCCCATACTCTGACCGGCCTGGTGTGTGAGCGGGGCGCCGCTGCTCCTTATCATCCCTTCGATCGTCTCCGGACTCGAGGCTGTACCTGCTGTGGTAGTACATCTGTCCTCCGACGCGGCTACCTCGACCTGGTCTGCCAAGGCCTCCCGGGCATAGCCTTCGCTGGCGCTGAGTCACCTCTACGGTCTGTGCGAGGTCATGGCTTTCGCGCTGCACATCGACATCACATGATCTCCGCCGTCGAGGAGAGCGGACCCTCTCATGGGATCTTTTCCTCCAACTTCTCCGCATGCATCGCGCGAGGTACCTGTCCTCCGACGCCCACACGCTGTTGTTGTTGATTAGGTGATGAGGAGAGATGAGTGCGACGGACAAGGCGGAGCACGAGTTCTGTACCATTGGTGCGTGACGATCTTCCTTTCCCGGTGCATTTCTTGTTCATAGTTCCTCAGGAATGTGCTGTTTCGAATAGCTACCAACGACTCGCATATGCCCAGAACGAAAGGCCACACCTCGAAGCAACACAAGACCTTTGATGGTTCACCCTCGTCCGCACTTCATCTTCCCTCCCTTCTCATGTATTCCTCTCCCGACCCCAGTACCAGGCCAGAGACCCGAAGCATCCCGGGACCTCTGGAACTTCGCCTGCGTATGCACACCTGTCTCCCTTTCTCAAGCTCCACTCATCTCAATCCCAGCATAGAGCCAGACACGTCCCACAGCCTCATCACCGGCCGGCCGAACCCACCGCGCACGCGACACCTCGAGGAATCCACCCTGGCACCCGTCATCCCGCCCGACACTCAACCGACGCAGCACGTCTCGAGCGCGCCCGTCATCCCGCCCGATACCCCAACTCCTACTAAGACCGAGAACCGGCAACAGTGCACGCCTGCCTCGCCTGAGACGCAACAACAGCACCATGCCTTCAACCCTCTCCCGGGCCCCCGTCGTCCTTCTCTCAGCGCCGACGCAGACTCAGACCCGGCGACAGGGAGATGGCGCGTGCGGGCCAGCCCCGTCGTCCCACCGGAGGCCCGCCAGCGCCCACACGGCTCGTCCCACCACTCCTCGAACGTCACGAGCGAATAGGCATGACAAGCGGCCCAAGACCTCTGATGGTCCGCCCTCATACGTACGCCCGTGTCACTCACTCGCTAACTCGAGTACCAAGCCCGAGAGACGTCGCATAACCTCGCTACCGAAGCCGGACAAATTCAACGCCCGCGCGACTCGTCGCGCGATCCGCCCCGAGCACACGTCGTCCCGCCCGAAGCGCAGACACAGAAACAGCGGCAGCAAGTCACCACCGCCCCGCCACCCTACCCTAGGCAAACGGTCACCCTCAGACTGGGCACTGGAGACAAGGCACGTCCGCCCGCCCGAGATGCAACATGACTAGCACGTCTCCACCGCGCCCGTCCCAGCGCAGACGCAGACTCGGACCCGGCGACACAGAAATCCTGCGCCAGCCCCTGTTGTCCTGCCTTTGACCGTCCATCCCCTCTTCCCCGTCGCGCCGAACGATACGAGCGAATGCGTGCCTCGGGCTCACCTCCACCTGCCGCTCGTCCCGCAGGTCCAGCACGCTCTCTTGGTACTACCGGGAAGTAGGCTATCGAACACTCAGCCGGCGGCGTGGGCGCTAGCGCGCGCTCAGACAGTACAAATTGTGTCAGTTGGGTTGATAGGCAGTTCCTCCGTACCCAGCGTCCAACGGACAAGCCGATCTAGTATACGACAGCGCATAGCAGACCCTGGATTCTGCGTGCGTCATCGGAACCGAGGTAAGACATCTACGCAGGACATGAGGCCACAATCCCGGACTGATGCATACATACAGCTGTGCGGACACCATAACAATCCTCCGCTATCACGCCTTCGGGAGATTCGGGTACGCACAGCATACACACATTCATCGTCACCTCACGCGCGTAGCCACCTCAGGACAACTCAGACAGACGTGAGTTGGTACGAACATGCATGCTGAATGACGTCAAAACGCCTCGGATGAAATGTCTGGAGCAGGTCTGGAGCACGAAAGAGCACCCGTAGCTACGGGAACCTCAACGTCCATCAACCGTTATCGTCGAGGACATCCAAGGCTTGAGCTCAGGCTTGCCACGCAGAGAATCTGCAACGTTTCGCGTATGCCGGTTCCAAGATATAGCAAGCCCGAGAGCAACGGCTCGCGACTCACCCAGCGGCAGGACATCCGAATCAGCAGGGGCACCATCGCCAGCGTCGGTGCCAACGGCGGCGGCGGGGGCAAGGACGGCGGGGGGCGCAGAGTGGCATGCTACTCATGGTATGGTGTCGTTAAATTCGAGGCTCAGTTCCCTGTCACTCTCGGTACATTTCACTCTCGGTACTAATCTCACTCTCGGTACTAATCTCACTCTCGGTACATCGCAGGCTGTATAATCGGTGCTTACAGACGGCCCATGAGGCTCGACTTACGCCGCAGCATTCGTTGTCCGAGTCGGAGTGAGTGGCGCATCGCTGGGTACGGAGCATGAGAGTCGCGATCGGTTTGAGGTCTTTCAGGTTGCATTCAGGATCAGCATCGCGGTGTAAGTAAGCAAGGCGGCGAGGTGGGCTGGCACTGACAGCGGCGTTGCGACACGCGTCTCGTCTTTGACGCGCAACTCGACGCGTGGTATGGACTCGGAGTCGATACCGCGTTGTCGCTGTGTGTCTAGCTCTGGTTGCAGCTGGGACAAGGCCTCACAAAGTGCGTCTTTGGAATTACCACTGAATAATAATACGGCTCCTTACTTGCATTAATCGAAGGGTCATTCGATGCCGCTAGGCCTAGGAAGTCGCCAACTGCCAACGCAGGGATTATCTCTTCATGAACACTGTATTCTCTCCTCTACGACGCGGGTAACCCTCACGGTTGCCGAACCCTGTTATTATGTAATTGGCAGTTTCAGTTTGTGTCGAACCTAGATCCTGAGGATCGCGAGTACACGCGCTGTAGCTCTGAACTGCTGCAAGCCTCAGAGCACGTTTCAGTGTCTGTAAAATCCGGTACGCACTCGACCCTGAAAACGACAACTCGGTCACCGAATGGCCACATCATCACCTCTAGCATCTGAAAATGCTGATGTTGAAGCCTGACAGTGAGTCCGTACAGTGCCTAGCCCGCCGTGCAAAGGCGGCTGCGATGAGCATATATCTGCACTTGACACTTACCTCTATTCGTTCACTACAGTAGTGTCTACTCTTCACCTGTTGCCACTGCCTCGTTGATTATCGGCGTACAGCTAAGGACCGTTTTTGCAACCGATAACTGCCCTGCGGCATTGATATAGCCTACTGTTCAACGAATGTCGAACTGGCGCTGTTCGTATCAATGGTGCGTGTCCAGGAATGATTATCTGTCATGAATTGATGGTTTTGGAAGCAGTCCACTCAGGCTGAGCGCTGAACCATGACTACCCTTCGGACAAACAGTTACTCGTTGTGGCTATTCTCAGTACAATTGCCACTCAACATCACGATGCAACTGTACTCCATGGACCTCCCGTCGCAGGTGAGCTTATCCGCCGTTCACCGTAGCTAGTACCGGTCCTTACCATGCACCACGTTCGCTTACTTGTAGACGTTTGCTCGAGACTGTCAACTTTACCGAGACAAACTCCAGTGTTTCTCCTCCTGCCCCTTCCCTCGCCAGCTGACTTCTCGTACAAGCGTCCTCATTGACTTCCGCCAAAGTACTTCGTCTCCCGATTGCTGCTAGTCAACATTCACATTGCTCCGCTCTCCCTGTCGGATCTTGATCAAGGTTCTACATCTTTGAAATATCTGAGTTTGTTTGACGCATGCCTCAGACAGATATCAGATAGAACTATAGTGTTGCTGGGGTTGCTGATCGGCGGGAGAACTCGAGTAGCTCTTGGATGCAAAGGGTGCAAGAATGGCAGCATGGTCCCGTCGCAAGCCGTCTAGCCTCGTATCTGTCGGCGTCCATCACTCTGTTAAGGACTCATGGGCAACACGTAGGACTTCATCGCGAACTGAATGGGGCGAAGGTCATTAGCTTCCTTGCCCAAACCGCTGAGGAGGCTGTCTTCTGATACTGTGGCATGATGAAAACGGTAAGCATTCTACCTTTCGTTCCATATCAGCCCAATGGATCATCAACTTACAAAACGATATCCAAACTGATCTCACAAGGTTTTGATAGATCGTGACTGGACTTTAATGTGGAATTCCGGTCAGTGGTCACAGCCATACCATTCGCCTCGGTGACTTGACGAGAACTACCTGCAGCCATCGCCTCACAGCCTCCGACTGTTCGGCGACCTATTGCCTCGACTCGTAAAGCTTGAGTAGTGTGATATGCCGGCAAATATACTTCGAGCTCTGCTAGCTCCTTATAAACCAGTCTCGCAGCAGATGCCATCAACCTGTCCTTCGACCACGTACCATGAGTACCTCAATTGATCAAGCCGAAGCCAGTGCGCTTCAGTCTGTGTGAGCAATTCGTAACCTCCCTGTCCGTATGTTACATACTGAGTAATCTACAGATTCATCAATAATTGCTTTCTTGTGGCTGCTATCGGTCAGTTGTAACATCTCTCTCGAGAGTATTCACCCTAACGTCTATCCCAGCTGTCTACGCATTCGATCGCTGTATCCGCGTGGGACGTGAAATTGACCTGATATGGAGCCGTGGCTATTCCTTGGTCTCGGCTCTCTACACACTGTTGGAAGTGTTCACCGTCCTCTACTTGGGCCTGACAGCTGGTCAAGACCTCGTTTATGTGGATTGCAAGGTAGGTAGCTTATTTTAAGCTCCGCTACGTGCACAACTCCCTCGGTGGATCACAACTCACAAGTGTTGGACCTAGAGGTAACGTTTCTTAGCACTGTGCAGGGTCCGCGAATAAAACCTGACAGGAGTGCCGATCAGAGCAGTTCCCGAAGATAGTGCAGTACAGGCTATCACTGCTAGCTACTATGCGGTCATTGCTGGTCAGCGTATTTTCTGATTACTTCCTCTCACAGCGTACTGATTATATCCTAGTCATAGCTACCCTACGTGTCTATGCTATCAACGGCAGATATGATTGGCGGATAGTATCTGCCGTCGTCTTCCCATTACTTCTTCTCCGCAGTGCTTACGACCTGGCGAGTGCCTACCAGTCCAATTGATTGTCTGATGAACGTTGAACCATTAACACTTTGCAGTTCGAGGGCATTGATGTCTTTTCCGTTGATGCCCCTCCACCCATCGGTTGCATAGATTATGTTGCCTCACCGGCAAATTCACCGTTCGTCTATGGAATTTCCATGCATCCTATAACAAATTGACCGGCCTCATTGTTTCTAGATGTCTGTGCCTCAATTTATGAGAACATCGCACATACTCATATGACACATCAGTCTACATCGCGTCGCTTGTCACATCAATAGCTGCCGATGCTATCGTGTTCATGGTGATCTGGCGCCGCACCTACCATGTGGCACGACTATCCCGCGAGCAGAGTATTGAAGCATCTACAGTGAGCTCACTGCTGCTACGAGACGGTCAGTTCAAGTGTCGTTCAGTTGTGAAATGTGCGGAGCTGATGGTACACCATACAGGAGCTATCTACTTCGCGTTGGTAACACCGGTTCCTGTCCCTGTCGACTCAAACAAAGGGTCGTTCATTAGATCGCTCTTCATACTGAACAGCATCACCATTATTACGGATTTGAAGGTATGCGCTAGAATCATGGTGTCGGACTTCGCTCATACTCAATGCTGCCGCCTTTCCAGACAGTTGTTCCAATTGATTCTATGACTATTCCGTTGGTTATCTCATCCACGCAGACTCAGCTATCTCATCGGATGCTTACTGCCCGCGTTGTATACCATTCGCAGATTGACGAGCATCATAATTTCGCGCATGCTCCTCAACCTGCGAGAAGCAGGCCTTCAAGGCCAAGCTAATAGCCATGACCCATCGACGTCTTCCCACCTCGGCGCATCTCAGCCAGCGACTGGCATATCTGACCTACACTTCTCGCGGGGTGTTAGTGCATTCGGAGCTAGCTGGAATGATGATGAAGATGGGGAGATCGACGAAGGCGAGATCGTGGATGACGAAGGACAAGAGGTTGAGATGATGGGCAGAGAGACGGCGGAGATTGAGTCGGCTGGAGCGTAGGACATGACATTTGCGTCGAAAGTCGTGTAGTCGTGCTTGGCAGTATGTAAAATGTTGACAATTGCTCATGTGTTCATTGATGTATGGCGTTTGCGAGCCGCTGGTATCTTTCATCGTTGTCTCAAAGACTTTCGAAACCTACCTGCTGTAGTCTTCAAGAAGACATCCCGGTAATCCTGTCGCGCCCGCTTCTCTCAATCCCAATCTTCTGATATTGTTCTGACATACTGAACTTCAACAATCCGACTCACATGGATCCAGGATGCTGAGGATAATACTACACAAGTTCGGGTGGCAATGCTAGGCATAGACATGGTGTGGCGTCTGTGGCGCACAAACCGAGGCGCGGAATACACCATCGGTGCGGCATACTATGGCCCAGAAGCCCCAGCGCTCGCTTGTATGGGTGGGCGACATGCGATGAACGGGCACAAGAATTGTGGCGAAACAGATCCGATTGCGGCGCGGTTGTTTGCACGCGTCGATCAACACCGCCGTGTCGCCGCCGTGCTACGCAGATAGCCTTACCACGGCACCGTTTTCTCGAACCCCGTGTCCAATTGTACCCAACCATCACAGTCGAGCAAACTTCACGCCCATGGCGCTGACTTGAAGCTACCCCGCATCCGCCAAGTAGGCGGCCAACTCTCTGTTACAGCATGAATTTACCACAAAATCGTTCTTCATTAACACGCGCACCTCAAAGTAACGGGATTCATACATAGCGGGAGGGAGTGCGCGGGGTCTTCACTGCCGTGGGCACGGGGCCAGAGAGTGGCACTGCTCATTGCTGTAGGTGTCACGACGGGGGACCTGCCAGGTAAAAAGGGCTGCCCGCGGATACCGAAGGGCATGAGCCCTGGGAGGGTCGCGGGGACGTGACGCGCTGATGTGATGATGTAGACGGGCCACGCTTGTATAGGTGGCGGGGCAGAAGCAGGCGGCGGAATAGGCGTACGCGGCGAAGATGCGATGGAGGGATGAACACCCTCAGCAGCGCCAGAGGAGAGACCTGTGGACGGACGTATTGTAGGCTCAGGTAGAAGCACGGCGACAGGAAGGGATGACGACCGCATTAGCGCCCGAGCTGCCCGTGGCCGTGACTATGGGTGCCTGCGGGTCCGAGAGCGTAGAGAGAACCGCCTGTGCGACGATTCTGCATTGATGCATAGGCTTGTGTGTTGGGCAGACGAAGAGTACGCATTCTTCGCTGATCACGACCATGGCCAATGACCCGGCGGTGGATCGTGAGCTGGAAGGCTTGCTGTGGTTGTACAGGCCTTGTTAGTAAGAACGAACGAGCACCAAAGCATGAGAGCTACTCACCCGAGCGGACACCCAGAGTGCTCCCGCAGCTCATAAGTATTGCTCCGCGCCTCCCTGCGAGGTTGTCTTCAACTAAGTGGTTGCGCATCGGCATCATGCACTTAAATTATCATAGATATTCCCATACTGCGCGCGGCCCGGGCCTACACTGCGTCGAGCCCGTCGTGGACGGTATGTACCATCGTATCGATGACGGCCCATAAACCAGTGGGTGGCGGGGATGTCTAACAGACTTGCGATGCTATCTTGGATCTGATGCGTCGGCCTGGATCATATAGCGTGAACGCGTGAACAGCCCGTTGGCGAGAGCAAGCTGAGGGTAGGGTTCGCACAGCCAAGGGCTTACATCAGTATTCGGAACCTGAAGATTATGGAATGAGAGATGCGTGCGTCGCCGGGTCAAGGGGGCATGGCGCAGGTGCAGAGTACGATCGAATGCAGAAGACGAGGTCGTTTGCTTATACCGCCAATCAGACATGCGCGCAGTTGGCGGAACCTGCAGCGCTGAGTGAGTAGCTGAGCGCAACTTTGTATACAAAGACTAACGAGGCAGAAAGAACTGGTCCCTTGATAAGTCGCGTACCTGGGCGTTTTCCCTGAACAGTACAACGGGGCCGCTGTGTCGGTGACGGCTGTGACGGCGCGAATTGGCTGTCTCTCGCAACTTGGCCCAGTAGACGTCAGTAGAGTCAGCTGCAACAGAAAACATGCCTACGAGCAATTCGCCTCGGCCATACTTACTTACAACGAGGCGCGGTCAGCGTGGCGGCGTAAGCAAACGAGGGAGCCACCGACGCGCCTGTGGCGGAAACACGGAATGTACCGATCCACCGGCATCGCCCACCCGGATGTTGCGCGGCTCGGCAGTCCGCGAGCTCTCATCACGGTGCATCTGCCGCAGAGGCTGTAGAGACGCACCGCGCTGAAATTAACGGCCGTGCTTGGTAACTCGGCGGCGCGTTGCCATTCGAAGCTCGCTCTGTGTTGTACAAGAGGCCTTGTTGGCGAGGGAACGAGAGAGCGCAGGTAGGAGAGCTACACACCGGAATGAATTTCCAGAGCGCTTTCGTGTTGGAAGCACTGATCTGGACTCCCTGCGAGGCTGTCTCCAACCTAACTGTCCCGACTCAGTTCACCTAGTACGTGTGCATGCACTACAGTCGTCCACTCACGTAGCATAGATCGCCTCGTATTCCCGCTTACCCTCTGTGTCGATCCTGTCGCGGATGATGTCCAATTATGCGTCGTCGTATCGAGGACGGCACCCCGGTCGTGCCACTCACTGTTCCGCGGCTGCGTCCTGCGACGCAGTGGGCGCGCGTCGGTCGATATGCTGACTTGAATTTGATGTGTCGACCTGGACATGGCGAGAAGCATGAGCAATACGTTCGTGAGCAAGCGGGGGGTAGGAATTGCGCAGCTGAGGACTTATATCAGTAGCCGGGGCGTATCTGCGAGAGGCCGTGACAGTGAGCGTACGATCGACTACAGAAGACGAGGACGCTCGCTCATACCGCCAACCACAAATGCGCGCCGCCGGGCACAGGGTACCTGTAGAGTACAGTTAGAGTGATAGGTGATAGTAGGTGTTCCTAGGGTTATCCTTACCAGTCATGTCGCAGCACGCCCAGCAAGGACATGAAGCGAGGAAGCACAGTCAGCGTGGCGGCGTAAGCAAATGAGGGCACAGCCACCGACGCGTCTGTGGCGGAAACGCGGAATGTACCGATCCACCGGCATCGCCCGCCCGGATGTCGCACGGCCCGCCTGTCCGTGCTCCCCTCGCCCTCGCTGGGTCGCCTCCAAGTTGCTGCCCACCGCGTCCACCTGCGGCTCGCGCTTTCACTTAGCACTCATGACACGCTGCCGCACACGTCTCAGCCAAGCGTATTTAAAAGGCGTCCTGGCTCGAGGCCTCGAGTACCACGGACAAGGGGGGTACGAGTATTTGTGCGATCGGTACGTGCTAGTATCTTTAGGCTCCAGCGCAGTTCGGGCTCATGGGTTTTAATAACCGTGGCGGCGCGAACAGCTGCCAACGAGCCGCATACGGCCAGAACGCAAGGTCACAGCTGAAAGCCACCCACTCAACTCCTCACCGCAGTTCCAAGCCGGAGATACGTCGCACAACCTCACCACCGAAGCTGATCGAACACAACGTCCCCGCGACACCTCGAGGAACCCGCCCTGCACGGTAGTCGTTCCGCCCGACACTCACTAGCCCCAGCACGTCTCCGCCGCGCGTGTCGACGTACCACCAATAATCCTGTCGCGCGGAACGACACAAGCGAATACCTGACCTCCGCCCGCCGCTCCTCCCGTCGCTTCAGTAAGCCCCGGTCATCCCGCTGGGAAGTAGCCGACCGAATGCTCAGCCGGCACAGCGTAGCACAGATGACTTTCACGGACGTTGTAGGTGCTCCGGGTGCGATCACACCATAGCAGGCCTCCGCCGCTACCCCCGCCGCCCCGCTCGCGGCGATGCCGAAGTCGGTCCCGGCGATGGTGCCCGTGCTGATGATACACCGAACATGTGGGCATCTCATTCTGAGATCACTATATGCATGAGCTGACGACGAATGATTGTGCGTTTGTTCGTAGGTCCGCAGTTTGTCGGCGGCGGATAGGTGTACCTGATCATAACCGAAGCCGCGATAACCAGCTTCCCCATACAGCTGTGCATATATTCTATGTAATATCCATTTTCCACCGCCTTTTCATTAAAGTTACTCATCCTCATCCTTGGCGTCATCCTTAGGTGTACGCGGATCCTTCTATCACTTCAAACGGTGCCAGCAGGACTGAATTAGTTCGTGTTTGTGCGACTGTAAGGTTCCATTAATGCATCGGCTTGCTTCCTTGTAGCTGATGCACTTATCTTACTCAGTACGTGGCGGCGTGCGTACGGCATGAAGGATTTGCAAGAGAGATCAACCGGGACGTCTTGCTGGCGTACCTCCTGCTCCGAGATGGTGAGCCACTGACATGTCGCGCTCGATGTCTGACAAAGACAAAGATCTCTGCGACGCAGGGACGTTTGCCTTCCGTTATATGCTCTCCGTCGTGGTGCGGATCCCCGCCTCGAAGAATGTCCGCAGCAGACTCTCGCTGGTGCGCAGCGACGTACCGGCGACTATCCACATAGTGAACGTCCCGCCTCCCGTAGCTACGTCGGTGTCAACGTCCGATGTACCCGCAAGGAACCTTCCCGCTGCGCCGGAGGGACACGAGATGGACACTCGGAGCAGGGTAAACGACTCTCTGCAGGAGTCTGGGATTCCAGAGCAGGGCAAGGGCACAATACGCCCTGAAGCAGCACGCTGATGTCCTTGATGTATGCGACACGAGACGGGGACCGGAGCGAAGGATCTCTGGTTCCCAGCTGTGCGCCCGACGTTCGCGAATTGGAGGACGCGCTCCAGGTGGGTTTCCTTCGCGTGCGACCTCTCTGTTCCCGCGATTGGAGACGTTCCCGCCTCTAATAGGGAACTACGGGCGTCATCGACGCTGCGAAGCAGTGCTGCTGGTGCTGTTCCTGACTCGCCGAGCATCTCGCTCGGCACACGGATCCGCACTAGACGTTCAAGTTCGACGTGGCGGGATCCGATGGTATCATCTACCCTTGGGCGCCGCCATCATGCTTGCCGTCCGCGATCCTGGGTGTGCTGAAGGACGCACTCGAGGAGATGCTGAGACCCGCTTTCGCGACGCATGTTCCGAGAGGGAGAGACGACATGGCTCGCCTGCGAGCGCGGAATCCGATATGGATTGCGTTTGTGGCATACGCTTCATCGTGTCTTTCTTGCGACAGCCCGGGTCAGTGCAGCGCGGTTCTCTGACATTTGATACGACGGGCGTGGGGTGTGGTGTCTAAAATAGGAGACTGCATCTCGTCCGCACTATTTCTGAAAGCGGAGTGCGCACCACGGCGAGAGTATGACGACAGCAGCCTCTCAACCCTGATACGACATGTGCGGGCTACGGTATCTCATGATCAAGTATGTGGCTTTGAGCCTGAACAGCTTGTGATCTGTGTCCGTTACGGAACGCCTGAGTATGTCTTACTTTCCGGTGACCCGTAATGTCGGCGCAGGTACTACTACTAGGGCATAAACATGTCCGTGAGCGCACGGTTCCTGAGAGATGGTATGTACACAGCCTGTACCTCGACACCTATGCGAATTGATGTGTATTTCAGGCGCGCTCTATTTCGGGTGAATCACAAAGTAGTTCGCGCAGCCAGTGCAACAGCAACGACTGAGTTCAGCGCATCGCAGCCTTTGACTAATGCAAGCACGCTCCAGAATTCCGTACGTACTCGCCCGTTAACATGAGATCAGTTCTGCGCTTGATACTTACTGCTCTTCGCTCACCAAGTCGATATAAGCACTGCCGCCGCCTTTTGTATCATAGATAGGTACAGTCCCTGCGCAATTGAATGATTCCCTACCAGAATCGTTCCAAACTCTCCATGATTTGATGTAGAACTGGTACTGTTCATCTAAGCGGTGTGTTCGTGTGCTATGATAATCTGGAATGAGTTGACGATCATCACAAAACAGTACGCTGAACCTTGAGGGCGCGAATAATTCGCTGCTCGTGACCGCTGTTGGACTGCACCTTTCCCCCGGTGGCTACATCTTCGTACTTCATTTCCCGATCGCGCGATACTCTGTGCCGCTAGTTAAGTCTCACGTCCGGCTTGTTCATCTCTCTCTCGGACCTTGATCAAGTTGATACATCTCTAGAAACCTCCGATGTTCTTTGACGCAAGCCTCGAAAGCCGAACAAATATCAGAGAGCGTTGATGAGGTCGTAGATGCGGGAGAACACGAGCTGCTCAGACACAAGTCGCGCAAGAATAGCAGCGTGTTCCTGTCGCGAGTCTTTCAGCCTCGTATCTGTTGGCATGCGGTGCTGTGATTCCTTCCTAGGAGCCCAGCCTCGCATCTATTTGCGTGCGGTACTCTATTGAGGAACCCGGAGGTAGTACGCCAGTGAACCTAATTGCGCGCTGTGCGGCAGGACCGAAGGCCGACAAACCGTGGGTACTTAGTATGCCTTCGTCTGGTAAGTAGATGAATTACTGGATTCTATCATTCCGATGTCGTGAAATACTGCATGGTTGTAGGCGGGCCTCAACGTGTCGTTCTATTATGTAGTCATAGTCACACAGGTGTCTCTGGAGTTTGACGAGAACCACCTGCGGTACCGCCTCGTTGTTTGGCGAGCTATAACTCTCAAACATTGCCTATCGTGGTATGCCGTCAAGCGCACCTCAAGCGCTCTGCTACGTTCTTATAACCGGTCTGGCTGCCGATGACTTTGACCTTCACTCATAGTCTACCCTTCTGCCGCAAATCATGAGCGTATCCAAAATTGAGCAGGACACAGTCAGCATTCTTCAATCTGTGTCAGCACTCTGTAACCTGCCCTATCCGAATGTTGCATACTGAGAGACCTACAGGTTCATCGATAACTGCTTCCTTGTGGTTGCTATCGGTCGGTCGTCACATATCTCAGGCAAGCACTGAACATAAGGCCTATCCCAGCTCTCTATGTGTTTGATCGCTGTATCTGCGCCGGACGGGAGATTGACTTGATATGGAGCTGTGGCCACTCCTTGGTCTCGGCTCTCTACGCACTGTTGGAAGTGCTCACCGTCATCTACTTCGGCCTGCTAGGTGCTCAAAACTTCACGTATCTGGATTGCAAGGTATGTAGCTCGTAGTACCTCCGCTACGTGCACAACTCCCTTCCAAGATCATAGTTCACTAGCATTGAACCTAGAGGTAATGTTTCTCGACATGTATTGTTTGCAGACGAAGACTGACGGGAGCGCTGCTTAGAGCAGTTCCCGAAACAATTGCACTCCAGGCTATCACGGCTAGCTACGATGCCGTTATAGCTGGTGAGCATAAGTGTAATTTCCATTTGCTGCAACCCAGATCATACTGATTGTGTCCTAGTCGTAACGGCCTTGCGTGTCTATGCTATCAATGGCAGAGATTGGCGACTATCCATCATTGTTTTCATGTTGCTCCTTCTGTGCAGTGCTTACGATGTGGTGAGTGCGCGGTAGCCTGTGACATTGCCTGATGAATCAGTAACATTTTGCAGTTTGAAGGTAGTACTACGCCTGGTGTCGCTGTCCCTCCGCCAGTCGGGTGTATAGCTGAGAGTTACACTGCCTCTCTACTAGTGGACATCATGTTTGTAAATGCAACACCCTTGCGTGTTATGACATAACTGACCACCCTAGCTGTTTCTAGATGTATGTGTCCCAATTTGTGAGAACGTCGTACAGACTCATATAATCACAACAGTGTATATTGTGTCGATTGCCACGTCAATCGCTGCGGATGGTATCGTGTTCATCGTTACCTGGCGTCGCACATACAATGTCGTACGACTTTCCCGCGAGGCGAACATCGAGGTGTCTCTCAGCTCACTGTTGTTGAGAGACGGTCAGTTCCTGCGTCTTCCTCACCCATGCAAAATTTACAGCTAATTGCTTACCATACAGGAATTATATACTTCGCGTAAGTAACAATGGTCACTGTCCCTGTTGACCTAAACAGCGAGTTCTTCATAAGATCGCTTTTCATCGCCAACTGCATCACCATTGCCACCAATTGGACAGTATGCAACAACATCATGGTGTTGCGCTTTGCTCATACTCAATGCTACCACCGTTCCAGACGTATGGTAGTTTGTTCAATTACTTGACATTGCCGTTCGTCATTTTACCCACTAAAACCCCCGTTGTCTCACCGGATACTCACTGCCCGTTTTGAACACTATGTGCAGAATATCGACCATCTTAACCTCGCGCATGCTCCTCAACCTGCGAGAAGCGAGCCTTCGCACTAATGGCGCGTCGACATCTTCCCACCTCGGCGGGTCTCAGTTAGCAACCATGCCTGACATGGACTTTGCGCGCGGTGTCGATGCATTTGGGGCCAGCTGGAATGATGATGAAGATGCGGACGTCGACGAAGGCGAGTTCGAGGATGATGATGGGCTGGAGCGTGAGGTGATTGGTAGCGAGACGGCGGGGATCGTATTGGCTGAAGCATAGGACACTACATCTGCGCTTGGACGTGCTATCGTGCGAGCGACTTGCGGCCTGCGTACAATGGCGCCGGGAGTCTCCAAAATATGTACAGTCGTGCTTGGCAGTGCCGACGCTCTTCTAGTTACTTTCCGACGTCAGAGTTCTGTTGTTAGACTGGTGATATGCCAACAGTTTTTTGTTTATTTATTTATGTATAGCTTTTGCGAGCTGTTAGCAGCTCTCATCCTCGTCACATCCTTCGTCTCAAGGACGTCCGAAATTTCCCTGCTGCGGTCTTGAAAACGTCTTGGTAGTCCTCTTCACCGGTCGAGTTGCATTGACGCCGCATATCGCCTAGAAGCCTCAACACACACAGATTGCATTGCGGCACGGTTGTTGATAATCAGGATGCGAGCGTGGACCAACAACACCGCGGCGTCGCCGTCGTACCCCCTATAGCTACGCAGATAGCCTGACCACACTATCATCTATTTATTACAGTCTAACACATATTACGCCCATCGCGCCGATCTGAAGCTACCGCGTCCAAATAGGCGGCCAGCTCTGCGGACACACGCCTACGACACAAAAGCTTCCTCTTCATCAGCACATATACAACACCAACGGCGCACAATACGTAGCGAGGCGACGTACGTGGAGAAGGTGAAGGGCATTGCGGCGGGTGTCTTGACGGGAACATGGTCAGTGAAACGGACAGCTTGGGGATCCCAAAGGGTATTGGCACTGGGAGGATCGCGGGGACGTGGCGCGGCCGCGACATGACGATGTATTGTTTGTTTGTAAATCCCATTTATTGTCGCGTTAGGGCGAAGCCCTATGTAGACATGAGCTGCCGGGGTACTGTACTGATATAGTAGGTCAAAACGTGGGGTCAACGGGAACATTGGCTCGGTGTACCCCCGAAGAGGCCACCTTGCCGGGCGGGACGTGATTATCGTGTGAGGTGTATGTGGTATGTACAGTAGGGAGATTAGAGAGTTCGCGTTGGTATGGTGTATGTGCAGTGTAATGTGTTCTAGTAGAGTCCGTATTGAGATGAGATGAGATGGTAGGGGATATGTATAGAAGAGTGTGAAGAATGCACGCGTCGTGTTCGTTAGTCCGTCAGGTTGGGTCGTCTGTCCCGTTCGCGTTCCGCGGTAGGTCGAGTTCTCCGAAGGTGTTGGCGAAGCGGCCGGTGGCGTGGATGAAGCGGAAGAGTGGGCGGATGGTTTCGGGTTTCGATAGCAGGTGCCGGAGCGATCCTGCTCGACGACCTATTTCGCGGCGTAACCAGTCGCGCTGAGGGGTGTACTCGGGGCATTCGAGAAGGTAGTGTCGGATCGTCTCCCGGCGTTCGTCGCAGGCGGGGCACCTGTCGGTGTCTGATCGGCGTATACGGTGTAGGTGGTGGTTCAGCGGGGCGTGTCCGGTGCGCAGTTGGATGAGTAGGCTGGCGTGTCGACGGGGAAGGGGTGCGATGAGCTTGGTGAACTTCCTCGATGGCATGTCTGGGTCGATGCGACTGAGTGCGGCATGGCGTGGGGATTCCTTCCAGCGCTGGGAGGCGGCTGTCTTTATCTGGTCGAGGAGGTGTCTGCGGATTGCTGAGATACTCGCGGGGAGCGGCATGCGAAGGTATTCAGGGAGGTCGTCAAGGGGACTGCTGTCACCTCTCGCAGCTTTCTTTGCTTCCTCGTCTGCGCGTTCGTTGCCGTCGACGCCGCGGTGGCCGGGTACCCATCGGAGGGTGAGCTTCGCGTTGGGGTGCGTGGTACAGAAGCGGTCGACTGCCTGGTGGAGAGCATCAAGGAGGTAGTGGCCGGGTTGTCGAGAGCGTGTTTGCGAGGCACGGAGGCAGGGAGTCATCAGGAAACCCCCCCTACGCGAATGTGGCGCAAATCGGCGCCAAATCGCTGCCGCGCGCCTTTCGTTGCGAATGCTTGTAAATCGGCGCGAATGCCTCACGAAGGGACTCCGAATATGCACTTGACTGACCTATGCTAGTCATCACTACTTTTGTTAAGGACACTGAATTAACGTATTAACAGACTACTACGAGCATTGTGATACATATGGGTACATGTCCGAGTCACCGAGCAACAGTCTGTGTGCGCGGCTGGTTGTGTGATGTGGAGCGCGACTCGCAGAGCATCTCGCGACACCGATTTACTCAACAAGGATCCTCGCTGGCGATCAGCGGGGCGTCCGCCATGGCGGAGCGCACGGGGTCTAGTCCTCCCGACTCGTTGGCAAGGTTCGCAAGACGGACAAGCCACGGCGAGGTGTGCAGCCTGCCAACTCAGTGTGTGTAACATGCTGCCACAGGCACACAGCATGTAAGCGGGCATTCGTCGCTCTGGTCGTGTGCCGCCACGCGTTAACCGCGCGTCACGGTGGCGTCAAGACGGCATTACGGTTCCGATGATCAGCTAGATTGGGATGCAGGAGGCATGCCGGACGCAGGTGAAGGCATAGTAGCGGTGCGCGTTTCCGAGGGTGCACGGGCCACGTCCACCGTAGGCAGAGAAATTGGTAAGTTGGTCCTTCAAAGGAGCCAGGCGCGCGGAGCTGAGGTGGGGAAGCGTGGCGAGGATGCGAAGGAGGGCGAGGTCAAGGGGATCGGACGGGAGAGCGGGCAAATGCACATTAGGGTCTCGCCACACTTAACGTTGATGGGAGGCGTGGACTTATCGCCCTGCGCTCAATGCGGAAGGGTCGATGCGCGGTATCCTCGCGCAGCATAGGCCGATTCTTGTGCAGAGCACCGGGGCGTGGGTGGCTTCGGCGATGATCGATGAGGTACATGCATGAGCCCCGTGCGCCGTGGAGAGACACAACGAGTGACTGTGTGAGGGAGTGTTCGAGGGAGACGGAAGGCGGCACGCGCGATCCAGGTGGAACGGGCGATAGGGGCAGTGATGCGGATCCTCAGGGCTACTATGAACAGGGCGGTGGCATGCGGGCTCCGTGCCAGCGGGCGCGTTGGGCACTCTCGAGGGCGCGGATGCGGGAGATAGAGCCTTGGGCGGCGCAGCCGCATTCGCAGGTAAAGGCGCATGGTGGCCACTGGTGGATGCAACCTTGGTGAAGAGTGCGAGGGCATCGTGGAGCATCAGACGAAGTTAGCTGAGGCGAAATGGCCCCGGGAGTCACGATGTACACTCACTCAGGCTGCCAGTGGCACTCTCCCTCTCCATTGTGGTTCCCTGCACCGTTCTCCACTCGGCGGCCGGCTGTTTGCGCGGTGTTGCTCGGTTTGCTGTGCTGTCGAGGTAAATCAGCATGAAGGCAACGGATCCGCAATGCCAACCGAAAATAGTGCGGTATGGACGAAGCAAGTGGGATGCACGCTTGCCATACGCGGACCCGCTTTGCAGATTGCGGATGTGCCACCTGGGCCCATCCACACCGCATACATCGACGCTGGTCTGCGCCTACACGAACGGTGGTTAGCCCTGCCTTAGCCAAAGGTAGCACTATGGCACACCCATACGCTCCGGCCAGTTCACCGCTTGCAGACAACACGACACTGTTCTGCAGGTCGCGGATGCCTCACCCAGGTCGAGGCCCAACGCACGCATCAACGCTGACCTGCAGAGACTGGTCTGTACACGCGGCGGCTAGCCCTCGGCCCTCAAGCAGAGACCCATGCACTCATGCGCAGCACGCATACACTCTACCAGATCGTCATAAGCCAAGGATGTTATGGACTTACCTGATTTCATAGCCGTCCCCATCGCCTCTGTCGCGCTCTGATGCCATCGTCGTGGCGTTGTGATTTTGCGCGGATTTCGATTGCGGTGAGGGACACGCCGCCGATGCTCGCGCTGCTCTTCGCGGTGCGGTTTGCGATCAAGTCCGTGAACGGCACAAGTGTAGCGAAGAGCCAAGCCGCACACTGAGGAACACGAGGATGACCGCTCCCGCGCAGGGAGTGTGCCGGGTGTGGAACAAACCCCAGCTGGTCGTGTCTGGGCGGCGCTTGACAATGCGGAGGCGGAAGAAGAGAGCATGCAGGGCGGAGAGGAGGGAGACGAGCGCCATGGGCGCGCGGACGACGGTGAGGACATTGCCCGTTTCGAGCATGCCGTCGGTGTTGATGTCCACGGAGACGATGGATGGGAGCACGCTCTTGAGGGAGTCGGCCTTGGCAAGGCCGCTGACAAGTACTGGCATCCCATTCGCGAAGGAAATTGCGAGGGCGGCAACTTGAAGGCGGGCGTGGGCGGTCGCGACAGGCATTGTTGCGGGCGTCACGGTGAGTCGGATTTCTGCAATGTTGAGGTTAGTCAGCGCCGTTTCATTAAGGACATGGTGAGCTGCAAGTAGTACGCCATGGATGATGCAATATATACACACTGTTCAGAGCTCGTCGTTTGCTTATGACTCGGCACTCTTCTGCAGACCGCGGATGATTCACCCGGGCCGATCCCCAACGCGCACATCGACGCTGGTCTGCAGAGGCTAGTCTCTGCGCGCGCAACACGTAGCCCTTCTTCAGGCAGAAGCTCATGCACGGCACAACGGCACGCCCAAGCGGTCCCAGCAGTGGTCAAAAATAATGGGGACTTAACTTGCTTCAGAGCCGTTCGTGTCACCGGCGAGCTCCTTGTTTACACTTCTCCGAGTCACCTTGTGCTCTCGTGCACCGTCTTCACAGCTCCAATAGGCAATCAAGACAGTCGCCAACAAGCTCAGAGAGGGTTGAAGGCCGTGGAATGAGGGAACTTTGAGTCCAAGGCGCGAAGCGGGGTGATAGATCGTTGTGGTAGGTCGTAAGCAGTGTCAGCGCAGCTATGCGTACAAATGCTTCGGAAGCGCCGGTCGGTGGCGCAGTTGCTCAGCAAAACTACTCAACTTGCGAGAGCAATTGCGATTCCCGATGTTATTCTTTTGCACAATCGTCATGTAACAGGGATATACTGCCCACCATCCACAGCTCGAGGCTTAATCCCTCACGCTGAAGTGGGGAATGTCGTTAAGCCAGGCGCTTATGTGCAGCGTAGCGCTCGCTGGCCTGGTAGGCTGGCTCAAGTCGAGACTCAAGACTGCGAGTGTCCCAATGAACGGGGCACCGTCTGAAGGTGATATTGCAGTTATTTCGGATGCAAGTTGTTAAGAATTGTATCACTGATTATATTGGACAATGAATACACCGAAGTTCAAAGTGAGATTACTTTGCGCCAGGTGACTGCGCTCAACTTGACAACTGGGATTAGACTACGGTAATGTACGTGTGCCTGTCCGTGAACGAGTTAACGTAGAACGTCTCGCAGAGCTCAAGAACGTTGTCGCTCGTCCACTCCGGAGGCTGCACAGCCCCGAACTTTGGTATGAGATGAGCACTGCGATGCAAGCTCTCCAAAGGTACGATTGCAGCAAAACGTTCACCGTCTTGCGTACGCGGTCGCTGTATGCGGTAGAAGAGATGGTTGGGCTCGGGACGTGGCTTGAAGCGACTGAACCACTCCAGGTAGACGAAATGGGAGGGCGCGTCGGGATGGTCTTGGAATACGTTCTGGTGGGCTTTCTTTGACAGGGAGAATATCGCGCGAACCTGGCCCACACGATATCCTGTAGTGCTGTCATTATCTGAATTCGCCCTCGGGTTTGAGAACGACATACCAGTGACTCCTATATGCCCACCCTCCCTCTCATTGACAAGGGCGGTGTCGAATCTTCCAGCAACCAGTCGGCCTTGGGTATCCCGGTATCCTGGTCGTGCATGGAGGGTATCCAAGGTTTCAGGTGCGCTCCGACGTTGGAATGCATCTTGGTTCCAGAATTTGATCTTGTGCCAGATTGAGACCGCGCGGAAAGGGAGGTCGTACACAGCGACGTGATCCGCGAGCTCGCGGCCGGACAGATCAGGATGCTTGTAACTTACGATGAACTCCTTGAGGACGTGCTCAAAGTTGGAGGCTCCATATCGCGAGTCGACAGCAGCAAACGGGACGGACTTGCGTGTCGGATGGCGCGTGAGATGGTGGTGGGGCTTATGAGGAATGTGGGTGGGCACAGTGGCGATGTTGGGTCGGCCGTCGAGGCGCCATTGAATGTACAGCGCGTGGGCGTGGATCTGTTCGAGGCGAACAACGGTGGTGGTCATCTGCGGGTATTCATCCTTTCGGTTGGACTTACGCCACGGCTCCTTCGCCAGTGAGATGTGGAGGTGTTCGGACGCTGAAGTGTTTGTGCCATCAGCGGTCCCAAACAGCTGAATCCCTGACACGTAGTGCTGAAGTGAGTGAAGCTTTGGGAAATTGAAGTGGCTCCGAATGCCGAGGTCTTCAAACACCGCTTTGTTTTCATGAAACCGGACGAGGGCGTTGTCGAGCTGTCCAAGTGTCGTAGATGTATGAGCAGGGAGTTGGGCGAGATAGACGAAATCGAGGAGAGCGCGCACAGCGCGAATGAGACGAGCTGGGTTACGACCTCCAGGTAAGCGGAGGTCGATGATGGCCCCCAGGAGAACTCGGCAGATATCTTGATGTTCTGTGCCAGACACGCGCGACAGATGTGAGATCCCCTTCGAAAAGTGTCGGAGGTTGTGGTTAGGAGGAAGGGCTTGGAACCGGGCGTCGATGGCGCGGGCTCCGTATGCCGACTTGAGCCATGCGACAACGTGCTTCACCATGCCTTGGTAGAGTTGATGCAAGATGTCGGGGGGTAACGAGAGATAGATGTTGACGTAGGGGAGTCCTTGCCAGAATGGGTCGGTCAGCGGCTTGATACCTGCGGCCTGGCATGCGAGGATGTGCTCGACTGCAGATCCCGTTCGCTCAAACGTCTCGAGGGCTTCCAAGATGTCGTTGAGGTCACGCGCGGTGCAACCAACAGCCTCTCCTAACATGTCCGGGTCCACGACTCCAGCTGGACACTCGCCGTTCTTCACACCGGTGACACACACTATCTCTGGGTAGTCTCCGACGTAGGCGGCGAGGATTGGATGGCAGCGTTTGGCAGTACCGTCACCCGTGGTCATCACGGTGCCTTGTCGTCCAGGTTGCCGAGTAGGCGCGAGAGCGAGGCGTAGACACGAATGGAACAGATTGCTGTTGGCCCGCCGGCGAGTTTCGTCTTGCTTGATGTGGGAGAGTCGAGTCACCGGGAGATAGCCAACGAGGAGTTGCGCCTGCCTACTGGATTTGCGGCGGATCTCCTTCGGAATGTTCCCGATTGTCATATATAGAGGGTAACACGCACGATTGCGGAACTGGGTGAGCTGTGTTTTGTCGGAGGAGATGATGAGAGGTACGACCGTGGCACCAGGCGTCTTGCATTCGATTTTGCGCTGCGAAACAATGGCTCCGAGTCAAGAATTTGTGAATGCCTTGAGAAGACAAGCGTACCTGGAGGCGCCACCACCAATTGCCGGTATGCATGTCTCCATACACTCGTGTTGTCTTCGACTGATCGACGTAGTGTTTCTCGGGCGCCACAAGGAGATTCGCGGCCCAATCAGACGAACCGAAGAGCACGCGAATGCACTCCATAGTGTTTCGCACCCAAAAATCGTACTGTTCTCCATCGACCTCGAGGACTTCGCGAATAAACTTGGGTCGCTTAGGTAGGCCGGCGTCGATGAGCTTATTCAGCTCCTTGGTGTTCTTGAATGAGATGCCGAGTCTGTCTAAAACCTGGTTGAAAAGAGAAGAGACGTGTCAGCAGGCGCGCGCTCACAAATGAGGAAACACCGTTACCCCGTCAATAGTCAGGAACTCATTGAATGCGCTGCCCGAGGAGGGGCCTCGCGTCTTGGCCCATTGGGCAATGCGCCAGTCCATCATTGAGGCGAACGGGGCGTAGACATTAGTTTCCGAGACATCGGCCAGGCCTGCCTCGTAGAGGGCAAAAGGGTTCTCAGCGTTGGCAGGGTTGGGTTCGGTGACCGTGGCTCCTGCTTGGCCACCAAACCGTACTACAAAGGGCTCGTGAAACAAGAACTCCTCATCATGAGGCTGGATTCCAGGCAGGTCCTGGTCCATTTCCATATCATCATCCCGTTCGTCAGCCTCTGGACGCGCAGGTCCGCCCACGCCCTGGCCGTCGAGGTCATCGTTGTTGCGATCAAACGGCGGTGGGGGCGACGATCTGGGGCCGTTCTCATAGTCCCGCTCGTCTTCGTCAGATGAAGACTCCGAAGTGGAAGGCGACCGCTCGAAGACTTCAATTTCTGGCCGTCGAGGTAAGTCATCACCTAGGTAGTCACCGGGTTCATCGTCATCCGGGTCAAAGTATTCGAGAGGTCCATCGGTATCTGGGCCAGAAAAAGCGGTTGGTGACTGAGGAAGAGCCCAGCATCTGATACTCACCTTGGCCGGCCTCCCGTTCGTTTGCGTGTAGGCCTGCATGAACAGGTTGATCGGGTCCTGCAATCTCAGGCTGCCGTCGTGGAGGTTCCTCGTCATTGCGACTATTGGATGGACCCGCACGAGCGTTGGCAGGAACGCGAGGTTGCGCAAAGCAAATTCGTGCGCGTTCGCGTGCTTGTTCCATCGCCTGCGTGACACTGGCCTGACATCGTGGATCTCCTGAGCGAGCCACATGACGTGACAGCGCAACCTGATCAAATCCGGTCGCGCCACACCCGAGGCAGTGATGTGTTGCATTGTTGACAGTTGCGCCGATATGCGATCCACCTGCATTGACGTTAATTGGCGATGGTTTAGTTGCCTGGGACGAAACACGTAGGATGTGAGAACACACCAGGAAGGGCCAGATTCATGCAGACATGGGCAAGAGGGCCCGCGCCAAGTTCACCCATGCATTGCGTGTCGTTCAAGAAGTGAAACGGATTGTGCGGGAGCGCAAGACCGACTGACCGAGCCAGCGAAGAAGGGACACCTTTCACCACGAGCAACTGTCTGAGATTGGCGATTGAGGTGCAGTCCGAGACGACTTCAATGCCAGATATCAGCTGATGTACGATACTACAATTCACAAGGCTGCAGTACTGGTACAACACTGACCTATTGGTATACTCGGCCCAGCACAAGGCCGAACAAAAATTGTGTACACCGAGTCTGCAGTGAGACGGCTTCGGCGGTCGAGTCGAATATGAGTGAAGTGGCCTCGATGACGGCGCAATTTGACCATAGAAGAGGCGATCAGCCTCGTGACAGGTAGGATGCGAGACTGAAGTAGAGTAGCTGCCAGTGTTGAACGTCGGTGTCAGTTCAAGTTCTTGACCGACGTATTTTAGGATCGTACACAAAACTCACCACATGCTATTGCCCAGAGAACAAGATAACCATACACCGCCACCCATTGTACAGCGCATTCCACATCTGACTGAGTCGTCCCGAAGCGTGTTGAGTCGTCATGGCATTGTTGCAGATACACAGTGAAGTGTAGACCTGACGGCCCTGGGAGAGACTCGGAGCTGGCCATGAACGTCACATGCGGCGATGTCCGAGTCGACAGGTTGAACAGGAAGTAGCTGATCATTGCCGGCAGTAGAAAGATGAGCAGCATATCGCAAACGAAGCGGCATGGGTGCGTAATGATTGCCGCACAGTTCGCGGTACACAGGCTTGCCAATGCTCTGTTGCGCCATCCCAGTCGGGGTGAACGCGCGCCTTGGCGGCGCGTTGGCATGATATAATAGTCCTGTGCGGTAACAAATGAGCGCGTGCACCAGGAGACCGTGCAGCAGCAATCTCACCGTCAAGTACTCCAATGTCCAACGTGACCTGCAATTGCCAACCGGCGAGTGGAGGACGTTCCGGGTTGAGCTCTGAGAGAGACCTCGCCGGCTGCAGTGGACAGGTCGAACCGGAGGTGCGGGGGTGGGCTTGGAAACACGCAATGGCGTGCCCCGGCGCGGTGACCCCCTATGTCAACGGCCGAACTTGTACCTGAAAAAATCGTGTGGCTATCCGCCCCACCCCGAGCCCTGGGCCTGCCCCCCACTTCCCGACCACGACCACTGCCTGTGCCGTCGACCTTTGGGCCACACCTCAGTAGCCACAAATAACCGGCCATGCCAGGAGCACCAGCCAACAAGAGAGGACGCGCGAAGAAGAAGGGCGTGGACGTGATCGAACACCCTACAGAGGCTGAAGTCAATCAAGAAGGTAAGTATGCAGACGGCTCTCGTCGCACCACGCAGCGCAATGTATGTGCTCACTGTAGATCACTTGAAGTAGTAGACAGCGGAGCGAAGCCTCGTCGAGGTCGATCGACACGGCATGTTGACCCTGGACTGCAAGAGCTGGAGAAAGAGATCAGAGCCGACAAACGAGCAGAACAGACTGCTGTTGAGCAAGCCCGCGAGAACGAGATAGCAAACCCTACTAGTGGGTTGATATTCCATTCACATCTTCTAGTATAAAACAGTAATGGCTGGGACACGATCTCCAGTAAGCCAACCGCGCTCGGCAAAAACAAGAGCGTACAGTGACAAAGGTAAAGAAGATAGCTGTTGTCGGCTTTGGCATCCCCGCGTTGTGCTGAGCATCGATTAGCTTGGCTGCGAGGTACAAATCAGGGTAAGAAGCGTGAGCGCGAAGAGTCCGAAGGCGAGCCTGCCCCGGTGGCAAAAGCAGTCAAGCGCGGGCGTGGGACCAAGACCAACGGTTGGTACATAACTCTGTTAATCGTCTAGTCCCTTTCATCCCTAGCTTTTGCAGCCATACCGTCGGACAAGGCTGCCACCGACGATCTTAGCGCTACGCCAGATGCGACTCAAGGCGGCGAAGGTGCGCGTACCTTCATTGACGCTGAACGGTCGTCCGATGCAGATTGGCTGTGCAGATGAGGTTAGTGGGATAGAGGGGGATGTGGACATGGACCGCACCGGGACCACCTCGAGTACGTGCCGTCTACTATTACAACTGCACTGGGAACATGCGATGATTGTGAGTCTTCGTCCAGAGAAACCCGAGGCGGCGGCAAGTGTTAGCGGGTCCGAGCCGGACGAAGCCTACGAAGGTGAAGAAGCCCACTCAGACGCAGGACGTGAAGACGACGAGAACTTTGGGGTTGAACACGAGCCTAGTGTCTCCAAGCGCAAGGCGGAGAAGATCGCACAGCAGCTCGAACAAGGCGTGAGTGCTATATGGTCACGCTTGTTGAACGCCTTGATTCCCACGCATAGTCGCTGCCCCTCCAACATAGACCGCGAAACTAGTCTCCAGAACTCGCATCAGTCTTAGCGACTTCAACCGCAACAGGCTCACCGACGACGATTTCACAAGCGCGGCAAACGAGTCTGAATACGATGCTGATTTTCTTGAAGTGGACAGCAGCAGCACGACGGGCTCGACAGGGGATGGGGAGGCCGCAAAGGAGGCTGAGTCGGAAAGTGATTGGAAAGTGAGTCTCGACAACTCACTGGTGCAATGAATGTCCCTCACCCTCAGGCAACAATCATCCACCGCGCGGGCTGGCGCCGTCGAAAGGGCCAAGGGGCGGCCACTGTCAGTGAACAGAACTATGACCAGGCACTTGCGCACGGAAGGGATGACAAGGTAACGTTCTCCTCATCTCTCATGCTCTGAGTGCTCACAGCTGTGTTGAACGTGGAGGAGCCCCGCAGCAGCGGCGCCCTTGCTAAGATGCATGCCGGGCCTACTGCCAAACCGACAGAACATGCCGGAAGTCCCAAGCAGCGCCCCGGCCAGCAGCCCATCGACCGAGAAGGCATACAACATGACACTCCAGCGCGTGGACATGTAAGTTTGCCCAATTGTATCACACAATGGCCCGAGTTGATGCATTTCTGTCAGGCTTCCACTGCAGCTACACTTCCGACCGAAGAGCGCTTCGTCGTTGCTGCGGGCAAGCCACGCCGCCGCAAGGAGAAGGTCAAAGCAACCAATGGGACTGATCCAAGCCAGGTGGGTATCCCTAGGTCGTCAGGACGGTTAACGGAGTCACTGATGAACACGTCCACTCGCGCAACAACCAAGCCAAATGCAGGAGACACGGCGAGCGTGGTCGTGATGGCGACTAAGACTAGAACACATCAACAGATCTATGGTCCGACAGTGGTGAGTTGGCCATGGACGTCCCCTCGCAATTGACAGACTGACGAGATTCATGTGTCATTGCAGCACAAACATGTACGTGTATTCTACCCGAGCGGCGATCCATAGCTCACACGTTCCTGACCTGGCGCGCTCCAAAAGGCCAAGCGGCCATCCCCGGAGGTGAGTCGGCCGAATCACAATGCACATAAGCCCATTAACCTCATGTGTTCAATCCCCTTCCCTCGCAAGTACTTCGTATCAAGTGATGATGAAGATGACGGCATAGCGGCGCTGCTGAAGCCGAAATCTCAGCCTAAGCCCTTGCGCGGGAAGAATGCTACATCAGTAGAACCGGTATGATTATACTTTACACCCACCCACTGCTTCTATGTTAATCGCCGAGTTCAGATGTCTATGTCAGACGGGGTGAAGCGGCCGACAGTGAGAACTGGTTGACTTCTACACAGGACTGTCTTGCTGATGACCTCATGCAGAGCAGCGACGGTGCGCGGCATAAGCTACCCGCAGCGGTGCGTGGTTCGCTCGTGTCCACTGCACCAATTTGTGCTCATCATGTGTATTGCAGCAGGGTGGCAGCATCTCGTCTGATGCTGAGGACGACACCGCCAACTTGAAGCTCCCCACGAAGCAGCAGAAGTGGCCGACCGACACATACCTCACGTACAGCGAGGACGGCAAGAGTGCGGCTGGTATCATGTCGCAGCGCTCTGCGAAAGTTAAGTCGCTCTTTTCCGAGTTGATCGCGTACGAGTTACCGCGCGCGCTTCTTCGAGTGAATGCGTTACCCGACAAATACCAACGCCCTCAAATGTTCTTGGACATACTCGTTGAGGCCTCGGTACGACTCAAGTATGAAGACATCACCCAAAGGCTTCTGGACGACACGAAGTACAGCCGCGATATGATGAAAATAGTAAGGCTCACTGTTCGACCTTACTCTGACCTTCTGCTCATCCGTCGCCTCAGCCTGTTGACAGGATGTCTAGTGTGCGAGGTCCGCTGTACCAAGTCGCACGTGACATAGCCTGGGAGGGGTATGGTCTCAAGGAGATTGAGCATGACCCATCCGCACTCAAGAAGGCTAGCCGTGTGCTCACGGTTGATGATCGCTTCATCAGCCCCGGCAAGCTCTCGGTGTGTTGGATAGTTTACTGCGTGCTCTGCGGACTGCTCACGTGTCTCTTAGAATGGCAAATACACCGAGTTCAAGGCAGACTTACCCTTCTGCGCGCCCCCAATCATCAAGATCATCGCGGTCCTCTTTTTTGGTCCAAATGCCGAGATCCCTCTGGCAGACGAGTTTTTCACGTCGTCAATCAAGCAGGGCATCGAGTCGGAGCAGTTGGAGATCCCCGAAGCGATGGCGGCATTTGTCGCCACCATGGTCTGAATCTCTCGCACGTCTTGTTGTCTATTCAATTATTGACCAACTTGTTGACCTTCAGGCTGGTGCTGCCATACGAGAGGGAATCGACGGAGCTCGCCGACCTCTGAAGAACGGCCAGGGCTTCATTGCGACGGCGCAAGACTCACGTTATGCGGGACATCTCAATACTCTCCAGAGGCTGACGACAATGGGTCGCCACAAGATCCTCGGTTATATGTACAAGACCGCAAAGTGAGTCCGAGTCCTATCGCTTAGTACATGAACTCATGGGGTGACTGACTGTTCAGGGCATACTATGTCAAAGGGCCGGCGGATCAACCTGCCACCAGCACGTTCGTGAATCCGGCGACAGCGGGCATGAACATTCAACTGTAATTTTTCTTCATTTGGGGTTTCTCTACGTCGCCGTAAATTGTGTGTGTCACTCTGTGCGACCTCCACTAGTAACCATACATTTTGCTAGTAGCTGGTGGCTCCAAGTTGCGATGCTACGTATACCTGGCTCAATGTAGTGTGCTGAAATCTAGGGGTATTGGTGTTTAAAAATGCAAATTTTTGCGAATTGAACGGCTCCAAAGGTGTGCTTGAGGGAGCAAATTTGGGTACATTTGCCTGCATTTGAGCGAACTTATCAAGGGGTCACGTAAATGGGTCCTCAGCGAATTTTGAGGAATTATGAGCAAATTTGTTGGAATTCGGATAGGGGGGGTTTCCTGATGGTGTTGTCAGCAGCACAGGATGTTTCGTCGAGGAGGTGTGTTGCGAGACGTATGAGGAGCTCAATGCCCATGATTATGCCGACGATTTCGCCTTCGTAGACTGTATGTCGCTTTGCCGTGCCCAGGTAGTAGCGGAGAACGCGTGGCTGTGGGTCACCTGGGATGTAGAGGACGGCTGATGCGCCTACACCGCCGTCGATCTCGGAGCCGTCTGTGTACACCGCGGGTATGTTCCTTTGCTGCCATTCCCGGTCGCTATCCTCTGCTGCGTCCTTGTCTGCGGCGATCTCTGTTTCGTGCGCGGGCCTCCATCCTGGGGGTTGGCGTGTGGCCTGGATTTGTTCGACGTTGCGGCATCTGTCGAAGCGGAGGGCTTGTGTGATCTCGTGGAGGGGGGATCTGTGACGGGTGACTGGGACGGTGCGTGCATTCTGTACTCTGTTGTATAGTGGGTGTGAAGTAGGTAAAGTTAGGAGTCTCGTAGCTGCTTGTATAGTAACACGGTCAACAAGAAGGTCAAAAGGAAGAAGGTTTGCGTGGGCATCTAACATATCCGTTGCGGTGGTGCGCATAGCACCGGTGATCAGCAGGGCGGCTTGTCTCTGTACGCGCGAGAGGCGTTGGACCGCACCTACAGAGCCGTGTCGTCGGGACTTGCCCGGGATGTCGTAGGTGGGCGTAAGCCACACTTCAGCGGCGTATAGCATACGAGGGACGAGTACCGAGAGGTACAATTGCTTCATGTAGCGGAAGGCTACCCCCTGGGTAGGCTTTGCAATGCGGCGGAAGAGGTTGAGCCATGTTGTGCCCTTCGCTAGGGCGCGTGCCGTCTGTTCTTTCCATCGCAGTCGTCGATCGATGATGAGGCCGAGGTATTTCGTGGAAGTGGACGCGGGGATGACTTGGTTGGACAGTCGGAGTGGGGGTCCTTCGTCGTCTCCTGTCGGGTCGTGGTTAAGAAGCGCGAGTTTGTGCATCTCGAACGCGGAGTGGCGTGTGGTCGACCATCGTAACGCTCCTCCGGTGCGCTTGTCTTCCATGTACTTGCGAAGTAGCTGGTGCGTGCGACGGAAGGTCTTGCCGACGGCTGTGACGCCGACATCATCGATGAACCCGGAGCTGGTGACTCGTACGATTTCGTGTTTCAGCAGCGGGGAATTGTAGATGATGTAGAGGTCACCCGAGTCAGCGTCGCCTTGGTTGATGCCGCGTCGAAGGACAAAGGTCTCGGACTGGTAATCATCAAAGAGGAGGACGGTAGTTCGTCCGTCCATCTTACGTCTGTACCAGTCGACGAGGTCCTCGGGGATGCCCATTTCCCGCATGTCGTGGAACAGCTGTTCTGGGCTGGCGCTCGGGAAGGCGGCTTTGACGTCGAGGAATAGGGTGGACGCTTTGAGGCCGTCGCGCCAGGCGTCTCGTACTGTGGTTACTAGCTGCATCAGGGCATCGGTGGCACTTCGCCCAGGTCGACCGCCGAAGTGCGTGTTAGGTAGAATGCCGCGTGTTTCGAGCTCGTATTTCAGGGATTCGATGACGCACGCTGATAGAATCTTGCCCATACAGTTCATTAGCGCGATTGGTCGGTAGGAGCCAGGGAGTTGATAGTCGTCGCGTCCGGGTTTACGTAGGACGACCGTCTTTGCCTCCTTCCAGACAGCTGGGAAGTATCGTAGTTCGAAGGTGGCTCGGTAGAGCGGGCCGAGGACAGGTACGAGGAGGTCGGCGCAGTGTCTGTATACATCGTTAGGTATTCCGTCAGGGCCGGGGGCACGCCATGGCTGGAGTCGGCGTATGGTGTCGTGGATCTGGGCATTGGTTACAGGACGGGTGGGGAAGAGGGGGGGAGGGTGTTGGTGATCGGGAGGTATGTCGGGGGGAGGACATTCGGGTGGGAAGAATGCGTCGTAGAGGATCTTGCTCTTCTCGACATTGCCGGACACCGTGCCTGTGCCATCAGGCTTCTTGAGATCTGGGATACGAGCCTGTCCTCCGTCAGTAGCACCCATTTGGATGTATCGACCTATGGTCCAGACTGTCTGTGACGAGGCTGACTCGAGCCAAGTCTCCCAGTGCTCCTTCTTGGTCGCACGTATTGCATCGATATAGCGGTTGCGTGCCGCTTTGTACTCGGTGTGAACGGGGTGGGATGGGGACTCACGTAGCGTGTATGACTGTCGGTTCAGCCTCTGGACGGCAGTGCGTCGCTTCTCGAGGTCTTTCGTCCACCAGCGTTTCGCGTACTTGGACGGTTTGGTCTCGGGGACTTCTTGTTGTACCGTTTGTTGGATGGCATTGGTGATGTCTTGGAGTCGTTTGTCGAAGTCGACAATCGAGAGGACGGGTGTGTCGGGTATGCTTCGTCTCGTTAGCTCGTGCTCGAGAGTTTGCCTGAAGGTGTCCCAGTCAGTCATCCGAAAGTTGTACTTAGCCTGTGTCGTGGTTGCGGGAATGCTTAGGTCAAGGTGGAGCTCGATGGGGAAGTGGTCAGTTAGCGGTGGTCGGAGGTCAGCCTTGACCGAACACGATACAACCGCGTTGCGCAGTTCTTGTGTGCCGAAGACGTTGTCTGGTCTGGTGAAGTTCTTGCTGTTGCTGGCTTGTAGGGTGGGGGCGCCAGCGGGGAGGAGCATCTCCATGTCGTGGTCGCTGAGTGCGTCAAGTAGGGGCTGTGCGGCGTCGAGGTACCTGTCTTCGAAAAGGTGAGCATTTCGTGGCTCGTCCCATAAAGGGTGATGACGGTTGAAGTCGCCAATCCATAGCGTGTGCAGCGCTACGTTGTCAGGCTGTTCTCGATTGAGCTTCGCCGTGAGTTGGGTGAGCATGCGTATGGTGTCGTGGTGCGTCTGGTCGTTATACACATTGATTACGTGGATCTTACCTAGCGAGGTGTCGAGCGAAATGGCGGTAACGTCGGGGTTGTTAGTCGGTATGCTGGTCCATGCGTCCGTGGCGATGCGACGGTTGACTAGGATGACGGATCTTGTACGTTGTTCGGTGTCGTGGTGGCAGGCTGGGTAGATGACGCGCCAGTCGGGTGTCGCGCGTGTAAGGCGAAGTCCGTTCGTGTGAGGTAGACAGGGCTCTTGGATGAGGATGAGGTCGTAGGGTGGGCTGGCGGAGCTGAGGTTGCCTAGGAGAGCGAGTTGGCCGTCGAGCGATTTGTTGCAGTTGATCGAGAGTAGTCGTAATTCGTTCAGTGATTTCCGTGCTGTATTAGTCATCATCATGCGCGTTAGCCCAGTCTGCACTTCGTACGTCCTGCGCGGATGTGGGGCGTGACCCAAACCGCATGTCGTCAAGGGTAGCCTGTCGGGGACCTGAGGCCTGGGCGTCTCTGGATCTCGCAGCTCGGCCAGATTGGCTTGGTCGTGCGATTGGGATGACGTTCGGGTTGTTTCGGGCCCTGGGTCGACTCTCGTTGCGCCGGTAGGTGTTTCGCTCGTTCGTGTGGCGTCCTCGGCGGTCGGTCATTCGCCATCGGTCGTCGTCTCGCTGCTCCGAGTATCCATGGCGCTGGTACATTGGTGGGTGCGTCGGGTTCAAGTTGGGTTTCGCCATCGGTGCTTCGTGGACGAGCTCCCATGACGATGGATCGTCCTCGACTGGGTAGTACCTGTACATGCTCTCCTTTGAGCGTGCGACCTTGCGTCTGCGAACGTCCTCGTAGTAGGGGCATTGTCGAGACCACGTCGCGTGTCCATTAACGTCGCAGTTGACACAGTGAAAGTTGTGGGGGTCGCTGACGGTACAGTCGCGCGAGTCGTGGCTTGTACCACAGGTGCCGCAGACGTGCGGGGCCGTGCAGTTCTTTGCGTTGTGGTTGGCGTCGAACTTCTGGCATCGGTGACACCGGTGCGGTTCTTGGTCGGGTTTCCGCGCATACACCTTCTTACCTCGCATGATCATCCCGTGTCGTATGGCCTTGTTGGCGGCCTGCGGGTGGTTGAAGCTGATGATCGCGTGTGCTACCGATTGGTGCTCGGTTCGTCGCGCCTCTGGTTTGATCCACTTGGCTCTTGTGATGGTGCCGGGTTCTACGTTGCTAGTCTTCTCGTAGTCGGTTAATGCGAAGGCGTCAGTAAGGTCACACTGGACCGGTACGAACTCGACCACTACTGGGTACGATCGTTCGCGGACTACAACATTCTCACCACCCATAGAGGCGGCAAATCTCTCTGCGACGGTCAAGCGTCTGAGCCAGCGCGCTGACTCGGGACTCTCCATCTCGTACACGACTCCCCCATTGGGGATGATGCGGGCGGATTTGATCTGCACTCCGTCGGGTGCGGTAGCTCCATGCTCGCGCATGAGATCGATGGCTACCTTAGCCTTCTCTAGGAGGTCGCGCTCGTTGAGCGTGACTCCGTCTGCTACGTTCAGGTTGATGCCATCCACTAGCACCTGCTTTGCTCGCAGGGTTTGCGTGGCGAGCGTCGACGCATGCGACGTGGGCAGTGTTTGGGTCACGGCGGCCGCATACGACTCGCGTCTAGGTTCGGAAGGACCCTCCGCACTCATTGCGGGTTCAATGGGTCGATGTTCGACATGTGCTACCTGATCCTGGGCGGATAAGATGGTCGCACTCGCCTTCTCGACGGATTCTCCCAGCGACGCGTGGAGGCGCGACACTTCCTCGACAGTCTTGGATAGTTTACTCACCTCGTTCTGGACTCTGTTCGCACTCCCAAACATCTCTATTGACGCCTGCTCGCATCGCTCCGTTAGGTCGTCGAGCCGCTGACGTTGTTCCTCGTGCGCTGTCGCTAACATTCCGTCGAGACTTTCGCGGATCTTGCTCGAGATGTCGGTGACGGTGATGTTTCTTGCGTAGGTCGCGAAGGCTCGGAGGCCTTCGGTGACGATCGCTGAGTTGCTCCGGTGTGCTAGCATGAGTAGGCCATTGGCGAGGGTTTCCGTGTTGGGTTCGACGTTGTCTGGGACGAATGAGTACTTCGCTAGAAAGTCGAGGGCCTGTTCGTTGTCGAAGGGTTGGACTGTGAGTCTGTCATTCAGCGCGGATGAGTTGCTTCTCGTCGATACGGCGGACGGTCGTGGTGCTGGCGGTTTCGCTGATTGCGCTCTGTCAGCCGTCTTCGGTGTCGTTCGTTTCCCATTGTCGGCCATAGGTCACTAGGTAGGGTAAAAAGGTGTATTGGTGGATGGTTGGGCGTCGTGAGCCCTGCTAGAGGTCCACCGGTCTTCGGTCGTGCTTCCCGGATGGTCTGTCTGACCGTGGGAAAATCGCCGAAGGTGGTGGTACGGAGCCAAGAAGAGTCACGATGTAGACTGTCGACGCTTGTATAAGTAGTGGGGTAAAAGCAGGTGGCAGAATAGGTGCATGCGGCGGAGGTGGCGGAAATGGTGACAGAGGAGAGTGCCCTCAGCGGCGGCTGATCCTGTGGCTCATTGTGCGGCGGGCTCAGGTTGAGCACGGCGTCTGGAGGAGAGCCACGTCAGGGAGGACGATAGGGTTTGTGCCCGGGCTGTCCGTGGTCTTGACGATGGGCGCCATCGGGTCTGAGAGCGTAGAGACACCCGCCTGCGTGGTGCATCTGTCTTTGTGCGTAGGCGTGGAGGTTGGGCGGAGGAAGAGGAGACGTACACTGCTTATCACGACCGTAACTGGCCACTCGGCGATGTGTCGCGATGTAGAAGGTTTGCTTTGGTTTTAGAAGCTTCGTTAGCGAGGACGAGCGAGAACCATAGGGAGGGGAGCCGCTCACTGAGTAGCATGGACGCCCAGAGGGCCTGCGCAGCTCTCCGCGCCTTCATGCGAGGCGCTCTCCAACCTAACCGTTTTCCATCAGCTCATCTGGGCACACGCATGCGCTCGAGGATCATAGATAAACTCGTACTGCTGCTTACCATATGCGGTGATCCCGTCGCGGATGATGTTCAGGGTATCGTGCCCTACGGTATCAAAGACGACACAGCGGTCGTTAGCCCACTGTGCGAAGCACGTCCATCGACCCAGGAAGCGTGCGTTAGTCGATAGGGGAGTAGATAGTGCAGATGTCTGACGAACTTGCTAAACTCCTTGGATATGACATCGGCCTGGACATGGCGAGTTGAACGCATGAGCAACACGCTGGCGAGAGCAAGCTGAGGATGGGGTTCGCGCAGCTACTAAGAGCCTAAATCAGTGGCCTGTAACTAAAAATTATAAACGAGAGATCAACTAAAGTAGGGAAAATTATCCCTTGATACTAGGTCGAGTACCTGGGCGTTGGCAATGATCATGCGTGTTATCCGTGTTGTCCGAGACGCGAATTGACTTTTGGCCTAGTAGACGTGATTAGAGTGAGCTGCGTTGGTGAATGGACCTACAAACAGTTCGCCTCGGCCGCGTAAGACTTCTGGTAGTACATGCAGCGAGTAGACACGGTCAGCGTGACGGCGTAAGCAAGCTGCAAGCAAGAGCAGCCACCGACGCGTCTGTGGCGGAAACGCGGAATGTACCGATGCACCGGCGTCGCCCGCCCGGATGTCGCGCGGCCCGCCTTGGGCCCGCCCACCCGCGAGTTCTCGCTCCTCGTCGCCGACACCGCTCTGACAGTGACTTGCGCTTTCACTAACTTACCTCGACACTGTCCGCCTGGTCCCGACATCATGCGAATTCCGAGGCCTACTTAGCGGGAATCCGTTTGGACAAGCCTCGAGGACAGTCCCGTCACCTGCCAGTACTAGTGCCTCGTACCTGTCTACGTCTAAGTATACGCGACCAACCGGTCCAACTGCATCCTCCTCCAATCCGCCTCCCTATACCGCGTACGCATTCCTCTCTGGGACCCGGGCTCCGAGCTTCTCGATGCATGAGCGAGGCATTGTCGCGTCTTTATCGTAACGGACCCGAGGCCGCACCTACACTGGTAGTACACGCCCTTTCCTCGGCGCAGCAGCCTTTGTTCTGCGAAGACCCATCGGCAACAACCTTCCAAACATACTGGGCGAGATCATGACCACCGCGCTGTACATCGGCCTTATCCAAGACATCACCTCCGCCGTCAAACAGAGTGAGTCCTCTTCAAATGGCGTCTTCGCCTCTAGCTCACCCATGCGCGAATGTGCCAGGTACCTCTCCTCCGACCGAGCACCCTCCTGTCGATATTGAGGTTCTGCGGAGAGACGAGTGCGACAGACAGCGCTGAGTGCGAGTACCTGTATGACCGGTGCGTGCTAGGATCTTCGGTTCCCGGTGTCTTTCATGCTCATGGCTCTTCACAACTATGCTACTGCGATTAGTTATTAAAGGGCCGCATCTGCTCACAACGCAAGGTCCCAATTCGAAGCAGCCCAAGACCGCTGAGTGTTCGGTCTCGTACGCACTTCTTTCCCTCCGTTCTCATTCACTCCTCACCTCCCACCCCAGTACCAAGCCCGAGACACGTTCTACAAGTTCATCGACGAAGCCGGTCGAACGCACCGCGCACGCGGCACTTGGATGAGCCCGCCCCGCGTGCCCGTCGTCCCGCCGGGCACTCATCAGCACCAACAGGTCTCGGGCGCACCCGTCATTCCACCTGACGCCCAGCCTTAAACGTAGCCAGGGTATGACGACACGGCACGCCCGCCCCGCCCAAGATGCGACAGCACCAGCGCGGCTCGACCGTCCCTGTCGTCCCGCCTTCTGAATACCACAGGCGCAACAGACTCGGACCCGACGCCATGGGGACGGCACGCCTGCGCCGGTCCCCGTCGTTCCCTGCGAGACCTGCCATCGAGGACACGGCACGCACTTACCTGTCGTCCCACCTCGTGTCCGCGTCGCTTCGGACGATACGAGAGTGAACACTCATCTCGCTCACCTCCGTCCGCCGCTCTTGCCCAAAGTCCAGCACGCTCCCGTACTGCCGAACAGTAGCCAACCGAACGCTCAGCCGGCAGCGGGGGCTCCAGCGCGCGCTCAGACCGTACAAATCGCATCTGTTGAGTTGATAGGCAGTTTGCCAACGTACTCAGCCTCCGATGGACAGAACAATCTTTCAGACAGCGCATAGCAGACCCTAGATTCTGCCCGCGTCGTCACAATTGAGGTAAGACGTCCACTCAGGCCAAGATTCCACAACATCTGACTGATGCATACATAGCACTATGCAGACACACCACAGCGATCCTCCGCTATCGTGGCTTCGGGAGAATTGTATACGCCCAATTGTCCCTGCGCGGCTGTGGCTTTACGAATGAACGCAACGCAGTCATACAGCCGCCTCAGGACGGCTCAGACAGAAGACAGAGAAGTGGCTTGCGGTGAATGTATGCATGCTGCATCATCAACACGGGAACCATCGACGGCAGCGGGAGCTGCCCAGGGCAAGGTCGGCGAAGCGCACAGAATTTGCGGTGGCGCCGGAGGCGTGCTACTTATGGCCTGCGGGGCGCGGTGTCCGTATGGTGTCGGACCATTTGGGGCTCGTCTTCCCTGTCGCTCTCTCCGAGTCGGTACATCACGTATCAACGGTGCTTGACAGACGGCCCTTGAGGCTCGACTTACAGTACGCCGCAGGACCCGTTGTCGGAGTGAGTGGCGCATCGCTTCAAGTTCAGCGATTAGTCCGGGTACGTAGCAAGAGCATGGCGATCAAATTCGGTCACCTAGGATCAGGCATTGCCAGACTGGCGGTGTAGGTAAGCAAACAGGGGAGGTGCGCTGCAGCCAGCACCGACTGCGGCGCTATGATGCGTGTCACGTCCGTGGCGTGCAACTCGATGCATGGTTTGAGTGGCGTTGTACGCCGTCAAGGCTACAAGTTACTGCAAGCACTCTGCTAGCTCCTTATAAACCGGTCTCGCTACCGATGCAAGTTCCGCCTTCACTCATTATCTGACTGCCATTCTGCTACAAACCATGAGTGCCTCAATTGAGCAGCAAACTGTTAGTATTATTCAATCTATGTGAGCACTTCATCGCCTGCACTGTCCGAATATTGCATACTGATGACCTACAGATTCAGCAGCAATTGCTTCCTTGTGGCCGCTATTGGTTGGTTGTCACATCTCTCGGGAGAGTGATCAATATAACGTCTCTCCTAGCTTTTTATGTATTCGATCGCTGCATCTGCGCCGGGCGTATAATTGACCTAATATGGAGCCGTGGCTATTCCTTGGTCTCGGTTCTCTACGCACTGCTGGAAGTGTTCACGATCATCTCCTTGAGCTTGTTTGGTGTTCAAAACTTCGCGTATCTGGATTGTAAGGTAGGTAGCTCGTAGTACCTCCGCTACGTGCACACCTCCCTTCGCAGATCGGAGTTCACTAGCATCGAACCTAGAGGTAATGTTTCCCAGCACGTACTGTTTCCAGATGAAGACTGATAAGAGCACTGATTAGAGCAGTTCCCGAAACGATTGCACTGAAGGCTATCTGGGCTGGCTACGATGCGGTTATTGCTGGTCAGCCTGAGCGTAACCTCCATTTGCTTCAACGTTGATTGTGTCCTAGTCATAGCTGCCTTGCGTGTCTATGCTATCAACGGCAAGGATTGGCGACTATCTGCCGTTGTCTTCGTATTGCTCCTTCTGCGCAGTGCTTACGATGTGGTGAGTGCTCATCAACCTGTCTCATGGTCGGATAAACCAGTAATGCTTCGCAGTTCGACGGTATCGATGCACTTGGGGTCGATGTCCCTCCGCCAGTTGGGTGTGTAATTGACAATGCCCCTTCAGTGGACGTTCAGTTCGTATATGCAGCGCCCTTGCATGTTATGCCATAACTGATCACCCGAGCTGTTTCTAGATGTCTGTGCCTCAATTCATGAGAACGCCGCACAGACTCATACAATCATAACAGTGTATATTGCGTCGATTGCCACATCAATCGCTGCGGATGCCATCGTGTTCGTCGTTACCTGGCGCCGCACATACGATGTGGTACGACTTTCCCGCGAGGCGAACATCAAAGTGTCTCTCAGCTCTCTGTTGTTGAGAGACGGTCAGTGCATGTGTCCTACTCATCTATTCAATACATGGAACTGATCACTGACCATACAGGAGCAATATACTTTGTGTAAGTAACACAGGCCTCTGTCGCTGTTGACTTAAGAAACGAAACGAGGTCCTCATTAGCTCGCTTTGCATCGTCAATTGTATCACCGTTGCCACCAGTTCGACGGTATGCACTAACATTCTGATGTTGCGCTTTGCTCATACTCCTCGCTACCGCCTTTTCAGCAGATTACTGGCGTGATAAATTTTATGACATTGCCGTTCGTCATTTTACCTACAAAAGCCTCCACTGTCTCGCCAGATACTCACTTCCCGTGTTGTATATTGTCCGCAGATTATCAAGCATCATACTCTCGCGCATGCTCCTTAACCTGCGAGAAGCAGGCCTTCGAGTTGATGGCCATGGCGCGTCGACGTCTTCCAATCTCCACGCGTCCAAATTGGCGACCATAGACTTCGCGCGGGCTGTTGATGCATTCGGAGCGAGCTGGAATGAAGATGCAGATGCGGACATCGACGAAGGCGAGCTCGTGGACGACGAAGGACTGGAGATTGAGATGACGGACAGAGAGACGGCGGAGATCGGGTTGGCTGAAGCGTAGGATGCTACCTCGACGCGAGTCGACTGTCTCTCTGGACGATTTTGACTCAGTAGACGTGACTAGACTGAACTGCGCTAGTCAATGGACCTACAAACAATTATTTTCGGCCTTAGAACTCCTGTAGTACATCAGCGAGTAGGCATGCTGAGCGTGGCGGCGTAAGCGTACACTGGCAAGGGCAGCCACCGACGCGTCTGTGGCGGAAACGCGGAATGTACCGAGCCACCGGCATCGCCCGCCCGGGCGTCGCCCATCCATGAGTTCTCGCTCCTCGTCGCCAGGTCGCCGACCACCTCTCTGACTCGCGCTTTCACTACTCGACACTGTCCGCCTGGTCCCGAAACCATGCGAAGTCCGAGGCCTACGTGCGTCCGACTGGACAAGCCTCGAGGACAGTCCCGTCACATGCCGGTGCCTCGTACCTGTCTACGTCTATACACGGCCAACCCGTCCAACCGCATCCTCCTCCCTATAACGCGTACACATTCCTCATCGGGACCCGGGCTCCGAGCTTCCTGATGCGCGAGCGAAGCATTTCCGCGTTTGTTGTATCCTCAATCGCCTACGGACTCCACCTATACTCCCTTCGACGCGGCAGCCTGTTCTGCAGACTCTTTGTGAACAGTCTTCCACAGTCTTCTACGGCACAGGGGACGAGACCACGGCTACCGCGCTGCACACCAACGCTATTCACGACCTCATCTTCGCCGTCGAACAGAGCGAGTCCTCTCATAGCATCTTCGCCTTCGGCTTGTCCGTGAGCAAACGTACGAGGTACCTTTCTTCTGAGGTGCACACCCTCCTGTCGATGCTTAGGTTCAGCGGAGAGTTGAGTGGGATGGACAAGGCAGAGTACGTGTATGATCGGTACGTGCTAGAATCTTTGGCCTTCAGTGCAGCTTGTGCTCATGACTCTTGATGACCGTGGTTGCACGAATAGCTACCAACGTCCAGCGAGCTGCATACGGCCGCAACACAAGGTCACAGTTCGAAACGGCCCAGGACGTCTGGTCATTCGCTCTCGTACGTACGATCGTCTACCCCTTGCTTCTCATGCATTCCTCACCCCCCACCCAAGGCAGAGACGCGTCCCGCAACCTCATCAGGTTGAACGCATCGCACCTACGATACCTTGAGCAACGTACCCCACGTACCCGCCGTCCCGCCCGACACTCACCGGTACTAGCACGTCTCGAGCGCGGCCTTCATCCCACATGACAACCGCATACCCTCGGCCAGGAATCGGCGACACGGCATGCCCGCCCGAGATGCGACAGCACTAGCGCGGCTCGACCGTCCCCCTCGTCCCGCCCTCTGAGTCATCACAGACGCAGCAGACTCGGACCCGACCACATGGGGACGACACGCCCGGGCCTGTCCGGGTTCCCGTTATTCCCCCCGAGACCCGCCATCGCGGACTCAATGGGCGCCGCATCGCGTTCGCCTTGCAGCCCACTACCGCCATCTGAGGCTCTGTTCCACTCACCCGCTCACTCGAGTACCAAGCCCGGGACACGTCGCATAACCTCTAACATCGAAGATGGCCTAATCCACCGCACGCGCGACTCGTCGTGCGATCCGCCCCGAGCACATGTCGTCCTACCTGAAGCGCAGACACAGAATGAGCGACAGCGCGTCTCCGTTACCCCGCCGCCCTACCCTAGGCGAATCGTTGCCCTCAGACTGGGTACTGGAGACCACGTCCGCCCGCCCGAGATGCAACATGACTGGCACGTCTCCACCGCGCCCGTCGCAGCGCAGACGCAGACGCAGACTCGGATCCGACGACACGGAGAGCCTGCGCCAGCCCCCATTGTCCTGCCTAGGTTCCGCCAGCGGAATGGCTTGCCTACACCTGTCGTCCCTCCCCTCATCCCCGTCGCGCCGAACGATACGAGCGTATGCGTGCCTCGGGCTCACCTCCACCTGCCGCTCGTCCCGCAGGTCCAGCACGCTCCCGTGGTACTGCCGGGAAGGAGCCTACCGAATACTCAGCCTGTGGCGTGGGCGCTAGCGCGCGCTCAGACAGTACAAATGGCATCTGTTGGGTTGATAGGCAGTTCCTCCGTGCACCCAGCGTTGAAAGGACAAGATGATCTAGTATACGACAGCGCATAGCAGAACCTAGATTCTGCGTGCGTCGTCGGAACCGAGGTAAGACATCGACGCAGGACATGATGCCACAATCCCAGACTGATGCATGCACACAGCTGTGCGGACACACCACAGTGATCCTCCGCTGTCGCGCCTTCGGGAGACTCAGGTACGCCCATCCGTCCCCGAACAGCTGTGGATTTACTAAAGAATACATACGCAGTCGTCGTCACCTCACGCGTGTACCCAACTCAGGACAACTCAGACAGACGTGAGTTGGTGCGAGCATGCGTGCTGTATCATGTCAAAACGCCTCGGATGATATGTCTGGGGCACGACAAGAGCACCCTTAGCTACGAAGAACCCCAACGTCCATCGCTCAACGTTCAACCATTATCGTCGAGGACATCCAAGGCTTGAGCTCAGGCTTGCCACCCAGAGAATCTGCGACGTCCCGCGTGTGCCGGTTCGAAGATATAGCAATCCCGAAAGCAACGGCTCGCGACTCGCCCAGCGGCAGGACATCCGAATCAGCAGGGGTACCATCGCCAGCGTCGGCGCCAACGTCGACGGCGGGGCAAGAACGGCAGGCAGCACAGAATGGGTGGTGGCGCCTTAGGCATGCCACTAACTGTATGGCGTCGGTACGTTTGGGGCTCAGTTCCCTGACACTCTGTACCTCGCCGCGGCTGTATAATCGGTGCGTGACAGACGGCCCATGAGACTCGACTTACGCCTTATTCGTCGTCCGAGTCGGAGTGAGTGGCGCAGCGCTGGGGTACGGAGCATGAGAGTTGCGATCGGTTTGAGGTCACCTAGGATCAGCATCGCGGTGTAAGTAAGCAAACTGGCAAGCTTGGCTGCAGCTAGCACTTGGCTGGCACTGACGGCGGCGTTATGCGTCGCGTCTTTGACGCGCAACTCGATGCGTGGTATGGACTCGGAGTCGATCATGATCTCCAAGGCACTTCGATACACATCTCATCCGCCGAACGGATGTCACATAGCTGCCAGGGGCTGCGGATGCAGGAGAACCCGAGTAGCTCATGGACGCAAACGGTGCAAGAATTGCAGTGGGTCCCGTCATGGATCGTCCAACCTCGCATCCGCCGGCGTGCGGCACTCGGTTGAGGGACTCGGGGGCAGTGCGTAAAACGTCATCGCGAGCTCGATGGGGCCAAGTCTTTTGCACAGGTAGCTGAGGAGGTTCTCTCCTGACGAAGACCGTAAGCCTTCCTTTCGATTCATATGTATTCGATGGATCATGCACCGATGAACGATCTCACACAGAGTGTCATAGATCAATGTGTCATTCTGGACTGGTTCCGGTCAGTGGCCACGGCGATATCGCCTCCGTGATCTGACGAGAACCGGCGACATGCAATCATCGCCTCACAGCCTCGCTGTTCGGCGGCATGTTGCGTCAACTCTCAACGCTTGGGTAGCGTGGTATGCCATCTAGCTTACCCCTGTTAACTCCTTTTAAACCGATGTCGAAGCAGATGCTCTTAGCCTTCACTCATCTTCCCTTCTGCCACGTACCATGAGTGCCCCCGAGGATGAGCAGGAAGCAGTCACCCTTCTTCGTTCTATGTGAGCACTTTATAACCTCCCCTCTCCGAATGTTCCGTCCTGAGTGACCTACAGTTTCACCGATAACTGCTTCCTTGTGGCTGCCATTGGTCGGTAGTCACATCTCGCTGGAAAGCACTCAACATAAGGTTTATGCCAGCTTTCTATGTGTTCGATCGCTGTATCTGCGCCGGACGTGAGATTGACCTGATATGGAGCCGTGGCTATTCCTTGGTCTCGGGTTTCTACGCACTGTTAGAAGTGTTCACTGTTCTCTGCTTGAGTCTGACAGCTGCTCAAAACCTTCTGTATTTGGATTGCAAGGTAGGTAGCTCGTAGTACTTCCGCTACGCGCACAACTCCCTTTGCAGACCATAGTTCACTAGCGTTGAATCTAGAGGTAATGCTTCTCGGCATGTACTGTTTGTAGATCAGGACTGACAGTAGGAGCACCGATTAGAGCAGTTTCTGCAGAGATTGCACTACAGATCATCACTGCTAGCTACAATGCAGTGATAGCCGGTCAGTGTAAACCCCGTTTACTTCAGCTCAGAGCATGATGATTGCGTCCTAGTCATAGCTGCCTTACGTGTCTATGCTGTCAATGGTAGAGATTGGCGACTATCTATCGTTGTCTTCCTATTGCTCCTTCTGCGCAGTGGTTACGATGCGGTAAGTGCTCGCCATCCTTTCTCATGAGCTGATAAACAAGTACCACTTTGCAGTTCCAAGGGATCAATATTATTGGTGTTGCTGTCCCTCGGCCAGTTGGGTGTGTAGTTGAAACTGCCTATTCAGTGGCCATTGCGTTCGTATATGCAATGCCCTTGCGTGTTATGACATAACTGACCACCCTAGCTGTTTCTAGATGTCTGTGCCTCAATTTTTGAGAATCTTGCGGAGACTCATACATTACAACAGTATATATTGCGTCAATAGCTGCCTCAATGGCTGCGGATGCTATCGTATTCATTGTCACCTGGCGCCGCACTTACCATGTGGCACGACTTGCCCGCGAGGCGGACATCGAGGTGTCTCTCAGCTCACTGTTGTTGAGAGATGGTCAGTTGATGTCTTCTTCACCCATGCAAGATATAGAGCTGATTGTCTACCATACAGGAACAGTATACTTTGCGTGAGTCACAGTGGTTTCTGTCCCTGTTGACCTAAACCGCAAGTTCCCCATTAGGTTACTCTGCATCGTGAACTGCATCACCCTTATTACAGATATGAAGGTATGCTTCAAAGTTTTCATGTCGCGCTTTGCTCATAGTACTCAATCTGCCGCCTCTCCAGATGAATAAGAATGGCATCAATTCCTATATTACTATCACGTTGGTCATCTCATCTATGAAAGCCTCTGCTATCTCAAATACTGACTGCCCGTTTTGTATACTATCTGCAGAATATCGGCCATCTTAGTCTTGCACATGCTCCTCAACCTGCGAGAAGCGAGCCTTCGCACTGATGGCATGTCAACGTCTTCCGACCTCGGCGGATCCCATTCAGCGACCATGCCTGACATAGACTTCGCGCGGGGCGTCGATGCATTCGGGGCAAGCTGGAATGATGCTGAAGATGCGGACATCGACGAAGGCTATCTCGAGGATGACGGTGGGCCGGAGGTTGATGTGACGGGTAGCGAGACGGCGGAAATCGGATCGGCTGAAGCGTAGGACACTACATCTGCCCTTGGTGCAGTGTCTCGCGAGCGGATTTGCTGGCCTGCGCACGATGGCACCGGGAGTCTCATGAATATGTTTTGTCGTGCTTGGCAGCTGCTCCCGTTTTTATAGTTACTTTCCGAAGTCCGGTTTCCGTTCTTTGACTGGTGATATACGGACGATCGCTCGTGTATTCATTTATGTATAGCCTATTCGAGCTGCTAGCAGCTCCCATCCTCGCCACATTTTTTGTCTACAGGACATCTGAAACGTTCCTGCTGCGGTCTTGAAGAAAGCATCTTGGTAGTCCTCTCATGTCCACCGGTCGAGCTGTATCAGCGCCGCATATCGCCTAGAAGCCCCAACGCACGCTCAGGCCTCAGGCTTGTATGGGTGGGCGATGTGCGATGAACGGACACAAGGATTGACCCCATTGCGGCCCGGTTATTTGCGAGCGTCGACCAACATCGTCGCTGCTGTCCTGCAAGTGCGTACGACTACGCAGATACTAGTCTAGCTACGCCACCCTATTCCGAGCCTCCAGTCGGCAAGGGGATTCCGACTTGAAGGGCATGGGCACTGGAAGGGTCGCGGCGACGCGGAACGGCGTCTTAATCATGTAGACGATCAACAAGTGTATCGGGGGCGGAGAAGAAGCAAGCAGCGGGGTATGCGTACGCGGTGGAGGTAGCGGGGTGGTGGCGGAGGGAGGAACGCCTTCAGCGGAGGCAAAGCAGAGACCCGGATAGACTTGGTGCGGGCTGCGGAAGCAAGGCGATTGGAGGACAATAACGTTGGTGCCCGGGCAGCCCGTGGTGTGACAATAGGCGCCGCAGGTCCGAGAGCGTAGGGATACCCACCTGTGTGGTGCACTTCCCTGTGTGTGTGGGCGTGCGAGTGGGACAGAGGAAGGGAAATGCACCGCGCTCATCATGGCCGTGACAGATGACTCGGACTCGGCGATGTGTCGCAAGCTAATGGAAGGCTTGCTGGGTTGTGAAAGTCTTGTTAGTGAGGCCGAGCGGAAACCCAGGTAGGGGAGCTACTCACTTGAGTGGACGCCCAGAGCGCCTCCGCAGCTTGCATGTATCGCTCCGTGCCTCCATGCGAGGGTCTCTCCGACCTAAATGTTTCGCATCAGCACACCTGGTGCGCACGCACGCACTCGAAGTAGCATAAATGAGCGCGTTACGCGTACTGCCGCTTACCCTCTACGGCAATTCCGTCGCGGATGTTATTCAGGATGTTATGCGCCATCGTATCGAGGACGGTACACCGGTCATGGGTCCACTGTCTCGCGGCACGCCCGGCCACGCAGTGTGGGCGTGCCAGTCGTTGATTGCGTGGACGGCGCGGATGTCTGACAATATTGCCATGGTGAGTTAAATCTGATATGTCGGCGTGAAATTGGCGAGACGTGTGAGCACTGGCAACACGTTGGCGAGAGCTAGCTGAGGGTGGATGTCGCGCAGCTGAAGACCTACCCGGTAATTGAATCATAACCCATGCTCTGAGCATACGATTGAGTGAAAAAGACGAGGTCGCTCGCTCATACTGCCAACCAGACATACGCGCTGCCGGGTATAGGGTACCTGCGGAAATCAGTGAGTAGCTGTCGGTGCGCCACCCCTTGCTCTTGTGTGATCGAGGACGGCCAACGTAAGAAATGATATTCCTTCATATAGGCCACGTACCTGACTGCTATCAGTGAAGGCCACGTATGATACGACTTGTCCGAACATGTTCAAAACAATGCAAGGTCCAGGGTGCCGCCGTGGTGACGCGACTTGACTGTCTCGGGACTCCACCTAATATGGCACCGTAGACATAAGTAGAGTAATATGCGATTAGAGACTGGGATTTACTTACAAGCGATTATCTTCGGCCATGTAGCAGCACGTCCAGCAAGGATCTAGAGCGACGAGGCACGGTCAGCGTGGCGGCGTAAGCAAAAGTGAGCAGCCACCGACGCGTCTGTGTGGCGGAAACGCTCCGCCCGCCCGACCGCGAGCTCTGCGTCGACGTCGCCTCCCTGCTCACCGCTTCCTGTCGCGCTCTGCACACATTTCTGTCTTGTCCCAACATCTCCGGCGTCCCGGCTAGACAAGCCGCGAGGACAGCTGCCATCTACGTCGACACGGCCAGCGCGTCCAATCGCATCCTACTGCCTATAACGTGTACACATTCCTCGTCGGAACCCAAACTCAGAGTTTCCTCATGTATGAGCGAGGCGTTTCTGCGTCTTGTCGTATCCTCGATCGTCTACGGACTCGAGGCACCTACACACTGGTAGTACTCTCCCTTCCTTCGACGCAGCAGCCTCTATTCTGCGAAGACTCATCGAGAACAGCCTTGCACGGTCTTCTAGGGCATACTGGACGAACACACGGATTCTGCGCTGTACATCAATACCATCATCTTCGCCGTTAAGCAGAGCGACTCCTCTCATGGCGTCTTCGCCTCTAGCTCATCCATGCGCAAGCGTGCCATGTACCTCTCCGAGCCGCACACCCTCCTGTCGATATTGAGGTTTTGGTGGAGAGATGTGTGGGACGGACAGGGCGGAGTAGGAGCATTTATACGATCGGTGCGTGCTACAACTTTTGGCCCCCAGTGCAGTTCGTGTTCATGGCTCTTGACGACTGTGCTACCGCAGATAGCTACCAACGCGCCGCATATACGGCGAGACCGCAAGGTCCCAGCTCGCAGCAGCCCGCTATCTCCGGTCCCTCGCCCTCGTACGTATACCCATCTCTCTTTCCTAAGCCCCACTCGCCTCTGCACCTTCGTACCGAGCCCGAAACACACAACCTCATCATCGAAGCTGGTCGAGCGCACTGGTCGAGCGCACCGCACCCCCGACACCTGGAAGAACCCACCCCGCGCATCCGTTGTCCCGCCCGACACTCAACAGACGCGGCGCGTCTGCCCGTCATCCCATCCGACACCCCAACTCCTACTCAGACGGGAACTGGCTACAGGGCACGCCCGTCTCGCCTGGGCCCTGATATGCGACGGCAGCACCACGTCGCCAATCTCTCACTGCACTGACCTTGATGGAATCCCACCGGAAACGGAGTGCGCGTCGCGCGGTCCGCCTCGGGCACGGCGCGCGCGAGCCCGCGGAAGACAATGCTCAGCGGCCCTTGGTAGGCAGTGAACTCGTCGAGGTTGATATATTGCTTGAGCGGTCAGCTACAACCTACAGGTTTGTTCATTAGCACGCAGAGGTACGTTTCAGAAGCACTCTCGCGTTCAGTAGGGATGCCTGTGACCTGTCTCTGACATCCCATTTTCAGATCTTCAACGGTGTGTTTGTCCTGACAACCGCGTCCGTCGGCTAGTCTGCTGGGCGTCAAGTCTCGTTTCTAATGCTGTATTCTAGCCTCACGAACATCGTCCTCGCGCATGCTCCTCAATGTGTCAGTGTTTCCATCAGCAGCACTCCTGGCCCCGACACGTCATCGTCTCCTTGTGTGCACTTTAGATATACACGCTTTAGACATCGTTACTGTAATAATCTTGTTGCAACGACCATAGAGTTGCGTTATGAGAACTTGCATAGAGGAGGACTTAAGCAGTGTTCAGTTTCTTTCACTTGGATTACGTTTTGTTCCCGTTGGCAAACCCGAAGAACGGATGTAGCAACAACGACCTTGTACTGGCGAACGCTATAAGGACTCTCACCGGCACTAGACTGAAATGTGTCTGCTCGCGAGATCGAACAGTTATAGTATAATCCACAATATGTACATTTGATAGTCCGCAACAAGATATTGGTAAGAAGGTACACGGTGCGTCGACTCGGACAGCCCTACCAAGAAATCATCTCCCCTGCGCGCTTCCTGCGGTGGGGCTCATTGCACCCCACTGATCCCAATCGACATGCTCTCCTCATCAACTGCCACAACCTAACCCCAGATCGGCCAAGTAGGCGGCCAACTCTGCGGCAACACGTCTACCATACCCAAGCCCATTCCTCATCAGCACGCGCATTGCGGACCAACAGATCATCATACATAGCGGGACGACGTACGCGGAGACCAGACCGGCGTCGACGCGGAGACCGAGAGGGGAACGGGCACCGCCAGGGGAGACGCGACGGGGAACATGGCAGGTGAAAAGGGCGGCGTGGGGAAACAGAATGGCATGGACGTTGGGAGAGCGGCGGGGGCGTGGCATGGCGTCGTGATGATGTAGATAGGGGAGACTTGGGCCGGGGGAGCGGGAGCGAGCGGCGGGGTGGGTGTACGCGGCGGCGGAGGGGGCGGCGGTGGTGGGAGAGGGGAGAGGGCCCTGGGTTGGGGCACAGGGGAGGCATGTAGGTAGGTCTGGTGCGGAGTATGACAGCAGGGCGAATGGAGGACGATCACGTTTGTGCTCGGGCTGCCAGCGGTCGTGCCGACAGGCACGCCCATTTGGTGCGCGCCGCCGTGGTCGAGAGCGTACGCAGACCCGCCTGCGTTACGCGCCTGCCCTCGCGCATATGCACGTGGGTCGGGCGGAGGATGGGCAGATGCACCGCGCTGATCGCGAGCGTGGCCGGTGACACGGCGGTGCGTCGCGAGCTGAAAGGCTTGCTAAGATTTGTCGAAGAAGGCTTCTCAGCAAACCTGCAAGAAATTGGGCCTTGGACTAACTTACGAGGGTGAACGCCCAAAGCGCCTCGCCGGCTTGCAAGTACTGCTCCGGATCTCCCTGCGAGGCTGCTTCTAAGCTAGCGACCATGCGTTAGCTCATCTCGTTCGCATACAAATCCTCAAAGCCGATGACTCACATAGCGTAAACCGCCTCGTACTGCCGCTTTCCCTCTGCATCGATCCCATCGCGGATGATGTTGAGGATGCTATGTGCCATTGTAGCCAGGAAGGTACCCCGGTCGCGGGCCAACTGTTCCGGGGGCACGTCTGGCGAGGCGATAGGTGCATGCCGGTTGACGGAATTGATGATCGAATGGATGGCGGGGATGTCTGCAGGGTTCGCCATGTCGCGGACAGATAACTGGTGTCTGAGCAGATGCGGCGAGTCGACCGGCGAACAGCGGGAGGAGGGAGGAACGTACAAGAACCGCACTTCCGCGGGAAAAGCGCGGGGCTTGCGGAGTTGGAGGTGCAGCAAGACGAGTAGCATACACAGCACTTTATATCAAGCAGGCGTAGGAGATCAAAGCCAGGAACGCAAGTCCCGAAGGAAAAGACAAGGTCGCCGTCGTGGGATTGTGCAGGTAGCAGTACGTAGCGACTACGTGCCGTGCCATTGACATCTTGTCCTATGTTATCCCTAGACACTTCGATACAGTTCCTGAGCAAATGTGCCTGGAGGTGCCAGACGAGGGTCGCATGTCTTGTCGGCGTGAAGTACAAGGGTGTCGGTGACTACAGTTATGTACCGTGACACCGCCACTGTGCTTGTCGCACACGGCGCCCTCGACTCGGTTCCGCGAGGAATCCATGGTCGGAGTGAGTATTTCAGCGATTGGGATCTGCATATCCCGGGAATTGCGACGAGTGAACGTCAAGAACCAGGCATGGTGAGCGTCGCAGTGTAGGCGAACAAAGGATCCGGAGAGACGCGCACCCGCTGCAGCCACCGACGCGTCTGTGGCGGAAACGCGCATCGGGCCATCGGCATCGCCCGCCCGGATGCGCGGCCCGCCCGCTCTCGTCCACCGCGTCGCCTCCCAGCCCACCACCGCCATCTGAGGCTCGCGTTTCCACTGCCGCACGCATCTCTGCCTGGTCCCGACATCCCCTATGCGTGACCCGACTGGAGAAGCCTCAAGGGCAGTACTAGTCTCATGCCAGTCCCCGTACCTGTTCAGATCCAGAAGCAACTGTTCCCTCCGACGCAGCTGCTTCTACTTGTCTGCGAAGACCGGCGACTGGAGGACGATCACATTCGTGTCTAGGCTGCCCATGGTCGAGACAGCGGGTGCGCCCATTTGGTGCGCACTGTCAGGTCTGAGGGCGTAAGCCGACCCGCCTGCTTGGTGCGTCTACCGCAGAGGCTGTGGAGATAAACCGCGCTAATCACGGCCGTGCTTCAAATTGGTGCCTCGGCGGTGCGCCGCAATCTGGAATGCTTGCTGCGTGCTGTATATCGCAAAAAATGTCTTGCTAGCGTGAGTAGAGGAGACTCTAAGCAGGAGAGCTACTCATTTGAATAACTGCCCAGAGCGCGTCCGCAGCTTGCTAGCACTGCCCTGCGCCTCCCTGCGAGGCTGTCTCGAACCTGATCGTCCCGATTCAGCTAACCTGGTACGCGTACATGCACTACAGTCGTCCACTCACGTAGCATGATCGCTTCGTATTGCCGCTTATTTTCTGCGCCGATCCTACCTTGTATGTGCCGCCGTATCAGTGACGGCTGTGACGCGCATTGAAAATCTCTCCGGTTCTGACTGTCTGCCCAGGCGCCATATGTAGGGTGAACTGCGATAGGACTCGGAGGTCGTGGCCGGGCCTCAATGTTTCGTTCCGATCAGTCATTAGAGACGCGCAGATATCTCCGTGGCTCGACGAGAATCATCTGCAGTACTGTACAGCCTCGATATTTAGCGAGCCTGACCTACTGTGGTATGCTGTGGTATGTCGTTAATCCTACTTCAAGCGCTCTTTTTGACTCCTTATAACCTGGTCTCGCAGCAGACGCCTCCAAACTTCACTCATCATTTGCGTCTCTTCCACAGACCATGAGTGCCTCAATTGACGTAGCCGGCATTCTTCGTATTGTGTGAGTTAATTCTAACCTCTCCTGTCCGATCGTTGCATACAGAATAACTTGCAGGTTTTCCGATAACTGCTTCCTTGTGGCTGCTATCGGTCAGTTGTCACATCTCTCGAGAAAGTATTCTATCCAACATCTTTCCCAGCTTGCTACGCGTTTGATCGTTGTATCCGCGCCGGACGCGAAATCGACCTGATATGGAGCCGTGGCTATTCCTTAGTCTCGGCTCTCTACGTACTATTGGAGGTGTCCACCGTCCTCTCCTTGGGCCTGTTAGGTGCTCAAAACCTCCTGAATCTGGGCTGCAAGGTAGGTATCTGATAGTAGCTCCGCTACGTGCAGCACTCCCTTGGTGTTTCATAGTTCACCAGTGTTGGACGTAGAGGTGAGGTTTCCTAGCACGTACCGTTCGCGAATCAAAACTGACAGGAGCATTGATCAGAGCACTTCCCGAAAATATTGCACTACAGGCTATCACGGCTAGCTACGACGGAGTTACAGCCGGTAAGTGTGACCCCCCTTTGCTTCAGCTCAGAGCGTGCTGACGCTGTTCTAGTCATAGCTGCTTTGCGTGTCTACGCTATCAACGACAGAGATTGGCAACTATCTGCTGTTGTACTCCTATTGCTCCTTCTGCGCAGTGCTTTCGACCTGGCGAGTGCTCACCAGTGTGATCAATCGTCTGATTAACCAGTAAGACTTCGCAGTTCGAGGGTATCATTGTGTTTGCCGTTGATGTCCCTCCGCCCGTCGGTTGTGTTCTTGGTGTTGCCTCATCGGCAAGCGAACCGTTCGTACACGGAATTTCCATGCACCGTATAACATAATTGACCACCCTAGTCGTTTTTAGATGTATGTACCTCAATGTTTGAGAACGTCGTGCATACTCATACAATACAACAGTCTACATTGTGTCCCTTGCCACATCAATGGCTGCCGATGCTCTCGTGTTCATCGTGACCTGGCGCCGCACCTATCATGTGGCACGACTTTCCCGCCAGGCGAACGTCCAGGCATCTCTGAGCACACTATTATTACGAGATGGTTAGTTCATGCGTCTTGTTCAACTATGCGATACATGGAGCTGATCGCTTACTACACAGGAGTGGTCTATTTTGCGTGAGCAACGCCAGTATTTGTCCCTCCTGTCTCAAACAAGCGAGTACCTCATTAGATCGCTCTTCATCTTGAACTGCATCTGCATCGCTACGTATTTCTCGGTATGCTCTCGCATTATAGTGTCGCAATTCGCTCATACTCAACGCCGCCACCTTTTCAGACATCTACCGGCATGACTTATATTACTGTTTCGTTCGTCATCTCATCCACGAACGCTGTCTCACCAGATACTCACTGGCCGTCTTATATATCGTCCGCAGGTTATCAAGTATCATACTCTCGCGCATGCTTCTGAACCTGCGAGAAGCAAGCCTTCGAGCTGATGGCCATGGCGCGTCGACGTCTTTCAACCTTCGCGCGTCCAAAATAGGGACTATAGACTTCGCGCGGGCTGTTGATGCATTCGGAGCGAGCTGGAATGAAGACGAAGATGCGGACATCGACGAAGGCGAGCTCGTGGACGACGAAGGACTGGAGATTGAGATGACGGGCAGCGAGACGGAGGAGATCGGGGAGTCGGCTGAAGCGTAGAACACCACATCTGCGCTTGGTGCGACCTTGTGGGCGGCGTCGCAGTGTGTCGCTGAGGGCGTGCATACGATGATATAGTAGGTCTCCAAAGTCTGTAAAAGTATGCTTGGCATGTGCCGATTTTTTCTCTCGTTGCTTTTCAAAGTCCAGGGTCTGTTGTTCGACTAGTACGTATTATGCACTCATGCTGCCAGTCGCTCATGTAGCCATGAAACAGATCCCATCGCGTCCCGCCCATTGCGAGCGTTTACCAAGAGATCTGCCTAAAGTTCACGTGATTGGCGTGACCACGTCGTTCTCCATGTCCGTGGTACCCGATAGTTCCAGTTACAGGCCCAACACCCTTCGCGCCTACTTGAAACTATCCCAAGTCAGCCAAGTGAATGGCTAAAAGCACGCCTACCATACCCACATCCACCACGTTTTCCCACTCCGGCTACCCCGCCTTCAACCCCTTAGGCCTCAGGCTCCGGCTCTCTCAGTACAAGCCTCGCCCGTCTACATCGTTGCAACACCCCCGCCGCTTTCCCGATGGCACATGCCGGTTCTCGTCCCCTCTTCGTCCCCACGCCGACGAACATAAGGTGCGCGCGTATGTCTTCCATTCTCTTCCATCCCATCGGTCCGAAGCACGCGTGAATAGGCGGGTGTAGATTGCGGCAGCAGTGAGCACTGGAGAAGATCCCGTTCGTGCCCGGGCTGCCCGTGGTCGTGATGTGACAGTCGTGCCGCGCCTACCTGGTGCTCGCCTTTGCGCGTCGGCGCGTGAGTCGAGCGGAGGATGGGGAGATGCATCACGCTGGTGGCGATCGTGACTGGTGAATAGCCGGTGCATCGCAGGCCGGAAGGCCTACTGTGGTTGTACGAGGTACCTCGTTAGCGAGGACCAGCGAGAGCCAAGGCAGGAGAGTTACTCACTGGAAAGGTACCTCCGCAACTTGCAAGTATTACAGTACTCCGCGCCTTTCTGACAGACCGCGGGATTCCGGCTCGCGCTGATGGCCTTCACGCGTAAGTGCTTCTCCCGCGTATATGAAGTTAATGGATCATCGATCATCCGCTCACCAGACGATCTCAACCTCCTTGTACTCACTGTCCTTATAGGTCGAACTCCGTAGCAGATTCGATACATCTTTTGCTGATCGTCTGCCGCCTCTGCCACGTACCATGAGCTCCTCACTTGAGCAAGACGTACCCAGTATTCTTCACCTTGTGTGAGTCACTTGTACCCTGTCACCCTGTCCGAGTGTTGCGTACTGAGTGAGTAACCTGCAGGTTCATCGGCAATTGCGTCCTTATGATTGCTATCGGTAGGTTGTGACCTCTCTCGGGAGAGCATTGAATATAACGTCTCTACCAGCTTTCTATGCGTTTGATTGGTGTATCCGCGTTGGACGTGAAGTTGACCTGATATGGAGCCGTGGCTATTCCTTGGTCTCGGCTCTCTACGGACTGTTGGAAGTGTCTACCGCCCTTTACTTGGGCCTGTCAGCCACTCAAAATCTCGTGTATATGGATTGCAAGGTAGGTATCTTATACATGCTCCATTACGTGCACAACTCGGCGGATCATAGCTCACTACTGTTGAACCTAGAGGTATGCTTCCCGCACGTATCTTTTGCAGATGAAGGCTGACAGGTGCGCTGATCAGAGCAGTTCCCGAAGAGATCGCACTACAGGCCATTACTGCTAGCTACGACGCAGTCATAGCCGGTCAGTGTAGCCCCCGCTTCAACTCAGAGCATACTGATTGCGATTTAGTCATAGCTACCTTACGTTTTCGTGCTATCAATGGCGGGGACTGGCGACTATCGGCCGTTGTCTTCCTATTATTCATTCTACGCAGTGCTTACCAGCTGGTGAGTGCTGACCAGCCTGATTGATTGTCTGATGAAATAACACTAACACTTCGCAGTTCGAGTGTATCAACATCCGTGCCACTGATGTCCCTCCACCCGTCGGTTGTGTAGACGGTGTTGCTTCTACAGCCATCGAGCCGTTCGTATCTGCAGCGTCCTTGCATCTCGTAGCAGGACTGACCACCCGGTTTTTCTAGATGTCTGTGTCTCGATTTATCATAATGCCGTGCAATAGAGGTTGATATGACACACAGTTTACATTGCGGCGATGGTCGCTTCCACGGCTGCCGATGCAATTGTGTTCATCGTTACCTGGCGCCGCACCTATTGTGCGGTACGACTGTCCCGCGAGGCTAACATCGAGGCGTCTATCAGCTCGTTATTGTTACGAGACGGTCAGTTCAAATCTGCTCTTCACATGCATAATATGGAGCCACTGATCCGTTATCATACAGGAGCAACATATTTCGCGTACGTAACTCCGGTTTCTGTCCCTGTTGACTGAAACAGCGAATTCTTCATTAGATCGCTCTTCATCTTGAACTGCATCACCATGATTATAGACATGAAGGTATGCTCTAAAGTCACGGTGTCGTGCTGCTCTCAGACTCAACACTGCCGCCTTCTATGCTAGGCAGCTGTCAGTGTAGATTATATTGCCCTGTCGTTCGTCATCTCATCCACTCAAGACTCCGCTGTCTCATCGGATGCTCACTTCCTGTGTTGTATACTTTCTGCAGATTATCGAGCATCTTACTCTCGCGCATGCTCCTCAACCTGCGAGAAGCAGGCCTTCGCGCTAGCGGCCATGACGCATCGACGTCTTCCGACCTCCGCATGCCCAAGTTAGCGACCATAGACTTCGCGCGGGCTGTTGAATCATTCGGAGCGAGCTGGAATGACGAGGGAGATACGGATATCGACGAAGGCGAACTCGAGGATGCTGAAGGATTGGAGGTTGAGATGACGGCCAGGGAGCCGGCGGAGATCGGGTCCGCAGAAGCGTAGGATATGCGCTTGGAGCTATCTTGGGAGCCGAATCATGGTGTCGCACAGAGGGCGTGCGTACGATGGTCTCGGGAGTCTGAAAAAATTGTGTAGGCAGTGTGCTTGGCAGGTGCCAATGTTCTAGTCGTTTTCCAAGTTCGAGATCTGTTGGACGACCAGTATGCAGTGTGCTGACAGTCGCTCGTGTATTGATTTATGTATAGTATAATGTCGTCTAGAAGCCTCAGCGCACGCGTGTATGGGTGGGCGGCACGAGCGACGTGTCTCGGCCATAGAACCTTTCGTGCATTGGTATGGTCAGCGTGGTGGTGTAAGCAGACAAGGGCAGCCACCGACGCGTCTGTGGCGGAAACACGGAATGTACCGAACCCATCGGCATTGCCCGCCCATCCGCGAGATTTCGTCCGTTGTTGCTTCAAGCTTGGTTGTCGCCGCGTCGTCTTCCCGCCCATCGCCTCGAGCCGTCTGCAGGAGGCGGGTTCAACCGGCGTTCGAGCTGGAGAGGCCTCGAGGACAGTCCATCACCCCCCAGTCCCCTAACCTACCTACATATGCCCACCCGTCCAATCGCGTTCCCTCTCATGCGACCTTTGGCCACCTCTGGAACGCATACATTCCTCTTCGGAACTCGGGATTTGACTGGCCTCTCCCAAGAGCGATGTACTATGTCTTATCACAAACTCGACTTCGCCTACGCTGGAGGTCGCACCTCAACAGGTAGCACTTCTACTTCTCAGACGCAGTTTGTTTTGGTACTGTGGACACTTGTATATCAAACCCTGGTGCTGGTTCTCACTGACGACGTTCATGTCCTCGCATAGATTGGACGTAACAGGTAACCATCCACTATGTCGGTCTCTCCACCGCCTGGCGCGGCATGCTCTCTTCCGAATCCTCGTTTATCTCTCAGGATGCACCTTCCGACATCGGTTTTAACTCAGATATGGACGTGTTCGCTGGCGTTGGGCACGAGTGCGGGCGCAACTTGATTACTATCGCGGATGTCGGTGGTACACTCGCCATCAAGGTTGCTCTGGACTAGTCTTTGTGGTTTACGTGCTTTTAGACGTGGTCAGCGTGTCTATGTGGGCTACGCTAGGAGTCCAAGACGACGCCGATATTGCAAGGTTAGTCACAAATAGTTCTGGATTGCGAGGTCTTTCTCACGATTCATCGCTCACAGTTTTTTTAGAGGTACTAACTATCCTCGGCATGTGTCATTTCGCCGACCAGAGATAAATCAAGTCTTTCATGGTGCATATCCTGAGGATCTTGCGTTGCAAATCGCATATATAGCCTATTCCATTGTTCTTGTTCATGAGTACAGCGCTCCGCAATTCCGTATTAGTACATAGTGATCGCATGTAGTCATTGCCACGCTGCAGAAGTAGGCAACTATCTGCTGTTGCGTTCACTGTACAAAGTCTACGGTGTGTCTCTGTCGTAGTGCGTATTTCGCCGCTCCCTGAGTACGGCTGGCTGACCGAAGCTTAACCACAGTTCACTAGCATCCCTGTTATACCTGTCGCTTCTCCTCCGCCGTGGCCTTGGTAACCGAGCGGCAGAATGACTCGTTATACGACTCCTTGATTTATAGCTGTTTGCGTCTTGCCTCCCATGACAACATCATTGACGCTGAGACGAATTGATAGGGCTCCGCTGGCCATCTCTATCGTTTCCGATGCTATCACGCTTGCTGCAGCTGCCACCTAGTGTCGGACGCGCCGTGTGATATGTCTCATTTCCCAGGAAGACGTGAATGCACCGTTGGATTGGCAGCTTTTTGACGGCGTTGACCACCCGACATATGCGTTCGTCCACTCGTTCTCTCAAGCGACGTTACCTGGTGGCTCACCGCTCACTCATGATAGACGTACAACCGTCATTCTCTCTCACATGCTTCTCAACTTGCGAGAAGCAAACCTTGCTACCAATGGCACTGTTTCCGGTCCCGACACCTCGATATCTCCGTCTGAGAGAGACTTCTCGCGGAAGGTAGATGCATTCGGTGCCACTATTTCATTTGGTTCGGACGACAACGATGACGACCAAGACATGGGCGATGAAGGCTGCAACGACGACGATCAAAATGGAGAGGACATATTGGGGGAGTCCCGAGATGATTTGCTTACATCTGCTGCGATTTCATAGGCTTATCTAGGAGGCGGTAGGTCAGCGCAATAGTGAGTATTACTTCCACCTATTTTCTCAGGAAGTCACTTGTTCCCGAATACTCCCTATTCTGTAAGTGGTGACAATGAGACGCGGAATGCTTGGAGCGCAATGTAACAGGAGGTGGTACGGATGTGTGCATATATGCTTATGCGGTGAGTACCTTCTCAGCGTCGTCGCCGTGATAGGAGATCTACTTACAGCCGGGCAAAACGGTATGTGATGAGTATTCACTTAGACCCAGAAAGACTGTCACTTACCTGATTTATTGTATACCATAGTTGACGAACAGCATCGCTATGAGCTTCCTAGAAGATTGCATCAACCTCCGGTCGACACAACCTTCCGCGAGACGATGAACTCACCCGTGAATCTTCAAGTAAACCCGAGTTCTACGCCGACCCCTCGCACGCGAAATCTACATATCCAAAGCTCACGTACCACCAATATCACGCTGTCGTTCGTAGAGCTCGCTTCAGGCGTAGACATTTCTATCCTCTGTCGAGGAGTATACTCACTACAAGGTCGTTCCGCGATCTCATATATTTGCCTGTTTGATTGACAGCGCCGCGTTAGACTCCACGTTCCGGAAAGGGGATCGACGATACTTATGCTTCCTCGTTATCTAGGTTTGTTACGATGATGATCCGATGGTATTGTAGGTTCGTGGACTTTGCAAACCTGATGAACTCCTGAAGCTAATCCTTGCTTCGCACTGCGTCTCTGGTAGGCTTAATGCTCCCAACCGCTTGGAGCCAGCACCTGTTCATATTGAAACTCAGTATCATAAAGATGCGGTGCACGTAAGTATTGGGTTCACAGCCCACCTCGAACAGCTTGAACACTCGTCCACGCACACATCCCAGAGCCATGTCGGACAGTCTCACCGCTGCAATTTCTCTTGTGATAGAAGAGCAGTGCGTATCCGGAGTACTCACAAGACTCAGACGGTTGGTCTGATACTCGGATGGATGTCACTGCACAGATATATTCAAAACTGTTGCAACCTTGCCGCGTTTGGTGAGCATTGGGCTCGTTCCATGCGGCGGGTCACTAATGTCTGTGGCGGAACCGGTGGTAGCGATGTACTTGTTTGACGTTGCGCTCACTCTCGGGGACCAGATCGACCACATATGGCGCCGAAGCTTTTCAGGAGTCACGGCGTTGTTCATAACGCTTCACTTGTCGACTTTAGCCGTGTATGTGTTGTATATAGTGCAGGTTCCTCTCGTAGAATGCCAGGTGCGTTACACTGCTATGTTGCGCCGAGTCTGCTCTTATAAATTCAGTAGCCGTATGTGTCAAACTTCTGGTGTCCGACTCGGATACTACCTCCGGGCGCTGACATCGTGCATGGCCTTCATTCAGTGCCTACATTACAAACATGGCATATGCTCTTGCTAGCTCGGTTCAAGTGCTCACGGTCGCAGGTACGACGGCATTTACCAGGATACCTCATTGCTGAGCTCCCCCACACAGCTGTTGCGGCTCTACGTATCTATGCTATTAACGGACACGATGGGCGCTTGCCCACTCTCGTCTTCTCTCTGTCTTTGGTGTCCTTCGCGAGCACGCTTGTAAGTCTTATGTTCTCCGCAACTCGATACGTGTCATTCGAAATCACTCACTGAATGCACAGTACTACTGCGTGTCTCTTACGACGGAGTTTCTGCCGCCTCCCTTCAATGCCTGTGCCGTTTATTCTAGTCAGCGGGGCATATATTCTAAGTAATATCTACAACTTACCCCGTTCCATCAATGTTACTCATCCTTGGCGTTATCCTCAGGTGTACGTGGAGGCTTGTATCACTTCTGATGGTGCCAGCAGGACTGAAGTACTTTGTGTTTGTGCAACTTTCAGTTTCCATCATTGGATACGCTTGCTTCATTGTAGCCGAGGCACTTGTCTTACTCAGCACGTGGTGGCACACTTACGGCTTGAAGAAACTTGCAAGAGAGAATAATCAGGAAGTCTCCCTGACGGACCTTCTGCTACGAGATGGTGAGCCATCACTCTGAGACTATGTCGCGCTCGATGTCTGACAAGCTTTCTTCGTAGGTACGGTCTACTTCGGGTGAGGCATGCCGCGGTTTTGTGGCGTCACTCAAGACTGGACATATGCTAAGTATTGGTTTTTTATAGCCTGATGTTCTTGTTGGAGATATTTGCCTCCATCGGCCAATATGTGACTGTCAGTGTCTTCGCTCACTCTCGCTTCTTCACTAGCTGAAAGTCCGCTGACAAGGCACTGGAAGGCGCCCCCGCATTTGTCTTCGCGTGCGTCCTAGTTCTACTGTTTCTTCAGCTTGGACAGTCCAAGAACCTCTTTCGTCGCAGACTTGAAGCCATCCTCCTCTCGCGATTTATACTCAACCTTCGACGTGTTGCGCTTCAGCTCGTGATCTCAAACGGCCGTCAGCTGGGCGCAGCGTCATTTTCCGCCTTCAGTTCACGGCTCTCGGTTTCGGAGCTTCAGTTCGATTCGCGCGTCCTCGGCACCCTGGGCGGGTCTTTGGCGCTGGGCTCGTCTTACGATGGGGAGACGGGCATCATCGTCGATGATGTTCTAGCCGAAGGAGACCCAGAGTATCTGGAAGAAATGGCTGCGCACGACGAGCGGTACGAGTTGACAAACTGAAGCAAGCAGTGCGTCTCGAACCATCATGACTTCTTCGTGATCGTGTTCATGAAACAAAAGAATGTCTACGCTCTAGGGCCACCAATCGAGCAGCGCAGACTCTGGAATGAAGAACTCAGCCTTGTGGTAACAGTACTACTGTAGATCACCGTCATGCCTATCCAAAGTGCGCTTCACAGACGGCCCATGAAGCACGAGGCTCGACTCACGCCGCAGGATCCATTTTCAGGGTGAGTGGCGCATCGCTAGAATGACAGTGAAAGTAAGGAAACAGGGCCCGGGAGCCTCCCTGCAGTTGGCACGTCGTCGGCGGCGTCTTTGATGCACACCCAGATGCCGGACAGATGACTTGCAGATGGCAGTTGAATAGAGTTGAATTTAGCCACCGGCGGCGACCATAGGCGCACGCGCGATCCTCGGCGCCGGCGTCTTGACGGTGACAGCGCTTGTAGGCCCTTGGACAACGCTCACTATTTACTTACAACACCACGACTGTAGAAGCTACACTCCGAATTGGCGAGTACCTAGTTCTTGAGAATGCGTGAGCGCAGACTCTTCGCCACCTCAGCTGCGAGCTGATGCGGCAATTTCGAGTAGCTCGCGCATGCGAACTGTGCAAAAGCAGTGCAATTTCATCGTGAGTTGCTCAGCCTTGGTTTTGTCGGCGTGTGGTATTCTGTTGAGATGACCGGAAGCGGTACGTTGAACATATTTGCGAGTCGTATGCTAGCACGACTAAAGGCCGACACACTGTGAGCCTGAGTACGTCTTCCGTTGACATCCAACGGATCATCCGCTTATATGATCTCATAGAGCTTTCAGTAGGCTCTGTCTAGGCCTCAACGTCTCGTTCTGATCAGTAGTGACAGCCATACCTGAGGTGTCCCGGCGGTCTGACGAGAGAGACCTGCAGTACAGCTTCGCTGTTCGGCGACCTACTATCTCGACGCTAGAAGCCTGAGTAGTGAAACATCGGCAAACTTACTTCAAGCGCCTCTGCTCAGTGCTAGCTCCTTATGTCATAGAGCGGTCTCGCAACCAACTCGCAGCATCGGATGCCTTCAACCTTCACCGTTCATCTGCCTAACTACCACACATCATGAGTGCTTCAGTTGAGCAGTTCACAGTCAGCATTCTTCGTTCTACGTGCGTACTTCGTAATACCCTCTGTCCGAATGTTGCATACTGAGTGACCTACAGGTTCTTCGATAACTGCGTCCTGATGGCTGCTATCGGTTGGTTTTCGTATTTCTCGGGAGAGTGCTCAATATAACGTCTACCCCAGCCTCCTATACATTCGATCGCTGTATCTGCTCTGGACGTGAGATTGATCTCATATGGAGCCGTGGCTATTCGTTGGTCTCGGCTCTCTACGCACTGTTAACAGCGTTGACCATCATTGAATTGTGCATGTGGGGTGTTCAAAATCTCATGTATCTGGATTGCAAGGTAGGTGGCTCATAGTAACTCGGTTACGTGCACAACTCCCTTGGTGGTTCATAGCTCACTAGTGTTGGACATAGAGGTAACGTTACCCAGTGCATACTCTTTACGAATAAATACTGACAGGAACACTGATCAGAGCGGTTCCCGATGCGACTGCAGGACAAGCCATCACGGCTAGCTACGATGCACTTATAGCTGGTCAGTGTCACCCCCATTTGCTTCACTTCAGAACACACTGATTGCGTCCTAGTTATCGCTGCGTTACGTGTCTATGCTATCAACGACAGGGATTGGCGACTATCTGCCCTTGTCTTCCTATTATTCATTCTACGCAGTGCTTACGACCTGGTGAGTACTCATCAGCCTCATTCATCGTCTGATGAACCAGTAACACCTCGCAGTTTGAGGGTATCAATTTGTTTGCCGTTAACGTCCCTCCACCCATCGGCTGTGTAGATGGTGTTGCCTCCCCAGTGTCTAACCCGTTCGTATCTGGAGTTAAATGCATCTTGTAACATAATTGATCACCCTGTTCGTTTTTAGATGTCCGTGTCTTAATCGATGAGAATGTGTGCGGTACAAGCTCATATTGAGCTTGAACAGTCTTTATTGCGTCGATGGCTGCGTCGATGGCTGCGGATGCTATGGTGTTCATCGTTACCTGGCGACGCACCTACCATGTGGTACGAGGGTTCCGTCAGGTGAACATTAAGACGTCTTTGAACTCATTATTGTTGCGAGACGGTCAGTTCGTGACGCGCCTTCCTCCATGCGATATATGGAGCTGATCACTCACTACACAGGAGCAATATACTTCATGTACGTATTGTCGGACTATACTGTCCCTGTTGTACTAAACAGCGAGCTGTTCATCAGATGGATTCTCATCGTGAACTGCATCGTCATGATCACGAATTTGGCGGTATGCTCTAAGAGTATGATGTCGCTCTCGTACCTAACGTCACCGCCTTTCCAGCCCATCGATCAAAGAGTTCCTGAACCTGTTACCATTCCGTAAGTCATCTCATCCACGACTCAATGACTCCGCTGTCTCACAAGACGCTTACTGCCCATCTGCAGAATATCAACCATCTTACTCTCCCGCATGCTCCTCAACCTTCGAGAAGCAGGCCTTCGCACTAATGTTCATGGCGCGCCAGTCTCTTCCGACACCCTCGGCGCGTCCCAGTCAGCGACCATATCTGACCTAGACTTCTCGCCGCGGGGTGTTGATGCATTTGGAGCCAGCTGGAATGACGATGAGGGTGTGGGCATGGACGAAGGCGAGATCGTGGATAACGACGAACTGGAGCTGGAGATGATGGGCAGCGAGACGACGAAGATCGGGTCGGCTGAACCGTAGGACGTGCGCTTGGAGCTGTCCTCCACTTGTGTAGTAGTCCTGTGCGTCCAATTCACCTCAATCTCCAAGTTTGAACATTCTAACCTTCGCCATTTTAACCCACGATTATATGTGCTTGTCAAGGACAACACTACACTATCGTATTTGGTGTGGCGATGTAAGTAGACAATGCACGTCTATTCCCGCCGCGCAGACCGGCACATAATTCACCGCCGGTTGAGCTGCATCGGCGCCGCGTAAGCAGAGTCAAGTACAGCACGTAGCGTGTATGAGAGTACCTCTCGGCCATGCGGCGTGACGGCGCAAACCTGGGCAGCCACCGACGCGTCTGTGACGGTCTGTGACGATCCATCGGCATCGCCCGCCCAATGCCGTGCGCGAGCTGCCGACGCGTGACGCCGCCGCGTCGCCTTCCCGCCCATCGCCTCCGTCTGCGGCTCGCGCGTACACTGCTCACCGGCTTCCGCACACATTCTCACTGCTCCCAGGCTACCGGCGACCGCAGACTGGTCTGCCTGGTCCAGACATCCCTCATGTGGAAATACTGAGCGCGTCCCGGCCAGGGCAGCCTCGAGGACGGTCCCATCACCTGCCTCGTACCTGTATGCGGTCCACTACGTCCAATCGCGTTTTCCTTCCTATCATGCGACCTCTTCCGACCTCTGGAGCGTGTACACAATCCTCGTCGGGACCCGGGCTATGACAGGCCTCATGCGCGAGCGAGGCGCTGCCGTGTCTTATCACATCCTCCATCGCCTATGGATTGGAGGCCGCACTCGCACTGGTAGATCTTCAGAGCACATCATACTCTTCTCTCCGACGCAGCAGCCTCTGCTCTGCGAAGACCTATCGGGACAGCCTTCCCTGGTGCTGGGTTTCTTCTAGGGCATAAGTACTGGGCCAGACCATGGCTACCGCGCTGCACATCAACACCATCCACGACATCATCTCCGCCGTCGAGCAGAGCGACTCCTCTCATGGCATCTTTGCCTCCAGCTCCTCCATGCGCAGACGTGCAAGATATCTCTCCTCTGAGGCACATACACTCCATTCAATGCTCAGATTCCGCGGAGAGATGGGCACGACGGACAGGGCAGAGTACGAGTATTTGTACGATCAGTGCGTGCTAGATCTTTGACCACCACTGCACTTCGTGCTCATTGCTCTCGATGACCGTGGTGGCGCGAGAAGCTACCAACGAGCTGCATGCGGTCAGAACGCAAGGTCCCAACTCGAAGCAGCCCAAGACCTCTGGTCGTTCGCCCTCGTACGTACGACCGTCTCCCTTCCTCCTAGCCCCACTCACCTCTTCACCCCAGTACCAAGCCAGAGACACGTCGCACAGCCTCATCACCGAAGCCGGTCGAAACCATCGCACCCGCGACACGTCGAGGAACCCGCCCCGCGCGCCCGTCGTCCCACCCGACACTCACCAGCACCAGCACGTCAGTGCGCCCGTCATCCCACCCGACACCCAATTACATACTCAAAACGGGCAACGGCGACAGGGCACCCCAGCCCCGCCCGAGATGCGACAGCACCAGCATGTCTTCAACGCGCCCGTCGTCCCGCCCTCAGCGCAGACGCAGACGCAGACTCGGACACGGCGACACGGAGACCCAGAGGGCACGTTCGGGCCAGTCCCCGTCGTTCCGCCCGAGACCCGTCACCACCGACAACGCTCCCCCGCCCCCGTGGTCCCCCCTCCTATACCGGTCGCCCCGAACGACGCAAGCGGATACGTATCTCGAGCTCACCTCCGCCCGCCTCTTCTCCCGCAGCTACAGCATGCGCCTGTGGTCCCGCAGAGCAGTAGCCGGGCGGACGCTCAGTCGGCAGCGCGGGCTCCGTCAAACGCACCCCAGGGAGACCGGCAGAGAAGTCGGGCTACGGGCAGACAGACGTCGTATGGCCACCGCGTGCCCACAGGTCATAGCATGCCTCCGCCGCCGCACTTCTTATGGCCCCCTCCGCCACTGCCCCCGCAGCCTCTGTTCGCGCCTATGCCGATGTCAATGCCGGCGATGGTACCCGTGTTGATGATGCAGCCCGCATGTACGTGTGGCACCAAATTCTTAGATGTATGCGCGCTGACGAGTGAGTCGCGTTCGTTCGTAGATCCACCGCCGGTTGGAGATGGGTGGGCGTATCAGGCCATACCCAAGCCGCGATAGCGGAAGGGCCCCCTAGTCCCTGTTTGCGCAGGCTGATGTCCCGGCTTGTGGGCTTCTATCGTGAGTGGTAACGTTCTCTCGATGATACGTGCAGTTGTGGGCGGCTCAGATTGACCGCTTCGCGTGAAGTGCGGCATGTCAGTGGCGATGCATCGACTAGAATCGCCGTTCTCCGCATCGATGTCCGTTGGGTTAGATGAGCGGTCGAAGAACGATCATAGTTTACTCCGCCCTCGATGCGAGGTCGCTAATGGTACAAAAACAGTTCCCTACTCGGTCTACACTTCGAGCCAGTCATCGTACACATCCCACTCCCACCTCCGCTCACAAGACGCTCCACGAGACGTGCACCGCCGCAGACTTCTCCACCGACTTCACGAAATACTCGAGCGTCGTGCCCATATGTTCTTTCGCCCACGCATGGTGGCCCTGTCAACACACTACAGTCAGCGCGATGCACCCGAGTTATGAGGCCTGGCCTACTCACCTCGATGGACTCCCACCCAAGCAGTGTCCACGTCGTGCGGTCCGCCTCGGGGACCCCGCGCGCGAGCCCGCGGAAGACGGGCGATTGCAGGAGGATGGTGGTCAGCGAGGCTCTGTAGGCAGTGAACTCGTCGGGGTTGATTTCTTGCTTGAGGGTCACCGTCGACTGCGTACGCGTCCAAGGTCAGATTCATCTTGTCGGGATGTGGAAGGACTGCAGTGGGTGGGAACGTACGATCTCGGTGACGGGCGCGGTGAACACTTCGTTGGGGAGCTCCTTGAAGTGCAGGTTGTGCACGATCGCCTCGGAGGCGCTGATATCTAGGACGGCCTTGGACTGCGCGAAGCTTCCGAAAGCCTCCGGGCTCGTACCCTCGCGGAACTCTGTACGTTCAAGGTTTAGTGCCCTGCTTCATTCGCCCGTCAGGGGTTCGGGCTACGCACGTCGGAGCCAATACAGTCGCGCCGGGTCGTTCACCTGGAAGCCGTACGCCTGGCGCACAACCGCGTCGTCTGTCTTGGACGCTTCCTCGCGGAACACGGTGAACGCAGCGGAGTCGGAGGTGATCTCGGCTTTGACGGTGATGATGAGGAGCTCGACGGGGTGTGTCGACATCTCTGGCGATTCGAAGCTGACTCGGGGGTTGGTACAGATGAAGTGCGTTGCGGCGTATGCGTTGGTGTTAGTGTTGATGGCCTTCGCGAGGTCTTTTATGGCGAGAGGGTTGGGCACCGGTCTCAGACGGCTACTTCCTACTGAGGTGGTCTGTACACGATCAGCGCCGTCGGTCAACGTCAAACGCAGACGATCCGGGGCGCATCGTCATTGCTGTGGAAAAGAGGTCGAGAAGACCCCAGCAGGACTCCATGGATCGCCAGTGTGTTGGTTCTAGCTGATCGCCACACGCTGATTTAGGGGAGTGTTACCCAGTGGCCCGACGCCGTCGCTGGTACTCGCACTGCTTTCCGATCGTCTCGGAGGACGTCTATGCTGCCCGGTCCTGTATCGGCGACGCTCATGCTGTGACACGGGCTTCGCTCGCCGTACATACGCAGACTTTCTTCAGTGCTAGAACACCTCGACAATCAATTTTTACAGCATTCGTTGTTTGTTACATGCGCAACGGTGCTATCGTGCAGCTGCTTCACTTCATTATACAGACTCCGAGACAAAGATACGTGTAGAATCCGTCACACATGTTCCCTGAACGGGACATGCACGATCGTCGCGTTCGCCGCAACATCCCGCAAAGGCTGCAACAGCGCCCCATGCTTCGCAGCCCATGCCTCGTGCGCCTATGACGCCCGTCCTCAATCAGCTCCGTACACGCACCAGAAGTCCCACCGTAAGTAGTCGGGGACGCACCTCCTTAGAGTCCCAGCCGACGAAGACTAGTCCTGTAGAGACACCCTTATCCGACTTGATCATGGAGAACCATGGCGCATGCGCGGTGGGCTCCTTGCTCTGCGCGTCGACGACCGCTTGCTGGGCGGTTTTGTACTTGTCGATGTCTGCCTCGCTCTTCAGCTCGAGGACGACCTGCGCAACGGATCGTTAGGATTACTCGACGACGTAGCTTGTCGGTAGCTTGTGCGGGTGACAACGACTACATACTCACGATCTCGGTGATGGGCACGGACGTGCTCTTCTGGGGGAAGAGAACGGCGTACGAGTCACGCGGCATGTAGAAGGAGACGGGCTCCTCAGTCGTGATCTCCTTGATCTCTTTGAAGTAGTCGCAGAAGTCCGAGGGCCACTTCGGGAGGAAGTCCTTCGGCTCGATCGTATCATAGTCTGCTAGCAAGCATCAGTCTCGGCCCAAGGTGCGGAGGTATACAAGGTTGGGAAGCGACGTACGGATGAGCCAGTAGAGCATCTGGCTGTCCTCGACGGCGACACCGTAAACTTGCTTGGGGAGTCCGCCGATCACACATGCGTCCCGGAGCTTCTTGAAGGAAGGGTGGGTCGTGGACACGCCGTCCCTGAGCCGACCGACGACGAGTTCGACCGTAGGGAGGGACATGCTAGGCAAGCTCATGTTTAAAACAGACACGAGCGATGTATCGAACCTCGAGAGGGATTCAGCCTGGGCTTGCCATCAGCTAGAGCTCGTCGCGCTTCGTATATGCCACGACAGCCCGGCTTCATCATAAGTCTTGCAGAGGTGCACGGCCAGAGGCGGTGGGCACGAGCTCAGTCATCGCACTACAGTGGAAAGACGCACCTTGCGTGAGCGGTGCCGGGCTTGCAAGGAGAGCGCGCGCGAGGGCGGGTCTGACACAAGCCGCTGAGGCGCGTGGGGATGAGAACCGTACGTGCCAGTCCTGCGTGATCCACTTGTGCTTCTGTCGGGACCTAGGCTTCGGAAGACCCTGTTCAGAGTACTGGGCGGAATTGCAGACGCATACTTGTACAGACCATTGAAGGGATTGACTCTTCGGTCCCCATTTTTACGGAGTGTCCGTGCGTGCTTCTTGGGCGTCGTCCTGTCAGTTGATTGCTGCCGCTACCCGGGCACAGGAACTGATTAATCATACGCTCGATGGTCACTGTTGACCAGAGGAAGCGTTGCAATCGCGCGTCTTTTAGCTTAGTCGTATCCCGCGCTTGCTGGCCGGCGCCCTAGGCCCATGGACCACGACAGTGTGACGGTGAGCAATGTACAACCGCGACATTTTTGCTGAGGTGTCTCATAAACATGGTGAGGTGGATAGAGATGAATGCGAAGTGTCCGTCTTGACACGAGTGTGCTTTGGTATGAGTGCTGGCTGTAGGTTCGCCGCACCAGCACGAATTGCCTTTCCTGGAGGATTCGTGGCTGGCACGTGACTCAGTGTGCAGTCCTGCCGCTGCGACTTCAACTTGGCCCGGCGGTGGCTATATTCAACTGACATCTGTCCGGCATCTGGGTGTGCATCAGAGACGCCGCCGACGACGTGCCAACTGCAGGGAGGCTCCCGGGCCTTGTTTCCTTACTTTCACTGTAATTCTAGCGATGCGCCACTCACCCTGAAAACGGATCCTGCGGCGTGAGTCGAGCCTCGTGCTTCATGGGCCGTCTGTGAAGCGCACTTTGGATAGCCTTGTGGTAGCAGTACTACTGTAGATCACCGTCATGCCTGAGTTCTTCAAACCAGAGCCTGTGCTGCTCGATTGGTGGCCCTAGAGCGTAGACGTTCTTTTGTTTCCATGAACACGATCACGAAGAAGTCATAATGGTTCGAGACGCACTATTTGCTTCAGTTTGTCAACTCGTACCGCTCGTCGTGCGCAGCCATTTCTTCCAGATACTCTGGGTCTCCTTCGGCTAGAACATCATTGCCGATGCCCGTCTCCCCATCGTAAGACGAGCCCAGCGCCAAAGACCCGCCCAGGGTGCCGAGGACGCGCGAATCGAACTGAAGCTCCGAAAACGAGAGCCGTGAACTGAAGGCGGAGAACGACGCTGCGCCCAGTTGGCGGCCATGCGGGATCATGAGCTGAAGCGCGACACGTCGAAGGTTGAGGATAAATCGCGAGAGAAGGATGGCTTCAAGTCTGCGATGAAAGAGTTCTTCGACTGTCCAAGCTGAAGAAACATTAGAACTAGGACGCACGCGAAGACAAATCCGGGAGCGCCTGCCAGTGCCTTGATAGCGGACTTTCAGCTAGTGAAGAAGGGAGAGTGAGCGAAGACACATACGGTCACATATTGGCCGACGGAGGCAAATATCTCTAAAAAGAACATCAGGCTATAAAACAACCAACACTTAGCATATGTCCGACGCCACAAAAACGCGGCATGCCTCACCCGAAGTAGACCGTACCTACGAAGGAAGCTTGTCAGACATCGAGCGCGACATAGTCTCAGAGTGGTGGCTCACCATCTCGTAGCAGAAGGTACGTCAGGGAGACTTCCTGATTATTCTCTCTTGCAAGTTTCTTCAAGCCGTAAGTGTGTCGCCACGTGCTGAGTAAGACAAGTAACTCGGCTACAATGAAGCAAGCGTTTCCGATGATGGAAACTGAAAATCGCACAAACACAAAGTACTTCAGTCCTGCTGGCACCATTTGAAGTAATCCAAGCCTCTACGTACACCTAAGGATAACGCCAAGGATGAGTAACATTAATGGAACGGGGTGATGCATAGATACTACTTAGAATATATACCCAGCTGACTAGGATAAACGACGCAGGCGTTGATGGGAGGCGGCAAGAACTCCGTCGTAAGAACCACGCAGTAGTACTGTGCATGTAGTGAGTGATTTCAAATGACACGTATTGAGTTGCGGAGAACATAAGACCTACAAGCGTGCTCGCAAAGGACACAACAGACAGAGAGAAGACGAGAGTGGGCAAGCGCCCATCGTGTCCGTTGATAGCATAGATACGTAGAGCCGCAACAGCTGTATGGGGGAGCTCAGCAATGTGGTATCCTGGTGAATGCCGTCATACCTGCGACCGTGAGCACTTGAACCGAGCTAGCAAGAGCATAAGCCATGTTTGTAATGTAGGCACTGAATGAAGGCCATGCACGATGTCAGCGCCCGGAGGTAGTATCCGAGTCGGACACCAGAAGTTTGACACATACGGCTACTGAATTTATAAGAGCAGACTCGGCGCAACATAGCAGTGTAACGCACCTGGCATTCAACGAGAGGAACCTGCACTATATACAACACATACACGGATAAAGTCGACAAGTGAAGCGTTATGAACAACGCCGTGACTCCTGAAAAGCTTCGGCGCCATATGTGGTCGATCTGGTCCCCGAGAGTGATCGCAACGTCAAACAAGTACATCGCTACCACCGGTTCCGCCACAGACATTAGTGACCCGCCGCCGCATAGAACGAGCCCAATGCTCACCAAACGCAGCAATGTTGCAACAGTTCTGAAGATATCTGTGCAGTGACATCTGGATATCAGACAAACTGTCTTAGTCTTGTGAGTACTCCGGATACGCACTGCTCTTCTATCACAAAAGTAACTGCAGCGGTTATACTGTCCGACATGGCTCTGGGATGCGTGCCGCGGCGGGCGAGCGTTCAAGCTGTTCAAGGTGGGCTGTGAACCCAATACTTATGTGCACCGCATCTTTATGCTATTGAGTTTCATGAACAGGGGCTGGCTCCAAGCGGTTGGGAGCATTAAGCCTACCGAAGACGCAGTGCGACCCAATGATTAGCTTAAGGAGTTCAAAAAGGTCGCAAAGTTCACGAACCTACAATGCCATCGGATCATCATCGCAACAAACCTTGATAACGAGGAAGCATAAGTATCGTCGATCCCCTTTCGGAACGTGGAGTCTGACGCGGCGGTGTCAGTCAAACACTGCACAAGTCTGATGACGTCATCAAGGAAGGTACCAACAAAATGCGAGGGCAAATATTTGAGATCGCGGAACGACCTTGTAGTGAGTATACTCCTCGACAAAGGGTAGAAGCTTCTAAGCCCGAAGCGAGCTCTACGAACGACAGCGTAATACTGGTGGTACGTGAGCTTTGGATATGTAATTTTAGCGTGCGAGGGTCGGCGTAGAACTCGGGTTTACTTGAAGATTTACTGGTGAGTTCGTCATCACGCGGCAGGTTCCGTCGACCTGAGGTTGATGCAGTCTTCTAGGAAGCTCATAGTGATGATGTTCGTCCACTATAGTATACAACGAACCAGGTAAGCGAAAGTCTGTCGGAGTCTGTGTGAACGCTCATCACATACCTTTTTGTCCGGCTGTAAGTAGATCTCTTATCACGACGACGACGCTGAGAAGGTACTCACCGCATAAGCATATATGCACACATCCATACCACCTCCTGTTACATTTCGATCCGAGCACTCCGCGTCTCATTGTCACCACTTACAGAATACGGGAACAAGTGACTTCTTGAGGAATTAGGCGTAAATGATACTCACCATTGCGCTGGCCTACCGCCTTACAGATAACCCTATGACCTTGCAGCAGATGCGAGCAAATCATCTCGGGACTCCCCCAATATCCTCCATTTTGATCCTCGTCGTCGCAGCCTTCATCGCCCGTGTCTTAGTCGCCATTGTTGTCGTCCAAACCAAATGCAATAGTGGCACCGAATGCATCTACCGCTCTCGAGAAGTCTATCTCAGACGGATGTATCGAGGCGTCGGGACCGGAAACAGTGACATTGGTAGCAAGGTTTGCTTCTCGCAAGTTGAGAAGTATGTGAGAGAGAATGTCGGTCGTAAGTCTACCATGCATGAGCGGTGAGCCACCAGGTAACGTCGCTTGAGGGAACGAGTGGACGAACGCATATGTCGGGTATTCAACGCCGTAAAAATTTGCCAATCCAACGGTGCATTCACGTCTTCCAGGGAAACGAGACGTATCACACGGCGCGTCCGCAATAGCATCGGAAACGATAGAGGTGGCCAGTGGAGCCCTATCAATGCGTCTCAGCGTTAATGATGTTGTCATGGGAGGCAAGACGCAAACAGCTATAAATCAAGGAGTCGTATAACGAGTCATTCTGCCACTCGGTTACCAAAGCCACGGCGGAGGGGAAACGATAGGTATGATAGTGATGCTAGTGAACTGTGGTTAAGCTTCGGTCAGCCAGCCGTCCTCAGGGAGCTGCGAAATACTCACTATGTCATAGATACACCGTAGACGGAGTAAAGTGGACGCAACATGTACCAATTATGTACCAATACGGAATTGCCTAGCGCTGTACTTGTGAGCAAGAACAATAGAATAGGCTCTGGATGGGAGTTCCCGACAGGGATGCCCACCGCGCAGCTTAAAGCTGTCTGGACTACCAGCGCTATATATCTATCGGTGTCGTCGGGATTGCAATCATCGTAGGAAGACATTCAAAATCTCATTGGCTGTCATGCGACGGTCATACTGAACCCTTCACAACAAAGTTCTACGCACCGCCTCGCGAGGGGCACTCACATAGCACCATACGACGACTAAGGTCGGAACGGGTGGCGCTATCGCTGCGCGGCAACCTCCTTGATCTGGTCGGGGTCGTCTACATCCGTGCTCCCGTCAAGACTGCCCAATATCCCATCCGACTCTTCGTCGCTCGAGCCCAGCGCCAAGGAACCCCCAAGGCTCCCGAGGATGCGCGAGTTGAACCGTAGCTCAGACAGGTCGATGAGCGACCCGGAGGCAGATGTCGAAGATTCGCCTGCCCTTGGTCCTGCGGCGACTGAGAGTCGGAGTGCGGTTCGCCGGAGGTCAAGAAGGAAGCGGGAGAGGACGACGGTCTCGAGCCTGCAATGAACGACGTGTCAGAGTTGCTATCAGTTCAATCGAAGCGGCGTGCACAGCTGGAGGTCGAGACGTACGCAAATGTGAACCCCGGGACGCCCGCGAGTACCTGGTATTGGACGGCGGATGGGCTCAGTCGCGTGGTGAGAGGGGTGCGGGTGGGTGACTTACGGTTACGTATTGACCAATGGTGGAGAATATCTCCAGAACGAACAACATGCTGTTACGCGCCATCAGCTGTCCGACCGCGCCAGTCTAACGACCTACCACGCGAAAACGTCACTCACACGAAGTATATCGTACCTGCAAACGATTACCATCGGACTTCAGACACTGGGCAGTTCGCATATGCTCACCATCTCGAAGCATGAGGTACGTCAGCGAGACCTCCTGGTTGATCTGCCTAGCGAGTCTCTTCATGCCGTAGGTGTGCCACCAGGTGCTGAACAGAACGAGGGCCTCGGATGCAATGAAGCACGATGATGCGACGATGGACACTGTCCAGTGGGGCGAGAACGGGTGAGCTGCGGCGTTACTCGACTCAACGTGTAGAATCACGCACGTCTACACAACGTGCATCCCGTCAGTAAACATGAGGTGACACAAAGGAAAATGCCCTACTTGATGTATGTGCCCAGGTTGGTCGGGTAGACGGCGCAGCTATCGATGTAAGGCTGCAACGACTCTGTCGTGAGAGACGCGCAATAGTACTATCGTGATATCAGTGCATCCTGGTCAGCGGTGCCGTAATACCGCGACGAACCGGGGACGTACGGCAGTGCTCGCCAAAGTCACGAACGCGAGACAGAAGATGAGCGTGGGGAGCCGCCAGTCCCGCCCGTTGATGGCGTAGACACGGAGAGCAGCGATCACTATGCGCGGACTCGATGTCAGGGGAGTCTACACGTATGATGACAGTACGTACCTCCGATTGTGAGGCTTTGGATCAATCCAGCGATCCCGTACATTATGTCTGCAACCCAAGCACTTCACATAGACCACATTCGTCGTGAGCGCTCGGATCGGGATTTGGGAAAGCACATACGGCTTTGTTCACCATCAGTTCCGGCACCAAAGATGAGTATATGCGACGTACATGACATTCCGTGAGGGGTACAATGACGATGTACAGCACGTATAACGCAATGGTTGACAAATGGAGGATCGCGAACAATGCCGTTACTCCTGAAAACTTTCGCCGCCATATGAAGTCGATCTGATCACCGAACGTGATGGCACAGTCGTATAGGTAGATCGCTGTGAGGGGACGTCAATGAATGGCCGCGAACAGTGGTGTAGAACTCGAGTCAACTGGGCACTCACCGAATGCAGCGAAGTTGCAACAGTTCTGAACGTATCTTAAGGCGAATGTCAGCAGAGAAACAGTCGCCAACAACGACGAACACGCACTGACTGTTGACTATGGAGATGATTGCGGCGGTGGCATCGTCAGACATGACTTGTAGATGCGTGCGCGATCTCGCGACGGCGAGCTTCGCACACGCAGTTCTTATACTGTATTCGAGCTCCGACGAGTACGTGAAGAGCAATGCGCGCAAGAGTATGAAGTCAAATAGCACATGGCGCCAGGCGCATCATGGTCAGCTCAAGGCGCACTAACATGGTTAGATCAGGGCGTATCGCGAGTCCGTACAAATCCCCGGGCCTGCACGATGATAGTCTACATTGCCATCAGCTCACCATCGCGGCGACTGTTGACTAATAAGACGTACGCATTGTGACCACGGTATGGATGTTTCAGCAGATCCCGACGCTGTACGACCATCGTACGCCGTATGCATGCTCGCGGAACCTTACGGAGTTGCAGTGTAGCTACTTGTGAGTACCGCTCTGGGCCATGAGCAAGGTCGATGCAGCAGCTCGGAGGTCTTGCGCGGGCTGGGAAACCACGGATTGCCAAGAGCATGCCACGGGGCTCGGGCGTAGCGCCAGTAGATAGGGCGATAACCTCACTCCTCTCCTGGAAGCCATTGAACGCCTTCGCAGTGCCTGGTACGTACCTATGAGGACGGAGATGTGACCTTCGTCTGCAGGTGATTCAATGAGCCACTGCCAATGCGATGGCTCATTAAATCACCGCAGAAGTTTTCACGACGCGTTTATGACACCAAAGAAGGAACCTGACTTGCGCAGTCATTTGGGGGCAGGAGGGCAGCATACGGGGCTATGTGGGACGGACAGCCATTCCGAGGCGTACACACCGCTGGTCCGATGATTGTTGAACCTGTCAGTCAAGCCGCCAGAAAACGCGTCTCCGCCATTAGAATTTTGAATTCAACAGCCAAGCCTCCTTGGTCATTCCGAAAGTGTTGCATCCCCTTGCGGTAGTAGTATGCCGTGTTGAACGAGACGGGCCTGCAGGCGAGTGGGAGACGACTTGAGGGAGAGGTCGACGTCCAATGACAGGACCGTCCATCGTCGTCGACGCGAAACGGACTTTACGGTGTGACGCGTATCACGTGCGAGATGACGGGAGCGCGTCGACGCGCCCGAGTCGGACGCGTCCACTTGCACCGCCAACTCGACGCCATATTGGCCGCCATACGACGACCACTGCCTTAATCAAAGCGATGTACCAACCGAGGATGAGCCATTCAGGGAGGAACGAACGGATTCTGGTGTTGGATGGCGGGCTGGTAAGTCAGGCTTAGTATCGCTACACACAGTCTGAGTGCGTACTAGCCACAGCGTACCTCTAGGGGACAACACTTGAGGAGCTCTTCCAACGAGATATATTTTCGCCGCTCTGGTCTGCGAAACCGGTTGACGAAGATCCCGAGGTCATAATTAAGGCGCATCTCGCTTTCCTGCGCGCAGGGGCGGACATCATCCTTACCTCTACGTGCGTCGTCTCTCCCAATTTCTTACCTACCATCTCTGATAGACCCGTGCGCGTTCGTGCAACTGCACGTCACTTTGATGTGTGCGGCGTCTGCAGCTATCAATGCGCCTTTGAAACCTTCGCCGCCTCGGGGTATACAGGAGAAGATGCCGTGAGGATCATGCGCAAGTCAGTCAAGCTCGCACACGAGGCACGAAGCCGGTTTTTTGAAGAACAGAAAGCTGATGGAAGACGAGAACGATATGTCAAGATTGCACTATCCCTTGGTCCCTTCGGTGCGACACTGAGTCCCGCACAAGAGTTCGACGGGTTCTATCCTCCCCCGTACGGCCCGAGCGGCTACTCGGACGCTCCGGGACAGAGCAACACGAACGCGTTCCCGAACACATCAGAAGGACATAGACTCAGAGCAGACTCTGTGGAGAGACTGGCAGAGTCTCACCTCGGGAGGCTGCGAGTCTTCGCGGACGACCCGGAGACGTGGGCGATGATCGACCTCGTTGCGTTCGAGACCGTACCGCTAAGCAGGGAGGTCAAGGCAATTCGGAGGGCAGTAGGGAAGCTGCAGAAAGGATTGGATGGACGGGGAATGGAGATGAAGAAGTGGTGGGTAAGCACCGTCTGGCCAGACGGGCGATATCCGGAGGAGCGAGAACCAGGCGGCGAGAGGGTCTCTCCCGGGGAGGTAGTGCACGCACTGCTCAATGAATATAACGCAGAGACCGTGGCCCAGGAAATACCAAGGCCCTGGGGAGTGGGCATCAACTGCACCTCGCTCGACCACCTCGCGCCGCTCCTCGCCGAGTTCACCGCCGGGATCCGACACCTCTATTCCGAGTTGCCAGCTACTCAATGGTACAAGCCATGACGGCGGTGACACATACGACGTCGTTCGGCGTGTCTGGGTGCCTACGTCGAACGGCAAGGGCGATGGGTGGGCTGCGAGGCTGTGGGAGCTGGCGAACATGACTGCTCAAGAGGAGCGTGTATGGGATGGCGTCGTGCTAGGCGGATGTTGCCGCACAGGGCCCGCGGAGATCGACGCGTTGGTGAGGAGAGTCTTGGACAGTGCATAGCGGAAGAACTCAGCGGATTGGTGTTGAGATGATAGCCTGCAGATGTATGCGACTCTAGTGTATTCGATACTAACAGATCACGGATGTATCACAGTACAAACCACTCAACGTACTCAACGAGAGGCCGGATACAGACTACGAAATCTTCCATTAGCACTGTGAGAACGACAGAGAGCGATACGAACACTGCTGGTAGGCCAAGACCACGCATAGACATAACGCTGGCTGGCAGGGCAATGCATTACCTAAAGCTTCACTGCAAGCTGGGATGCAACACGGAGCAGATGGTGAGCAGACACTACTCATGGTCGTGACAACATTCATATATGCAGAACTCCATGCTGGATATGCGATGTACAGATTGTGCAGGATAATGAAAACATCGTGAAGACGTGACAATAATTCATGAAGAAACGAGAACATCTAACACAGATAGGCAGAAGTGAATGTGAGTCAGTCGTTCAGGGAACATAAAGATCAAGGCCGCGATAAAGCCTTCTTAGCATCCTCGCTAGCCTTCATCGCCTTCGCGATGCTCGGCCGTACGCCCGCAGTGGCATTCGCCGCACCCGCACCACCGAGGGCACCCAAGCTCGCTGTCCGCGCCGGCGGCCTCGTCGCGCGCACTTTTTCTTTCTCCCTCTCCGCTGAGCTCATACCCTTAACAGTGGCGTTCGCTGCATGTAGCATCGTTATCGCTCGTAGCGTCGACGTCGCGCTCTTCCGCGGGGCGCGCGTCGCGACGGTGCCGGTGCTGTTGCTCGTCGTGATCTGCGTCGCGGTGCGCGTAAGGGCTTGGCGGTCGCATTTCTTGAGGAAGGGGGAGGGCAGGTTCTCCTCGTCCGAGAGGTCGTAGTCGGGAGCGGGGTGGCTCGTGGCTCCGTTTGTGGAAATGACACCCGACGAAGAGGTCCTGGCCGATCGTCCGGTGGTAGCGCCAGAGGCGGACGCGGTGGATGAAGTTGGCCGCGACCGCGACTTGCTGCGCGTTGATCCGGAGGGCGCCGCCGACGCTAGCCGGGGTGCAGGCGCCTCGAGCGATGGCCTCTGAGAACCCGCCCGGATGGATGGACGGCGGAGGCGTGTCGGGCGGACAGCTACTGTAGGCGAGGGGTGAGGCGTCCGTTCGTCCTCCTCTTCGTCTTTGCCCGAGCTTGAGCTGCTCCTGCGGGACGATGGCCGTGTATCAGTCTCGTACCCCTCCTCTCCCGGCGCAGGTTCCTCGTCCTCGTCCTCTTCGTCTCCCTCTTCCGCCTCGTCTTCTGACTCGAAGTCGAATATCTTGGCGAAGTTCAGTCCGACTCTCGGAGTGTTGACAAAGAGCTTTGCGAGCTCTGCTGGCGAAGGTGTCGCAACAGGTTCTCCAGTGGCGGTGAGAATGACGCCCTTCATCGCGCTCGGTGGTGCAATGTTCTCGGGGAACGACGGCGTCGTCTTCATCAACGCCGGCGGCCGAGGCGTCTCAAAGACGGACGATGCCCGTGCAAAGCCACTGGGAGTATGACGCACAGGTGTGTCCGCGATATGCGCAAGCGGCGCCAGCAGGTTCTTCACCTCCTCCAGCGGCGTCTTCCCCATCCCAGCACCCGCCCTCGCGCCCCTCCTCTCCTTCTCCTTCTCCACACGCTCCACGTCCGCCATCCTCCTCTCCAGCTCGTGCTTCACCCCCTCCAGGCGCGCACGCTCCGCCTCGACCTCGCCGGCCTGCGCGCGCACCCACTCCATGCGCTCCTCGACCGCCGCCCCCATCGCCTCACGCGTCTTCGCCTCCCACTCCGCCCACATTCGCGCGATCTCCTCCTCGCGCGCACGCACCGCAGCCATGATCTCCTCCTCGCGGCGCGCCATTCGCGCGGCGACCTCCGCCTCCTGCGCTGCGACCAGCGCGCGGAGCTCCTGCTCGCGGTGGCGCACGCGCTCGGCGAGCGTGGTCTCGAAGGCGGCTTTCAGGGAGGACTGGGAGGACTGGGCGGTGGCGAGGGAGGTTCGGAGGGCGGCGAGCTCGGTCTCTTTCTGGGAGAGCAGGGCTTGGAGGCTGTTTTCGCGTTGGGCGATGGCGGTTTCGCGTGCGGCGAGGTCGCGCTCTTTGGCGATGACAGCGCTTCGGTGTGACTTGACTTGGTTCAGGCTATGGAAGCAGATGTGAGTATGTAACAGTTGGTCACCGACACGAAGAGGCTTACAGCTTCTGCGTCTCGCCGACCTTGAAGGCGAGTTCAATTCGCTCGTGACCGAGGAGCTGTTGTGCAGACGGGCGCATAGCAGGCTATGCTCTCTCAGTACGAGGACAACGACCCTGCCGATACGCAGACTTACGTTGATATTCAGCATTGCCTTGATGACACTGGCAAGTGCAGGACTGTAGCCTTTGGGTAATGGAGGGATTCTCCCAGTCCTACGCTTCACTTCATGAACCCGTCATTCAGGTGCACCAGTCACATAGACTTACCTGATGAGTATGCTAAGCTCGGCATGTGTCTTCGCCTCGTGGAAGGGCGGCTTGAGCGCACATAACTCGTAGATGAGGCATCCTAGCGACCAGATGTCTGACTTGGAGTCGTAGGCTTTCTCTTGCATCAGCTCAGGGGACATGTAGTATGGCGTCTGTTCGAAGTGTCGGTATGAGGAATTTCATATGATCCACGCATACGTACCCCGACATAGGTGTTTGCGAAACTCGCCTGGGCGAGAGCCTTCGAAAGCCCGAAGTCGCCGAGCTTGACGAAGTTGTTCTCGTCGAGGAAGACTACAGCATGCGCACAGTACATGTAAATTCTCAGTGCATGAGAGACCAACAAACCACGCACCATTGTCTGGTTTCAGATCTCGATGCAAAATCTGTGGCCTACGCTCCCGTCCGTCATCCGCCCCGCCGCTGCTACCCGCACGTCCATGCCCATTTGGATGATGACAATGGTTGAGTGCCAGCAGAATCTGCATGAAGTAGTTCCAGATTGTGTCTTCGGGGATGGGGCGGCTCTGGCGCTGGGCTTGCTTGATGACGGAGGAGAGGTCGCCACCACCACAGTACTCCATGAGAATATACAGAATGCCGGCGTCCCGGTCGACATGACGGTCATGATAGCGTACTATGTGTTCGTGGTTGAGGTCCTTGAGGATGTTGCTGGAGACCATGATGTCAGTACGAGGCGGTCGAAAATAGGTTGGTGAAAAGGCAGCGACGCACACTTCTGAAACGATTTGTTTGCGGTCTCGCTCCGACATACGTTCAAAGTTGAGCTCCTTGCGTGCAAATACCTGCACCATGAGGAAGCACGCATAAGCTGAGCAACCAGGGAGAAGCTGGCAGAGCGCTGACCTGGCCATCGGATTTCCGCCTCACTTTCCTGATTATACCGAAGGACCCCGTTCCGATAACGTCGATAGATTCATACAAGTCGAGTGGAGAGGCCATTGCGGCAAGGCTTGAGCGCTGGGGTGTGTCGCGGGGAGGGAGGTGGTCGTAGTTGGGAGAGTCGTCGTCCTGATCTGGACCGGACAAACTCGAACCGTCGTGGCTCGCGTGCGTCACGTGGTCGCGTAACGCGTCTGTCACCCGCTGCTCCTGAGCATGGGCGCCTACGCGCTCCCAGGCAGTGATGGCCTCATACTGATGCGATCCTCGTCGCTCTCTTGTCATCCGACTGACGCCGTGTAGCTCGCTCGGCCACGGCGGGTGGTGTCTCGACACTCGATAGCTGCCCGAAGAATGTCTTGGCTGGAATAGCCCGCTTCCCTGCAGACCGTGTGGTCTATGCCGCGCACGGTGGGCCAGTCAGTTGTTCCCTTATCGCGATGAGCATCACCTCCCCCAGGTGTCTGCATCCCTTCTACAAGCTTCTACATCTCCGACTGCTAACTTGCCTGGGCCCATCAGTCAGCGCCTCGAGCCCTCGGGCTTATAAACCGAGACATGGATGCACAGACCCTGGTCTCCCCAGAACAGATCGCCCGCATCTCCCCCTTGACACAGAAGATATGCCTAACATTGTTGAACTGGTCATCGTCGACCTCAAGGAGGGCGTCGGCAAGGATGACCCCGTCTTCACGAAGCTGCGCGAGGGCGTGGCCAAAGGCGGGCTCAAGCGTCAGTCGTTCGGCTTCAGTGTCGAGCATCCCCAGAGGCTCTACTGGACCTTCTGTAAGCATGTTTTTCATCCGACATGTACAGCGTAACTGATGTCCGATGATCTGTTCGTCTGGGTCACTAGACTTTGAGAATGGTTTCGAGCCGAAGGACTTCAAGTGGCCCCAGGAGGAGTACGGTGACTACATTGAACAGCTCAAGACGATCGCCACCTCCGACTTCACGCGCTACTACTTCACCTTCCCGTCTTTCCCACATGAGGTCACGGCCGCACCCATCACCGAGACTGTATGCCTTCCCTTCCACAATATCTCCTCTCTCCTAAGCCGGTTTTGCCTTCTGTTCTAGGCACTCATCACTCTCAAGGCTGATGCCGATGTAGCCGCGTTCAAGGCTATCCAGGACGCCCTTGTGGGCAAGCTCAAGCAGGCGCCTGTAGTACAGGAGGCGGCGTACGCTATCACTACGGAGGCCGGGGCGAACCCTATCGTGCTGCTCTTTGTGGGCTGGCCTTCTGCCGAGGTGCGTTTCCGCTCCAAGTCCTTCGTACCCTCCTTCGTTGGGTGCGAGCGCGTTGTGAAATATTTGTCATTCTTGCTAAGCCTATGTTGTTCATGGCTCACCTATCCTCCCTAGGCGCATCAGGAACTGGTCTCCCGCCCCGAGAGCAAGGAGGTCATGGGAAAGTTGCACTCTTTCATCGAGAAGGGAGATGTCGCCCACATTCCGTACACCAACAAGGAGTACTAGGGGATTAAGTTGCCCGGACTTAATGCTCAGCACAGGGTGGGGTATACACCGCTCGAGGTGGGCAGGCCCTTAGCCTTCGCGGTACGAGAGACTGGGGAACAGGATGCGAAGGGATGCATCAGCTGAAGTTTCAAAGTTGTAATTCTACTATGGACATGTGGCATAATCCATCACATGGCAAATGCGCGCGTCATTGACCTCAAACCTATTTCCATGGCGAGAAGCTTGTGATGCTCCGTGTACACATGAGCCTTGCATTTCGTTGAGATAGCTTGTCGTCGCCTTGAGCTGCCAGCCTGGAATGAGCTCGAGGAGGCTCGCGATGTATGTGTGGCGGAAGCCGAGATACATTCCCACGCCACTATACAGCGATCTTCTCATCCGCTCGTCGCGTTCAACTTGACCTCAACCTTCTCCGTCAACGACCGCCTCGCCTCCGAGCCCATACTGTACCCGTCCCTCAACTTTATCCGTCCGATATGGCACAATACTCAATGGTCAACGGTACGGTCACCTTCCGCACGGACACGGACACCTGGAACGCCACAATAAACACCGTGCAGGCTGCGCTGCCTCGCCCCAAACGCCGCGTCCCAATCGAGGAGGACATATGGACCTCGGACGACATGATTACGCTCGTCATCTGGGCTCTTACGCTGCTCGACCTCTACGTGACGTTCTTCAAGCTGCGCTGGCGAGGCTTGCGGGGACCTGTCTGCGACCTGCGCGAGCTCGTGCGCGCGCATCAAGAGCCTGCGCATGCGCAGTGACCTGGGGTTGAGGAAGCGTCCTTCGAACCGAATCTGCGACTGTACTTGCGTTCAAGCTATATCGACTCTCATTGCATCGACTACACCCCGCGCACCTCGGGCTCCTTCACGGCAAGATTCGTCAAACATGAAGATCTCTATCTAGCTCTTGGGGATACAGTATTGGCCGGAGCCACACAACAAGGTATGGATTCGTTACTGATGATGCACACGCGTCGCTCATCGTACCATCCCAGACCTCACGCGATAGCGAAACCCACTCTTGAGACTACGTCACGCACCCCATGAAGACGGTCTTCGTATCCCAGATCCCAAACCTTGCCTGTCTCCGATGTCTAGCTTTTCTAGTATCTCTCCTTCATAAACTCTGGTCTGACATGTAACTGCGGTTCTGTGGACCCCATCCAACGCATCCCAAGTACACTCATCTGCTATCTTTCTGGAGTTCAACGTCACGAAACGAAGAATAACGGACATGCAACACAGTGAAGCATACGCAGTGCGCAGACTTTTAGTCTGGCTCATCTGTTCTGACGATTTGCGCCAGTTGCAGTCATATACTGTCCATCAATAAGCGAAGGCGCTGCGAGTGTTTGGTGATCACGGTTGCTTCCTTCAAGTTCCTTGTATGCGCGCATCATTGCAATGCTGTGTTGGACATTCGCCGTCTCCTTCATCGTCATGCTGTCTTGACAAAAACTACGCATGGCCGCCCATTACGCAGGCCCGAGTCGACTACTGACTCGGCCGCGGACCGTGTTCTCTTGCAGGTCTGACTGTCTTATCCTGTACCCACAGGGCTCTAAGGATCGCCGCCGAGTCCTCCCACAGCTTATGAAAAGCGACGGCCAATCTTAGCTATATGGAGCACCTGAGAATCCTTTGGAGCCTTGCAGGAAGAGCGTTGAGCGACACTGCGCGTGAAGTGCCATACTACGGCGTAGCTACGGCCTCAGCCCGCGATCATCTGATGCCAATTTGAACCCTCCTTCGCATTCCCGGTTCCGACGTCAACGTCACGGCGACCCTGCTTGCTTGTGGCGGCTTGGTGGCGGCCAGGTGGCGGCTAAACAATGCTGAAATTCATCATCGTCACCGTGACCCTGCTGACTGCTTTGCTCGTCCAGCATGATCCCACGAACATCTGACTGCGTAGCACAGGTAAGTATGTCTCGGTAACGTAGTCATCCAAATTCATCTCGTTCTCGGCAGGCCAGTGTTTCGGGATACTTACTACGGACTTTCACAGCCACACTCGAGCCGGTCCTTATAGGCGAGGATGCAGGGATTTCTGCGAACTTACCCACACCACCTCCGAATATAGACTACAAGCTTCCATCAATAGTAATTTACCAAAATTCTGCCGAGATCTGCGGTCCTCGGTGTCAGCGCAGGATGCATCCCAGCCGGTCATGGGGGCTCCCGACCGTGCCGTTGCTCACCATGCTTGTTCCTCCTCACTATATAAAGGCCCGTTGCCGGCTGTCGACGCTCCCAACATCGCTCCGAGTCGGTGACCCAACGCAACATGTGGTCCCTCAGAGCGCTGCTCGTGGCGAGCCTGCCGGCGCTTGTGCTCGCCGACGTCTACAGCCTGTCCGGCCTCACTTGGTCGCTGCACAACGGGAACGGCTCGATCGTCGTGCCCGCGAAGGTTCCGTCCCAGGCGCATCTCGACCTCTTAGCCGCTGGCGTTATCGAGGAGCCGCTTCTAGAGCAGAATGGTGAGCTTCTCTCCACTCCTACCTGTGGAGCTGTGCTGAGTCGCGGAACCCGCGCGTCGCGGTAACATAGAGTTCTATCAGCGGTGGATCGTGAATGAGAGTTGGACGTATACCGCTGACCTCACGCCGTTCACTCAATCTGTGCCAAAAAGCGCATCGGACAAGACACTTCTTGTATTCTACGGCTTGGACACGATTGCGAACATTGTGCGTTTCTCGTCAATCTTCCTGCAATGTCATGTAACTGAGCGTCTTTGTTGCAGACCGTTGCAGGGCATCCTGTTGCTTGGGTGGACAACCAGTTCAGGCAATACATCTATGATGTGACGGATCTCATCAACTCGCCCTCGGAGACGGATAACAACATCACCGTCGCGTTTGAGTCGGCCTATCTCTACGGGCTCAACGTGACCTCGATCACGTATGAGAACCCGCTCACGCCTGACGTAGGGTCCCCCTTCTTCTTGGTGAACGGTCCAGCTAAGTGTAGTCTAGTTCGAATATTCCGGATTCCGACAGTACCTCCGCAAGATTCAGTCAGACTTCGGATGGGACTGGGTGAGCACAGCATGAGCTTTCCTTCCTGTATGCGTCTGATCTGCTTCAGGGACCGGCGTTCGTACCTGCGGGGATCTTCCGACCCGCATACCTCGTCACGCTCACAGAAACACCCACTTTCGAGACCTCACCAGAGGCACCCGCCGCGTACCCGCTGCTCGCCTCCCAAGGCAGCGCGCTGCTCATCGACCAGACGTCAGTGGAGATCTTCAAGGTCGGGCAGACCGCGTACAGCACGCCCGACGAGGCCGCCGACTGGCTCGTCAACGTCACGCTCGGCGTGCGTTCGGTCCTGCAGTCGTACGAACCCTCGATCACGATCAGCATCCCGGACCTGGGTCTCAACAGCGGGCCGCTCGCCGTGCAGACCATCCCGGTGAGCACGGACGAGCCGACGTTCGTGACTGCGAGCATGGCCGTGCCCGAGGGCATTCCCCAGCGGTGGTGGCCTGCGGACCTCGGCGCGCCGGTACTGTACAATATCACGGTCACCCTCACCCTGGGAGACGTCCTCGGCGGTCCGGGTGACGAGGTGTCGTTCTCAGTACGCTCGGGCTTCCGGACGGTTGAGCTGCTACAGACGCCGTATAGCGAGGAGGATATCGTCAACCGGGGAATCACACCTGGCGACCAGTGGCACTTCGCGGTCAATGGACAGGAGTTCTACACGAAGGGCACGAATATCATCCCGTTTGACCCGTTCTATGCGAGGGTCTCAACGGAGAAGGTCAGGTGGGTGCTCGAAAGCGCGGTGCTCAGTGGGCAGAACATGGTAAGTTCTCTATTCCTCTTGGTAGATTGAGTTACGACCTCATTCCTTGACCAGTTGCGCGTCTGGGGAGGCGGTATCTACCAGCCATCCGACGAGCTTACGGGCGGATACGACTTCTACTCGCTCTGCGACGAGCTCGGGATCTTCGCATGGTCCGAGATGATCTTCAGCGACGCGACGTACCCTCTGAACGACTTCCTGCTCGAATCGATCGCACCCGAGGTGCGCGAGAACGTCCGGCGCGTGAACAAGCACCCGAGCAACGTGCAATGGGCGGGCGGAAACGAGATTGAGAACATCGTGATCCAGATTAACGACTCGGTCGCGAATGGGACGCATTATCTGGACGAGGTGCGTGAGGTGAGATCTATGGACAACGGAAGTGCTGATAGACCGAATAGTATGTGTACCTGTTCCAAGACTTCTTGTACGACCTCACCTACGACGTGCAGCAGTCGGTTCCGTACACCGACTGCTCGACGACGAATGGTGTCCTCAGCCTAGACCCTCTCGTGGAGAGATTCGCGAACAAGACGCCGGGATACATCTATGGCAACTCTGGTGAGCAAGGCGTGCGATAACTAAGAGGAGACAAGCCTCATCGGAACTTGACCAGAGCGCTACAACTATGATGCCTCGCAGGCGTTCAACTACAGCACGTACCCGGTATCGAGGTGAGCGCCAGCGTGTCATCTTAAACGTGTAATAGCCAACACGTCCGGATACCTAGGTTCGTCAATGAGTTTGGGTGAGTGCCGGTCGAGGTCCTGTTCAGTACCGCTTCTGAATCACCGGGATTTAGTTTCCATTCGATGCCCTCCATCTATAGCTGGGAAGAGGCTTTGACGTCGCCCGAGGACTACTACTTCAACTCGTCCACGGTCGTCGCACGCGATCACCACCCACCTGCAGGAAGCCTCGCCTGGCCGAATCCCAACGCACCGCAAGGCCAGGGCCAGATGACGATGGGCGTCGAATACTGGCTGCCCACGCCCAACACGGCTGACGTCTTCCAGACCTTCGCGCAATGGTGCTACTCCACGCAGATCTTCCAGTCCCTGAACATGATCTCCGAGATTGCATGGTACCGGCGCGGCGCGGGCCTCGGCGAGAACAACCTCGGCTCGCTCGTCTGGCAGCTGAACGACATCTGGCAGGCGCCGTCGTGGGCGGCGATCGAGTACAGTGGCCGGTGGAAGGTGCTCAACTATGGTATGGCCAGCATATACACGCCGGTGATCGTCTACCCGTTCTGGACGCCGGACAACGAGACGCTCCAGGTTTTGGTGACGAACGACAGGCCGTACCCGGTGAACGGGACGGCGCTGCTGACGTGGTATGACTGGGCGGGGAACGAGCTTCTGCCGATGGTGCACGAGTTTGAAGTTCCGGGGCTGAATAATACGGTGTTGATGAACTTGGAGGGCTTTGAGACGATCCTGCCGGAGGGCGCTACGCCTACGAGTGCGTGGATGTTGCTGAATGTGTCGGCGACGCTGGCCGATGGCCGGACGGTGTCCATGGAGTCCTACGTGAGTGATCCGTGACTGTGATCGTCGTCGTTGTCTGACCTCTCCTCAGTACACACCGACGTCGCTTGCGGACGTCGAACTCGTAGACCCGAAGGTCACCATCACCCCGGGGTCGGACTACACGTTCACACTGTCTGCTCAGGGTGGCGTTGCACCATATGCGTGGGTGGACCATCCTTCAGGAACTGTTGGCTACTTCATCGACGCTACGACTGGCGCGCCGTTCAATGGGTTCTATCTTGTGCCCGGGATCGACCGCACAAGTGAGTAACCTTACATCGGTTCGTTCTGACACTGACACCCAGGGTAGTCCAATTTGTGTTCAACACCGCACTGTCGAGTGTTACGGAGCCGGACCCAGCGGAGTTTGTGGTGAGGTCGGTGTGGAATAACACTCACATCTGATGAACAGGCACGCGTTCTATCGATCCCGTCTGTTCGCCGTGGACTATGCTCAGCCTGCAAAAACTTGTGTAGCGTACTCACTGAGTTATACAAGCTCGGATGATCTTTACGCGACATGCTTTTGCGTGACGTCCCCTCCAGCATTGCGTCCGTCGCGGTATCTGCTATGGACACTTGTACTTCATGAGTGCACTTCGTGACTTCCGTTCCTCTAATGGATCACTGACGTCTACTCGACTTAGGACATGAGAGATTCCAGAGGTTTGCTAGCTATGATAGCTTTCCGAGCATGCAACCGGCTACGCAGCGGCATAATCTGTGCGGGTGGCGAACGTTCTTTGGCGTTTGTTCGTTCTTCGACAGCAAAAGCCTTTGTGCGATGCATGCGTCTAGATCTGTTTACAGGCCATCGTGATCGCTCGATTTCGCTTCAGTCTCCGAACTGCAGTTCTAGGTAACACTATGATACAGGTTTGTTGGGACATGTGTGATGCGTACGCTGTGATAATGCGTAAAGGCGTTGAGAATCCGTGATCGCGATCGTAAACAGTCCGTGATCGTAAACAGCCCAATCTCGACACCCGTAGGAAGGCTAATCAACCTTTATCTCCGATATGTCATCCGCGAAAGTATGGCTACCGACGGATGATCCCCACGTCGTACTCCGCGACCGTGACCTGTCTGTAGGGTTTCCTTTTTCCATGACCGACATCTCGACATTTGAGTCCTTCCCTCCGTCCAGCCGGCTGTCCCATCGGAGGTCCGAATCATCGTCCGAGGCTGCCAGGACGAAGCCGTCTTTCTCGTTATATGTGAGTGACCCTGCGAGGGTTCCTAGCAAGCGCGTATTGAAATGGAGGTCGGATAGTTCTGGTGTCTCCGAGTGATACGCGTGCGCATCGTGTAAGTTGAGGTAGAATTGCGAGATCAGGATAGTCTGAAGCCTGTAGATAGTGCTCCTGCTCAGTTACTTATAATGGTTCGAGAGGAAATGACGCACGAGTATACGATAGGTGCCAGGATTCCGGTGTTGACCGACTAGAAAGATGGTCTGGGTACTGAGAGGAAGGACATGGTGGAAACACGTACAGTGACAGAGCTCCATACGACGTTGAGGACTATGATAGCGAGACTCGCCCTAAAGTAGAGCCGGTTAACACCGGTACAGCACCAACATCCGTTTGACGTACACAAAATACACACTGCCTGACGATACGCGCGTAAGTCAGCCACGGTGTCGACTGACAGGGCGAGTCACTCACCATCTCTGATGAGGATTGTCGTGAATGGAGTGTTGAGCCCAGCAAGTTGATGAAGATGCTTCACGGAGGCCGCCCGATAGGCATGGCACCAGATCGCGCCGATCACGAGTATCTCAGGAATAATGGCGGTGGCCTGCCCGGCGAGGAATACTGGATCAGGAAAATCGCCGCAGGGTGATCATGAGTCAAACCGTGACATAAATGAGGGGAGACTGCTGCCGTACATGAACTGCGAATCGATTCAATGATCAGAGCCCGCCTGGTTTGGGCGACCAGAATCCACGGCGTACCTCAGAAACTTCTCATTGCCTCTGGTAGTAATGACGCAGCCAATAGGTTGTGGTACGTTGACGGGGACTGATACAATGAGTTCGTACTAACGGTCGTCGCATCAGGGAATCCGTTGAAAAGCAGCAACGCATGACGGACGTACGATTTCAGTTGCCACAACTACGAGAGACCACAGGAATGTTGCCCATCCAAGCAACAGCGAACGATAGCCGATTGCATAGGCACGCAATGCAGTAAAGGCTGGTATACGCAAGATGAGCTTTCTGAGGGTATATATGACCTCCGTACGCACCGCCATAGAACACGTGGAAAAGCATGGCGCAAGTGACTCGCCAGACATATACGACCCAAAGTCTGCGGTATACGCCATGCATGAGCACGGACGAAAGAATTCGTAAATTGCTTTGTCGCACCTCTAGAGTAGTGTCAGTGCCTATCCTCATTCAGTCCATGATGAAGCGCACGGCTTACATCGCAGGTCTTGATCGTCGTGTAAGCCACCTCAAAGGCCAGGAAGAACACCAAGGATACATGCATAAGGAAATAGAGGCCGGTCGCCACCGACATCTTCTTGCGAGTCCATATCAAGTTGACCTCCCGCCAGAGTGTGAGGCAGCGGTCATATGCGTAGATCGCTTCACAATGATGCAACAGCGATGTCAGGGTATGTATTCCATGACGCTGGATATTTGACTTACCACACGCCGCGATCAGGGAGCAATTTGATATGAACCTGGTGTCGATTTCACGTTAGTGATTCAGCAATCAGACACAGGGCGACTCACCCAGCCTTGAGGACGACGTCCGCATCTGCGAGTGCACCGGAAGACATAGGGTAGTAGTCGTGGGGCGCGTCGCGCGGCGGAGCGGGCAGCAGGTATGTACCTGCGCCCGGAGTCTTTCCAGCCTTCTGACCTTCTAGCTAAGAAGTTTCAAGGAAGGGCGTGGATTCAATGTGTCAAGGCGGTACTACTACCAGACACACATGCATGTCCGTGCACTCGGCCACCGTGCACTCGGGATCATATCGGGCAAGCGCAGTTTCGAGCACCACGGGCGCCGACTTCTGAGGTGCATCCGAACGCTCCGTAGTTGGGCGCTGTGTTGATGACAATTCATCCGACTTAACGGCTTCGGCGTATCTCACACCCACGTGGAGAGCCTCTTCGGTACCGCCATAAGTATGGGTCGGACAGAGCGAGCATTCCCAAATGCTATCCGAGGGTCGTATTGCAGTTGAGTGTATGTGCTCAGTGGGACACGGACCTTACAGCTAACTTCAGAACGTTGGACAGTCGCCAACGCGCGCGACATACGATGACTACAAGGATCGTCCCGACATCAGCTACCGATCTTCCAGTGGAACGCTTACGACTATTTCTGGACTAGACTATCACTTCAAGTCTTTTCCTGTGGTCCGTTAGTAGCCGTTAGTGGGACGTATATCGTCATTGGCCCGTCTGCACAGAAAGATCCTTCAGGCTCAAGCCACTGGCCAGCGAAGCTGATAGCGCCGCTCGATGAAATCGTTGGCCTGGATCCCGCGGACACGGATTCAGAAGAGACTATCACTGATAAGTTGTGAGACGCGCGAGGGTTGTAGAGACTCATGGGCATTATTGGCATAGTCCGTGTATGATTCAAAGGGTGTGCATTACCATTTATAATTGTCGTATCCGGTCGGAATGCCAGCGTGGCAACGCAGTAAAGAACCCCCGGAACGGCATCTTTGGCGAGTTTTGGGACGCCGCGCTTGGTCAAAGGTAGATGAGACCGCCGAAAATAGTGTCATTCAATGGTGAGGCTAGCAAGAGGAGGTAGGTTCGACGCAAACCCCTCACGTGCGCCGTGTGGAGGGTCTTGGTTTGAGACTACAAGAGGAGGCAAGAGCGCCGATTAGGATTCCTGGCCGCGACCAGCCGCGACCGTGACAGTGCACAAGATCTTGAGATCTGGGTGGCGTGTGGCACACCCGCTGCACCAACTTGTTTGTAGACTCAGTTGAGCTCCTGGGGCATTGCGCTGACTGTGTGCCCTACCATAGCTTGCGATTCGCCACAGTGGTATGTGATATCACTGGCAAATTTGGGCAGTTGTAGCAAGGGGGTTGATGTTCTGTTCGGAGGGCGCCAAACAAGGCACAACAACCGTACGCCGGGACCGGCCGGGTTCCAATCTCGCAGGAACCGAAAAAGTATCGCGAGGTACGTACTGGGAAAGACTGTATGTTTGCAAGCAGACGGCATAGATTGGAATCCAATCGACTATACTGTGATTTTTCGACCTGAGGTTCAGTCACAGGTCACAGCCCTCTCTGAACCGGCGGGCTCTACGTGGCCCCAATATTGAGCGAAGGCGGTACTACAGCAGGGCGCCGGTGAAGATCTCCGTGATCGCGGGGCCGCGGGCGATACTACACTTACGGATGGGACAAGCCTTGACTAAGACTGGACGAAGTGCCTTAGATGGACGATGTAGTGATGCCTCGGCGGATCGGAGGATCGGAGGTGCTGATCGAGCTTGCAGCTTGCAGTCTAAGTTACTATTGATCCGGTGTACTTAGTACCCATATTTGGATACACAGATTGGCTACTTGAGGGCGGACAGCGGTGCACGTACTGGCAGGGTCGTTGCTCTCGTACATCGGCTCGAGAACAAGGCACCTGGGTGCATCCGATTACACGATTCGCATACTAAGTAAGTACACCAGTATGATCGACTTTGAAATTTGATCGGTGGTTTAATCACTACATGAGTCGCCCGTGCGCTACTACGGCGGCCGGTGGACCCCCTTCCTCCTCCTCCTCCTCCTCTCAGTGCCAGTCCGTCACGGTACTGCGCGTAATATGTCCTCGGTCCCAGTGGTGGCCATGGCCCATCGCGGCGTCTACCATTTCTTCCAGCCATTGTGCCAGTACAGGCTGCCGCTTACGCTAGGCTAAGCTAAGGTGCTATCTGATCCATGCACGGCGATACGCATGTACTTATCAGCTTCCTGGCTCGACCCCCTATGCCCTTCCAGTTCTCTTGACGGGTGGGGACTCGGAGAGGCGCTAGAATCGGCCTCATGGTCTTCAAACTTTGCATGACATTGGTGAGAGCGGGACTGACATGCGCCTCGGCGACAGGGGCCCGTCGCGCCAGCCCTCGCTCATCGTATGACAGAGCATCTAGACGATGTCATTGTGTGCTGCAATTTATCACAGCAGAATGGACGGCGTTATTGACCCCATCATGGTGGATGTTCTCAGACGGTCATTGCAGCGTATGCGACACCGAGGTACTCGGCGCTTCGACGATGTAAGCAGATACCTGCCGCAGTGTCTGAACACTACATGAGTGTACCGCCGTTCCTGCCGTCATGAAGTTGGTTTCCGTCTAGCAGAGCGAAAGGAAGAGGAAGCTCGGTCGCCGCTTGAGTGTCGCCCGTCCTGCTTGGCCGAGTTGCTATGGTGGGGAGAAGCATGTATGATGCTGCTTAGATCGAGGTCACGATGGCATTGGTCGATGTCCGGAGTTTCGGAATCCTGCATTACAGGTGAAGATGACCCTAAAGAGTTCGTGTGATATGAGTACACTCCCTACTGCGACGTGTCGTGAAATCCCAGGTCGTTAAAAGTACATTAATGGCATGAGCAACATGACATTGGCACTCATAGAGCTACGCTGTCTTCTTTGTGGAAGTATCATCCAAGAAACTACGACTGCCACCGGATGACGGACTGAGCGAACTCGATTGCCCAGCGCGGCTCTTCCCGATGACCGATAGTTCAACAACTCCTTCTTGCTTTGATCCCCGCTCACTATCCCACTCGAGATCGTTCTCCATGTCCGCAAACGCGAGGGCAGAGCCGTCCTTATATGCGAGCGACCCTGCAAGGGTTCCTAGCAGGCGCGTGCCGAACTGAAGTTCGGATAGCTGGGTTCCCTCGGAAGCCATACCGGCTTGGCGTGCTTCGAACGCTTCATGTAGGTTGACATAGAAGTGCGAGAGCAGGATGGTTTGGAGTCTGTGGAACGTGTCCACGGCTTGTTACAATTAACGGTCTGGAAGAGACGACGCACGAGTAGACTATAGGTGCCAGGATACCGGTGTTGATCGCCTGAGAAGCCCATTTGAGCACTTAACGGCACAACAATAGCACTACGTACGGTGACCCCGCTGTAAACGACGTTGATGACCAGGAGGATGAGAGCGGCCCTATGTCAGCCCGAAGTCAACATCAAGTCAACGTCGGTAGAGCATCGTATTTATGAACTTACACGAAATACACGCTACCTAATGAGACACATGGGAGTCAGCGATATGTCCCAGTCATCGAGCCTCGATCCAGGTACTCACCATCTCTGATCAGAATCGTCGTGAATGGGGTATCGAGCCCGAAAAGCTGGCGGATATGCTTGACGGCCGCGACTTGCATTGCATGGTACCAGATCGCCCCGATCAAGAGTATCTCAGGTATGATGGCAGTTGCTTGTCCGGCGAGAAAGACTGAACAAAAAATAAGTACAGGACGACGATGAGTTGAATATCATGGTAGTAGGGGAGAGATCGCCGCACGTGTGCTGTGAAACCCATTCTCTATCAGAGACAGCTAGTGTAGGTTAAGAGGACGGTTAGCGTACCTCTGAAGCTTCTTGTCGCCGTCGGTAGAGATGGCACAGCCAACAGGCTGTGGTACAGTATTCGGGACTGAGACGATCAGTTCATACTGCCATCGGTGGCTGCGTGAGAACAACGCCACCCGCAACAGCAATGCTGGAAGGACACACAATCTCGGTCGCAACGACAGGAAGCGACCAAAAGAATATTGAACATGCGAGCCATACTGAACGATAACCGATGGCGTATGCACGCAGCGCTGTGAATGCTGTTACCCGGGAGGAAAGCCGTGAATGAGGACACGGCATATACATGAGTGTCTGTACGCACCGCCATAGACTAAGTGGAAGGACATGGCGAAGCAAACTCGTCCGACGTACACAGCAAACAGTCTGCACAACGTACACAGCACATTTCAGCACGGACTGGGAGTCATCGTGAGCCCCATTGACGCACCTCTATAATGATATCAGTACGTCTTTGGTGCACGAAGCACTTCGCAGCTCACTTCGCAGGTCGTGATCGTCGAGTAAGCCACCTCAAGAGCCAGAAACACCGCCAAGAACAGATGCATGAGCAGATAGAGGACTGTCGCCACCGATGCGCTCTTGCGGCTCCAAATCAGTTCCACCTCTCGCCAGAGTGTGAGACACCGGTCATATGCATAGAGTGCTTCATACCAATGCAAGAGCGATGTCAAAGCATGCACTGGCCATGACACTGAGTGAACGCACCGCAGGCTGAGATCAAGGAACAATTCGATATAAATCTGTCACCAGCGATTATGTGGAGAATGCAGCGAGATACGAGGCGACTCACTCTCCCTTGAGGACGACGTCCACACCCGCGTTAGCCATGACTTGGACGTGGCCGACGCGCGACAGAGCGCGCAGCGGATATATATCCGCCAGTCAGGGTCTAAGAAGCGTTCAGTCCTTATCAGCGTTGTATCAGCGCTCGGAGGACTGCGTGATCATGGAAGGAAGGCCGGTGAATTCAATTGGAGACATCAAAGGGTGCGTGGAGTACGCTCGCCCACCGTACCCCCGCACTTACCTTGGGAAAGCGCGGTTGCAGCTCCATGATATGCCACCAAGAAGTACACAAGCGCTACGCGGACGAAACATCTATCCGTCTGTACGGATCAACCAAGATTTCTGTGCTGTGCGATACTTGCGCCACGACGGCGCCGGGCGTTTGCGGTACCTCCGAAGATCTCAGTTGATACGCTTGGTGTCGGTGTAAGCTTGGCACGCATACGAATGCGCTCGCTTTACTACAGAGCTCATCCCAGTACCATCTCGGACGACATTGTCGGCTACAGGCCTCGTGTCCTGCGGATAGAGTTTGTTGCAAAATGGGATAGTACATTGACTCCGGGTCTTCTTGTGTTCGTCCCGTGTGCACCAAGCATCCTGTCCGAGTCAAAGTGGTTTGTCAATGTGATGGACGGCGTAACTCACGTCAACATACAATGGATACCTCCAAATTATGACCGACGACATATGACGGGCTTCGATCACGCAGCCCAGGAGACGCATCTACAGGACATGGCAACGGAAGATTTCGCAGCTACCGGACGAATGGGTGAGCTAGATCCCCGGAGAGACAAATACAAGTGTGTACGGTACCGTGTGTTGCTGTTCCAATATCATGCCTACAAGCAATCCACTGTATTCGTACTAAGACGTCGAATCCCATTGCATTCCAGTAGAGCGTGCAGACGCTGCGGGCAAAGGGTAGCATACGGTTGCGGTCCCGGTCGGCGAATACCGCCGTACATGTCACTGATTCTCAGGACTGACGACTTACTAAGATTGACGGATGGTCAATTGACACTGAGCGTATCACCGCTCGTAAAGCGAAGATGAGAAGAGTGTCATATGGCACAGACTCGCGAAGCCGAACGGAGAGAACTTACAGCATCTGGATCGTCCTGGTGAGTGAAGTCAAGACAGCTGACTCGGAACGATATTGCCAGTAGCCTCGACTCCTACAGATAGTACTTACCCATGACCCTGACCACCTCAATCGGATACCCTCCATAATACGACTGCCCATTGCCCCAGCCGTCCGTTGCTGTAGCTAGTAACTGGTGTCAACACGCAACGTCCAGGTTCTCGGGAAACGGCATACATACTTACGCACGAGTACTGCAGTCATCTTCCTGTCAGCATGAGCCGTCCAGTCGACGTTCTCCTAATAGTTCGGGAAGCTGACGCCTTGTGTGGCGCGCAAGTTGTGCGTGTGGTGAGGATCCTCCGACGCGGCGGACGCGAGTTGCGGACGATAGCATTTCCCAATGTGGGACGAATTTGCCACGCGAATCCCTCCCCGCGAGCAACTCGCCGCCCGCCTGGGCCCTGAGGCCTGATTCATGTACTTATGTATAGTACTACTCAAATCTGCCCCATATCGAATGTCGGGTCCGGCGTAATAGAGGAGGAGGAGGCCTATGGGCGGGTTTGCGAGATACTCATAAGCGCCCGCAGGCGCTCCTCCAATACAACTTTTCTAAACATTTGGAACAGTTTTTGCGTGCGCGAGCTCAAATTGCCTTTTGGAATCATCCGTAAGTATCCCTAGGCATCAGTCACGTAGCACAAGCTCACGGATGCAAGTATGAGTGGTTAACTTCCCAGACTGATGGAGCTTGGTGCTCTCAGGGACATCATACGCCACTGACCATGCAACTGCATTGACCTTAGGCTTTAACCCTCTCCAGCGCGAGCATGCGTATCTCGCTAAAGCCTACACAGGGAGATTATGCATATTTCCCGGAAACATGAAAGACAGAACTCACATTGTGAGCTTGCATACAAATCCACGAACTGGAAAACGCGTGAAAATCCCCCATAACAGGTAGTCAGAGGTTATATCGAGCATATGGTATCTACAACTATACAGAGCCATGAATTACTGTCGTCTTCATGTATTGCTGTCATCTTCATACGAGCGCAACCTCAGAGTGGGGCGAAAGGGCGAAGCTACCGGACGAATGGTGTCCACTGCCACTCGCAACGACCGTCAGGAATGAATCGCTGTCTGTGTCGAGAATCCTAGCGATCTGCAAATCCACGTCCACGGCCGCGTCGTCCTCCGCCTCCACTTTGGAATGACCTGGCACGTCATATGCCAGTGACCCTGCGAGAGTTCCTAGCAGACGCGTGAACCAGAGATCGGACATCTGTGACGCATTGGATGGTATGCCTAGTTGATGCGCGTTCGCCTCATGTAAATTGAGGTAGAAATGCGAAAGCAGGATGACCTGTAGTCTGTGTGGTATAGTTCGACACGCCGCTTCGTCTGAAGGAGGCATGCAACGCACGAGTAGACGATCGGCGCCAGGATTCCCGTGTTGATTGCCTAAGGAGATAGCCTTAGTGTCGACATGGGGAGCGCAACGATGATGCGTACAGTGATCGCGCTCGACGCAACATTCAACACGATGATGACGAAACTTGCCCTGCAGCGAAGCCAGGTCAACATCAGCAGGATATTTCTCGCTCGTACTCACACAAAATATACGCTGCCTGAAGACACCAACGAAAGTCAACCCAGTGTCATCTCGCAGAGCAAATCACTCACCATCTCTGATCAATATCGTTGTAAAGGGCGGATTGAACCGAGCTTGACGAACACCGTCAGCGGTCGTCACCCGGAATGCATGATGCCAGATGGCTGCGATCATGAGCACCTCAGGCACAATGGCGGTCGCCTGTCCAGCGATGAACACTGAATAACGAAGATCGGTACAAGGTACGACGCAAACGGTGCAGATATTGCCGTACATGGACTGCAAATAGGTCTCATTGGTCAGAGCTGGCCTGGGTCGAGTCACCAGGGCGTGTCGCATACCTCTCGAGCTTCTGGTTGCCTGTGAAAGAGATGACGCAGCCGATGGGCCATTGTACGTCGACCGGAACCGATAGGACGAGCTCGTACTAGTAATGATCATCGTTGAATCAGCGCGTGCGTCAGGATGTAGCAATGCCCGAGGGACTCACGACCTCCGTTGCGACCACTGGGAGAGACCATAGAAGTATCGCGGACGCAAGCGCCACGGAACGACCGCTGATAGCGAAGGCGCGCAGCGCCGTGAATGCTGTAACCCATCGGGTGAGTTGAGGAATACGCGGGTTCGACGTCCGTACGCACCACCATTGATTAGATGGAATAACATAGCGCCACAGACTCGCCCGACGTACACAATGTAATGTCTGCGGTAGAATACGCATTGTACGCAGGTCAGCATCCGCCAGAGAATTCGGAGATCATGTTATTTGCACCTCTGAGACTGATTTCAGTACGTATTCTGGGTGTGACGGCAATGCAGAGCTTACTTCGCACGACAGGGTGGTCACCCCGGTCACCTCGAAGCACAGGAACATCGCTACAGACACATGTAACAGCAGGTAGAGGCCAGTTGCGACCGACATGCTCCTGCGGCTCCATATCAGGTCCACCTCTTGCTAGAGCGTGAGGCAGCGGTCGTATGCATAGATCGCTTCACGCGAGAGCAAGATCGACGTCAAGGTGTGCGAGTGGTCTGACGCTCAGTACGCAACCTACCGGAGGCCGCGATCAAGGAACAGTTCGTGACGAATCTACGAGACGGACGTCTTGTTAGTGTCGGGCAAAAGACTTGTTATAAACGACTTACCCGGTTCTGAGGACAACGTCCGCATCTGCAAGCACCCCGGTCGACATACCCTGACATGCCGTCAATGGAGGCGAACAGCAGATACATATACAGACCCGGCCCGCGAATCTATATCCATCAAACCTTCTGGCTCATCAGCACTTGACAGATGAGTCTCAAGAAGTGATGGGATACGTGGAGGTGATACGGACATGCGCTGACGGCGAGTTTTGGATTTCACGGGTTGTGCGCAAGCTGCGCGGCCGGACTTCAGGCCGGGGATGTTAGCCAGTTGCTGCGTTGCAGCGCGGCGTCAATGACTTAGCAGAAACACTAGTGGTGTGCTGAGTAGCAAAGCATGCGAGCCTTCCCGTGTTTCTTGGCGTCAGCCCGGGTCCGTAGCGCCTAAGCATCACTGTGGTTCGATCTCAGTTCAGTGAGGTCGACCGTCAACCGGTGTCAAAAGTGCCTCCAACTTACTCTAACTTGTGCCATATTCGCTGATACTAACGAACTTGACTGCTGGGAGGGCAGATTGCGCTATTCCGCATTTACTCACGTCCACTCTTGACATTGTTAACGTGGTTCGCCCGTGTGATGGCCATGCCGTCACTCACCGCCTCACGGAAAGATCCTGCGAGAAAGCGACTTTGACAGGAGGATCCCGATCTGCAGTTTGCAAGCATGGAGTGGACCACACTGACGTTGGGGCAACACAAAATGGTTCCGTGAATAAGGCGCAGCACTGTTGAACAGCTTACTCTGCATGCTACAGTGCACTGCATTCGGTCTCAACGCGTTTGGTGAACGGTCATTCTCGCAGAACTAGTGACCTCGGCGTCGTGGATACGGTGGAAACATGGACATACGCGTATGCCGGTCGCGCCCGGCGACCTAAGCTAAATGTAAGGAGCTCAGCAGAACAAGCCATGACACGTTTGTAGATAGGGCTTACTGCATTCTAACGTGAGATCTGCCGGTTTACAACAGTTTCATGAACGATACTAGATCGCATTTGACGGCGGGCGCACCGTAGTCGCCAGGATGAAATAGAGCAGCAGCCAATCGTGGTGCTGCGTCGGCTAGCATACGATGTGGAAAAGCCCATTTACGATAACACAGGGGCTGGAGAGGCTTGTCTGGAGCGCTAGTTGGACTTCGAATACACTCGACTGGAGCCCGTTCGCTACGGGGTTCCGTGGGTACAAGCCTCACCCGGCTTATATGATTGCCGGAAGTAGGGCGGTTGTCGTTTCAAGAGTCACTAGGACACGGCCTTTTCAAGAGGAGAATGTCAGATCCAACGCACTGGAGGGAAGAGATAACATCGACATTGCTCACCTCTAAACGCATACAGTCACGCAGCGACTTGGGGTCTCTGAGCGTAGCCATGGCTATACAGTCGTCGACTGATTGTAAGTCTTCTTGGAGGCTGGCGCAGTAGGTTGAGTTCATGACACGGCTGAGCGTCTGTGGCCTGGGCAAGACGCTACGCCCGGGCTATTTCCTTTTCGGGCAGCATTGTGGCCAGCCGCTCGGACAAGCGCGATACCAGAACTTACTTACTCGCATTCGAGACCTGTCAGCTCGTGAATATCCCAGAGTGTTCCAGACGAATCTACGAAAGGCGAAGACTTTTCTCTGCGCGTTCCAAGCGCAATGGACCCCAGTAGCCGTCCGACCAGCATGAGGGCTCGCCAATTCAATGCACGCGGGGCCGCCGATCCGCCAACGACCAGACAAGCCTGCGTCCTCGCCAAGCGGAAATTGTGTAATAGAGCACATACGGAAGCAGCTATCGCGGTTCATTCGTCCCGACCATCATGGAATTCCAGGGCCTCCATATTGCTCGATCTTGTACCCTGCAGTCTTCCGTCCGACACTGGAAGTTCTCTGTCCAGCTGTTTGACGTCGAGAGCTACGAACGTGTCCCCCGACTAGTCGAGGATGGTGGAATGCTGTGCAGGGCGCATGGGGCCTGGGAGGCAGATGGAGAGAGGCCGAGGCTCGATAAGTTGTCGGTGCCTGTGAGCATATGGGAGGCGGGGACGAGCACACGGGCAGAGGCGAGGCACGGCGGAGGCCACCAATCGCTGCGCTCGCATGCGCCGTGGCCGGCGTCGACCACGCAGGCATCCGCAGAGCCCAGGTGGCCGTCGTGTCTGCGCGCGAGAGTACGGCGTGACTCCGGCAGACGCATCGATTGGCCCCTCCGCCTTTATCTGGCCCCTTCGACTCCCTCAACCTATGGCTCCCCCATCCTTCACCCGCTCAACCCGTCCCCGCCCTCGCCAGCCAGCTCACCCAGCTCGCTGCTCTACCCGTCGCCGCGCGCCCCCAGACTAGTCCGTCCCATCGCGATCCGCTATGCGTGAGTGCGAGCGATGTTTACAGGCGCCCTACCTGACCGTCTGCTCGCAGGTCTCATTATCCGCCAGAACCCCGCCTCGGTCGGCGAGTACATCGCCAACTACATCGCCAAGCGGTGCGTAACCTACCAGCGTCCTGTTCTCCCGCTCACTCCGAACCCAGGATAACGGACTTTGCGCCGACGGCTGACAAGCCCTTCGTGCTCGGCCTACCCACAGGGTCGTCGCCCATTGCGACGTACAAGCACCTCATCACGCTCGTCAAGAACGGCCAGCTCTCCTTCAAGCATGTCGTCACCTTCAACATGGACGAGTACGTCAACCTCCCCGAGGACCACCCCGAGTCGTACCACACCTTCATGTTCCGCGAGTTCTTCTCCCACAGTGCGTCCCTCCCTTCTCCCTCTCCTTTCCTTTCGAGTCGTTGAGCTGATTTGGTTGGCACAGTCGACATCCCGCCAGAGCAGGTGAACATCCTCAACGGGAACGCGCCCGACCTCATCGCGGAGTGCAACGCGTACGAGGCCAAGATCAAGAAGCACGGCGGGATCGAGCTCTTCCTCGGTGGTATCGGCGAGGACGGACACATCGCCTTCAACGAGCCCGGTACGTACCATCCCCCATCCCCTCCCTCATCACCCATCCCCACACATTCACACCCTCCCCTCCACAGGCTCCTCCCTGGCTTCGCGCACGCGCATCAAGACGCTCGCATACGACACCATCCTCGCGAACGCCCGCTTCTTCAACAACGACGTCGAGGCCGTGCCGCGCATGGCGCTCACCGTCGGCGTCGCGACCGTGCTCGACGCGCGCGAGGTCGTCGTTGTCGTCACCGGCCAGCGCAAGGCCCTCGCGCTCTGCAAGGCCATCGAGGAGGGCGTCAACCACATGTGGACCCTCTCCGCCCTCCAGATGCACCCCTGGGCCCTGATCGTCGTCGATGAGGACGCGACGGCTGGTGAGTCGCTTTGTACGTGAAAGGAAACGAGGGGTTGCTGATGCGTAGTCCAGAACTGCACGTGAAGACGGTCAAGTACTTCAAGTCGATCGAGCGCGTGCAGGACGAGGTCGAGGCGATGCATGCAAGATTCAAGAAAGACGGCAACGTCGACCAGCCGGGTACCATGGATGCTTAGAGTCAGTCAGCAGCAGAATATATACGCGGTGCCCATGCATGCTTCTACCACGCAATGTATAGCCATCTCCTGTAACTTACGGCTTGTAGCATAATGGGATTCCTGAAGCGGGCGGTGTGCAATCGAATACATGCATACATTGGCCGAATGACACATTGATCCCGATGGATGCTTCAGCCCGCCTTGCGCTCAACGGCGCGCCGGGGCCCGGCGTCGGGCCATCACAAGTGTGCATCATAGTTTTGAAAAACGGAAAGCGATGACATGATGAGCACATACAAAGCATGGCCTCGGCCCGGCATAAGAATACGTGTGATGATAGTAGGCCAGCGTATAACCTCCTTAGTCCCAGCCAGTCGCAGCGCCCGCCGCATCCGCACCCCAGCCAGACGCAGCCGCTGGCTCTGCTGCCCAGTCCGTCGGGCCAGTCGTCGTCGGCTCTGCAGACCAGTCGAGAGCACCTGTGAACACACGCCAGTGAGTATCGAGACGTATCAGCAAGGATTTCTGCAACGCACCACCCTCGCCGGCAACCAAAGCCGGGTTGATGCCACCAGCGGCAGGGGCCGCAGTCGGGTCCCACTCGTTGAGGGGTGCCTCGGCGACCTCGCCAGCAGCCGCAGCCGCCTTTGCGGCCGCCTCGTCCTGCTGCTGCTTCTCGACCTCCTCGGGGTCACGGTAGAAGAACATATCCACCATGACGCTCCAGCCTTCGGGGGTGCGGGGGATGGTGCCGCGGAGACGGAGGACCTCGCGGGCGAGGAGCCACCACATGAGGCCGATGGAGTTGCGGGACTTGTTGTTAGTGGGGATGGCGACGTCGACGAACTTGAGGGGGGCATCGGTGTCGCAGAAGGCGATAACGGGGATGTTGACGTAGCTCGCCTCGCGGATCGCCTGGTGGTCCACGCGCGGGTCGGTGACGACGATCAGGCGCGGCTCCTTGAACGAGCGCGTGATGTAGTTCGTGAACGAACCGGGCGTGAACCGCCCCGCGATCGCCTGCGCGCCCGTGTTCGCGGCGTACTTGAGCACCGCGCGGTGCCCGTACGGGCGCGCGGAGATGACACAGACGTCGTTCGGGTTCTCAATCGCCGCGATGATGCGCGCCGCGAGGACGAGCTTCTCCCAGGTCTTGCCGATGTTGAGGATATGGATACCTAGGGGTTCAAAGTCGTCTCTGCTGTGGGTCTGCGGGGAGGCACGGGGGAACTAACCATCAGCTCTCCGCTTCCAGACATACGGGAGCATCTGCTTGTCGCAGTTCTTCGAGCCAATGTGGGCCTGCGCCGCGAGGAGGAGCTGGATCTCCTCGTCGGTCGCGGCAAGGACGGAGGGCAGTTTTGACGACATGGCGGGCCTGCAAAAGGACGCCCGCATCAGCACCATCCGGATGACACCCGGCCCATCCATCGCGTCCGGGCATCGTCTCGCGCCGTTCTTTCGCGCAGAGGGCTGGGGGGACAGCAAGGACGCACCGCTCGGGTTGTTTTGAGGACGTCGGCGTTGGCGACGAGGGCAGTCTTGCGGGCAGCGTTTCTGGCGGGCTCTGTGTCGTCCTCACGGGCGCTCTCAGCCAGAGTTCGCCCGTTCCCGCACAACTGTCCCACGCCACTTTCAGCGCTCAACGGATGCCGACGCTCCTGCCAGCGCTTGTGGGTGTACGCCGCCCGTTGTATAACAGAACGACTCAAAATTTACAAGACACCTCCATGGCGGTGAAATATTAGGAGTCTATGTTCCTCGTATGTCGCTTTCAAACACATAGACGGTGTCTGCATTGCTGGTACCCCAACAACAGGTTGACGGCTCACATCTGTGACAACTTGAATAGAGACTCGGAGGCTGCGGCAAGCGAGTTGTGTGAGAATCGTGGCTAGCTGCGTTCCCCCTTCTGATCCTATGGGTGGGTCAGTTCATCCGATACAAGTGATTCAGCGGCGCCGATAACTTATTCAGACACCAGGCGTATCGAACGACTGATGTTCAAATGACATGATCTTGCTCTCGCCCCATTATATGTTTCAGCAGGTATCTAATCAACATCTAATAGCCAATGACCAGTCATGACGTACTTGCGCTACTGGACGTCGTCCGTCTACGATGCTGACCGAGGCCGCCCGAGGCCGCCCGTCCTTCGAGATGCGATAGTGTGTTGGACAACAAGCAGGTCCACGAACGGTCAGGAGACGGGATATCCGGAGATATATAAGCACCAAGTCTGACACACGCGAGTCGACGATTTCACCCGCTTTTGAGCGCGTTTCGTGCAACATTTATCCTCCTACTGACAACCGGAGTTCGTTGCTGAAGATGGTCACCGTCGAGCTCTTAATTGTAGACCTGAGGGACGGCGTCGACTTACAGTCGCCCGCATACAACCGACTTCGCGAGGCCGCCGCCAAAGCCGGACTCACTCGCCAATACTACGGCAGCCCTATCGAGGATACGAAGAAGCTGTACTGGGTTCTGCGTGAGCCCCTGGTTCTCGACCAATTTCTCTCGCCCTTCTGACACATGGTCCCAACTGCTAGCCTTTGACCAAGGATTCGAGCCAAAGGACTTGGTGTGGCCGGAGCAAGAGTACGGCAACTTCTTCAAAGAGGTGCAGAACATTGCTACAGCCGAGCCCATCTCGTACTTCGTCCCCTTCGACGGGTTTCCTGAGGAGCTCGCCGCCGCGCCCGTCACGGAATTCGTGAGCCTTATCGCGTAGCCAGTGCTTGCCTGCAGGCGTAGTCGACTAATGGGGCACTTTCCCCACAGGCCGTGTGTACTTTGAAAGGCGACGTCGAGGCATACAAAAAAGCACAGGAAGCCGCTATCGAAGAACTGCACAAGGCACCAGCGGTGCATGAGGCTCGCTACAGTGTTATAGAGGTCGGCGGGAAACATGTATCGGTCATCTTCGTCGGTTGGGACTCTATGGAGGTAAGCTTCACAGGTATTGACAGATTCGCTCAGTGTATTCAAATCCTCGCAGGCACATCAAGTCTGGGGCACGGATAATTCGGGGAAGCTCCAGGCCATTGCTCCCTTCCTGGAGAGTGCGACGCTTGTGCACGTTCCGCTGAAAATGCAAGTGTAGTTTGGATGTACAATCGGATGCAGAACGGCACACACGAGGATCATTTTGTAGCCAAGCGACTCGGAACTGCCGGTGACCGCATTGGGTGTCATACTCCCGTACACAATGGACTGGTCCTGAGATAAGGACGACAGCAAGCGTGGTTGGTTATCGAGCAACGACCTCTCCTGGTGCAAATTTGGTTGACCGTTTCACTCTGAATGTACCGTCAGGCGTAAGGGTCAAATTTCTTTTCAGAATGACAGTTGTCCGATGCTCGGAGGTGGTTGGATGTTTCGCCGGCCATACGGCGCCGCAAAAAAGCATTCAGAAGTATTAGGCGATTTGGTGAAATGATGACCCGCATTGAGTATAGCCATCTGCTAGCGGTATTCAACCACTGTCGTAATAATGGGCGAAGAGTGGGCGAAGAATGATCAATATAAGAGTTCTCGGTGACGTCTTCCGGATAACACAGACAGGCTCGGACATGTTTGAAGACGGAGATCAGACGAGCTCATGAGAGTAGGACGCAATGTGAACGGTGCATAAGACCGCAATGGAGAGGCGGTATCGGTGTATAGAGCAACAGACCTGGAAGGACGCAATTGCGCTCAAGAGCCTAATGCAGACTGTGGCATAAACTGGCACTCACCTGTAGCTGTTCAGTAACACCTTTTGCAGTGCCTCAATAGCGCATCCGTCCTCGAGAACTGGCTACCGCACCTCGGGCATTTTTGTGTTGTGAGCCTGAGATGCACGGACGCCATGTGCCTGGCGAGGTTGTCGAGATCCGAGATGGCCATGGCGCAGACCTCCCTGCCAGGTCCCGTACGCCACTGGCAGAGATATTTGCCGTGTCTATCCCGCACGAAGTGGCGTTGATGGTACTTCCAAAGATGTTGCCGCACACCTGGGACACCTCTTGAGAGGTCGTCTTCGGTGAGACTAGCGCACTCGCCTTCTGAGTAGCAGCACGGCGTGGTAGCATATGAAGTGGAGGCAATCCTCGATGCAGTCGAGGTCGATGACACGGGCTGTGGCAGGGATGCTGTGCGCTGGTCGACTCCGGGTGGGTTAGAGCCTGGTTTCGCGTACGATGAATTTTCTCCAGCTGTCAATATATCGCTGGAGTCTTAGGTGTCAGTACCAGTCTAACCCAACGCGAACATAATGGCAAATAAGCTCACCCGAGGCCCATTAGCCTTACGACGGTTCTTTGCTCCTCTTCGGAAAGGCTCGGGTCCACATACGGGATGTATGCGCCGTCAGTGCTGTGGCAGTCGCTTTTGTTATATTGTGTTAGGTGAACCCATACACACGATACTCACGAGGTCGAGAGATCGCGGTGACTTGGCTGCATGTCGCGCTGGAGAACAGCTAGGCCTAGCTTAGGTAGGTATACGCTAGGGGGGCTGGCACTTGAGCTGTCAGAACTTTATATGTTCAGAGGGGGCGACGAATTCAATAGGCCTCGACTTGACCGTTGGATTTGTCAACGACAGCACATACCTAGTATTTCTGTGGGGCGGAACGCGGCATTACCAGGGACAGCCCAACTGTTCCATTCCATATTTCGTCCGGCAGTGATAACGGCCTCGTTGTGATCGGCCATTCTGCTGCATATCGTTTTGCAAAGGCTCGTCACATCAGTATTGTGTTCACTGAAGTTTTTAGTTGACACATAGACCGACTGTCGGGGAGAGCTTGATATTGGTGGGCGTACTCTGACATTCCAAGGATTTGCTGCGACGGTCGAACAGATGACTTTCAAAAACTTCAGCCGCCCACGGCGATCATCTCATCTTCGAGATGTCTATGAGACGCACGCTCTCGACCTGTGACTGTGTGGGACTGGTCTCAGCATTCCCATTGCTGTCACCACATGGGAATGTCAAGGAGAATTGTACGACATATGTAGGAGGCTGAGCGCCGATACGAAGTGGGTATTCCTCGCCCTGGAGCTCAAGTAGTCAGCTGGTGGTCCATGAGCATATTGAGCGATCAACAACACGCAAATTGATCCGCCGTGAGCCAATTTTACCGTGTTTTTCGAATGAGGGTCGCTGTTGCCCACACAGGAAACGGTGTCTACGGCACAGGATACGTCGTCAGCCGATACTGGAAGAGGAATTTCATGAAACACTGTAGCGTACATTGAGATAGAAGCCGTAGACGCTTTCTTCATTTCCTTCGAGCGGTCTGATCGTGTGGGCGGCATCCTTTTGCCGTCACCCATTACTTGTAGAAGCGCTTTTTGAAACGTTAGATCATAATGTACGGTGCGCATGTAGTCCAGAAACACACTCATACTTGCCGAACTTTCCATGCCATAGTGCCATTTCATGTCAAATAAGTTCATCGGCGAACACGAATAAGTAGCCGTCGCAGCAATAAGTTGTGCTACCGACTACACGGGACAGACATTTATAGGCCGCTCGGAAGCCGAACTGTTGGTACAGCATCAATGTCTCTGAGAACGGCACGCATCATAAAGGAGGTCAGTATGAGATTTTTGTGGCACGGAGGAATATACAACCGACCTTCCTTGTAACTCAGTCACAGCATACCGCAAACCCCAACGCCACGACAGATATGACTTCGCATACACGACGACTTTGAGTGCCCGCTCACTGCAATGTCAAACAGTCGTGACATGAGTACGTACACCTGGGAAGCCGTTCGACCACGCGCTTCTTTACCCGGTACCGCTGAGCTGTCGTATGTTCAAGTTGGGTAAGTGAGAGCGGGCAGCTTCCTTACAGGAAAGGTAACGTACTTAACTGTCCTGGTAGCTCGGCACTCCAGCGCTTCAGTAGCGCCCTGGCCACGCACACCAAGTACCGCGGCCCTCCAACCCAACTCAAACCTTCGCGCAAGGAACCACGGCAAGCAAGCGTTTGTTATGTCATGATGGTGTGTCTGAAGCAACAGAGGGGTTGATCGACAGCTATCTACTGACGCTGATTCCTGATCGTGGGGGAAGAGTCGGACAGCTATCAAGGCCCGTATGGGACAAAATTCGAGCTACTGAGGCCATCCGGGGCATATCTTGTCGGATCATATCAGAACTCAAAAGATCTTACCGGATCCTACCGGATCTCTGGAGCTCACTCCGGTTTGCTCAGGAAATCACGGAAACCGGACAGATAAGATAGGATTGTCCAGGAGCTTGCCTGATCCGGTACGATCTGGTACGATCTGGTACGATCCTGTAGGAACACTTCGAATCCTGTACCGTCTGGTACTGTCCCGACCCGGTATGTCCTGTCCCTTACTGTCCCCTCATGTTAATTCCTGTCCTGTCTGTTCATTTATGGTGAAATCCCATATGTGAATACTGGACAAAAATGCTCCACAGCTCTTCAATGGCTCACAGGCACGTCCCAGATCTTACAGGATTCTACAGGATTCTACAGGATTCTACAGGATTCTACAGGATTCTACAGGGTTCTACAGGATCTCTCCAGATCCTGTGGCTGCTGGTACATCCTGTCCTGTCCTGTCCTGTCCTGTACCTTCCTGTCCTATACCTTCCTGTCCTGTCCTGTACCTTCCTGTCCTGTACCTTCCTGTCCTGTCCTGTCCTGTCCTGTCCTGTATCATTGCTGTTTGCAAATGTTGTGTTGTGGCGCCAAAAAATAGAAATCATTGCACATTGCACACTAGTGGTCACTTGCAGAGAATCACTCGATTCTTATCCTATTGCCTCAATTTATACGCCATTTGATTTGCCTTGTTGGGCTCTAGTGCATGGTGCTTACAGCATAACTAGGGAGTAGCATCCAGTTGTGTGAACTTCATTGGCCTCCAGATTGATGGGCTGAGGACTAGCATAGGCTTCTGATAATTCATTAGGCTATTGTCCATGCTCATGAAGTTGCTCAGGTTGCATACAGACATATAATTGATGCAATATGTCTTTCTGAAATTGAGCATAGCACATACCCATGGTACATCAGTGATTCTGAAGGCATTGCATCAGCTGGTGGATTGAGTATCTTGGCAATCAATCATCAAACTGGCATGGGTGTAAGTGAGCAGAACAGCACATGTGATAAAGTAGATGAGATTGGCATGTTCAAGCCTACTCATAGGCAAGGGTTAGGTCTGAGTATTATCAGTGTGATTGAATTTAGACAACTGCTGGAACATCATGTTACTAAGTGATGCTACATGTTGACATTTGTGGCATCTCATTCAACTAGAACCAGCAAATAAACCATCATTCATTAGTATCAGGATTATACTACTGATTGACATGAGAAGAATAACACTAACAGAACATGTTAACATTGACAGCAATGAAGACAACATTGTTTTCAACATGGAGTTCAAGATGGACAGTAAGGAGAACAGTAGTGAGGCAATTTGAGGTCTCATTTAAATGTATACATGATCAGTAGACCCACACACTGGACTATGGTCATTTCTATTTTGATTCAACTTCAAGGAACAACAAAGGAGTGATATCACAAAGCTTGTTCAATAAGACAAATATGTCACTGTTCGTTACATGTATAAGTTTGGGGGAAAATAGTTTGACAAACTCCTTTGTACTGATTAATATTCCTGTGCCTTGCCAATGCTCACTTCAACAGAATGAGTACAAGATGCTCTGCTCCATATCTGGCTGCTGCCAACCCCCAGCATGGTAAAATCTCGAGTAATAGAGCTGAAGGTATCATATTTTGTATCAAAGAACAATGTACTATTATACTACCTATAATATATGTTTAGAGCAGTGAGCCACTGTGAGTTGATCAAACAGTAAAACAGAATCAATGATATAGTCAGCCCATATTTGTCTTCTTATTGGGGTGGGGAGGCAAACACACAACTTGAAGGTTACATACATGTGCACACAGTAGATAAAGGTAGTATCATTGATGGGCAAGGTACATATAGGACAGTATTAGATGCAGTCACTACAGTAACATTGCGTGGGTACAGTAGCATTGTGCTGCAGTGCAACATGTGATTGGGTACAGTGTGCTTGACCAGATGCTCCAATACACAGTGCCACCATCCCAGCTCCCTAGCTATCAAACATAATCACTCCATTTATCTCTCTATAGCCTGTACTGAGATTCTGACTGTCTGAAGTAATGTAAGCCTGGTGTCTGCACACTGGGAAATCACTCAAAGAACAGAACAGGAACCAGACTTCTTCATTACACAACAGTAGGACCAAAGAGCAACAAAGGCAGAAATGAATCAAGATGTAGGTAACACTTATGTCATGTATCACAAGAGCAGTGAATGTGTGACAATGTGAAGTAGCAATTGTGTGCAGAATTGTAACGTGCGTTATGAACATACATATTTGTATTACCATTCACGGACTATATTGCGCGTATCATGTAATTATCTAGTTTGCGTGTGTTTGGCACCAACCCCATAAAGGTTGATGCCACGCGAGTGGGAAGACAAGTCTTCTCACTTGTTGTCCTCGGATACACTGCACTTCTCTAATAGAGATTGGGTGCACAGTATCTTTGGTTGCAAGTGTGAGATGTTACAGGAATGTAAGTAAGTTGTATAATGATCATGGTATAATAATGTAGTAACCAAATGGAGATCCAGTTACAAGCAAGCAAAGTGAACACACAATAATAACCAAGAGGGCTAGTACACAACAAGTCAATGTTTACTAACCATCTGGGAAAGCAATAGTTCACTGGTCAATCAGACTAGTGTCCATATGATACAAGACTAGGCACAAGGACTAGTGACAAAATCAATACAAAGACTGGTTGAGACAACTATATTGCTAAAGGTCAGCAATATAGTACTTACTGATGTGCAAAGAATCACACTGACAGAGATGTACTAGCACTTGCAGCAATGAAGATGACACTGTCTTTGACTCAAAGGTTGAGATGGGTAGCATGGAGGGCATTGAGGTGGTGAATTGAGGGCTCATTTATTTGCATGATTCTTGAAGTCTATGCAATGGACTATGGCTACTGTTTTGAATGATTTCAATTGAGAGAACAACAAACAAGTAAGATCAAAAGGATGCAGGACAAACAAGAGACCAGGTTCAATAAGACAAAGAAAGGTCATTGTTCTTTGAATGTTCAGCTTTGTCAAGGAATGGTCTGACTGATCAATATAACTCTAAAGCCTACACTGAGGCTCTGACTGTCAAATCTTTTAGTCAATCCAAGATACCAACCAAGAGAATTAGTATACAAAAAGTCAAGTCATACTATCCAACTGGGTTGCAATCAGTTGCCATGTAAGAATTCCAGTGTCAATACAAGACTAGTCAAGAGAACTAGCATACAAGTCACAGCGGAGACTAGTTAAGACAACTAGTCAATACTCTCCTAGTCATACACATCACTGAAGGCCAGTAATATATTACTCATATAAGCCCTGTCATTTACTACAAGGACAATAGGAAAGAGTCTGTCCTTGATCAGGACCAACTAATCTCTAGGTAATTGGTAACCCCTCTCACATGTCCAACCACCACCCACCGCGGGCAAACCAGGTTGTTCGAACTCCGAAAACCCCTACGAACATCGGTCCCGCCTGGGAACCTTTACGGACTCCGAATATTGTCAGAACATGCTGCGAACATGATGCGTTTCAGCCGATTTCAGCATGTTCGGAGGCCGAACATGCGTGTTTTCGGCGAACATGCTACGAACATGAGAAATGTGGGAGCATTTTCGGAGTCAGTCAAGCTCTCCGAAAAGGTTCCCATGGAGGACCGATTTTATTATCATTTTCGGAGCCCGAAAAACCTGGTTTGCCCGCGGTGACCTGTCAGTAGCTATACATATAGCCAGGCTGACTTACCTACATAAGGACAGGGAAGGTTTGTCCTTGTTTAGGACTAATAAAAGTCTAGGTGTTGGTAACACTTTGTTACATATTCAATCAACTACCATCTGGGATAGATAGCCATATTCAGGCTGTACAAGCATTATCCATTGTCTTGAACCTTAGCATGTACTTTGATTCATGATGGGAAATGACTATGGCAGCAGTAGATTGTACTATATAAACCATACATATACAGTATATATACAATATCATATACTATACTATATCCCCGACTCCTCCCGAAGGGAGGGAGGGCTCTGTCAAGTAGAAACGATATTGCGCCGGGGATGCCGTGTCGCCGTGGGAAACTTTCGTCCATATATGGTACGCGCGATACCGCATAGGGAAACTGTCCACATGCAAGCCGTGCGCTCGCGTCTGACCGAGGCTCTGCCTGGCTCTGTGTTCCGCTCGTGCGGCCGGATCTTCCTCCGTTTTTTTCCGAGCATATATAACATGCCTCCTGCCACTATGATCGAGACATTCACTTCAACACATCTTGTCTTCCCCCCTGAAGCAGCTGCCATTTCCATGTCACAACAACTAACTAGTATTGCCCCTACTTCCCAACTACCAGATAGGGCCTTGGGCTCAATACTAGTTTTACCAGATGATTCTGCAGACTATATACCAGTCTCATCATCAGACAGCATACCACATACAATTGCAAGTGTCCCTAATGACACAGTCCAAGGCATCATGAATAGTGATCCTTCATGGTTCTATTATACTGATGATTATTACCTGCAGCAATTACAATCCCTTACCAGAGCTGAATTATGGGCTGCTGTTTGTACATGTGTTGATCAGACACAAGGTATCAGGCAATCCAAAGCATCTTTGGCTAAGCAACTACTGCAGCATTTCAACTCATCTAAAGTGTCATTGGCAAATATGTCAGATGTTCTCCTGTGCCAAACATGCAACTGCTCTCTGCTGCTCAGTTCACCATTCCACTGTAGATATATAATTTTGAAGCATTACTATATACAATTATATGGCTGCAAGATTCTGAAATGTCTATGCCAATCTCCTATGCTTTCCAGTATAGCACATGATGTTGCTCATTCAAGTACAGTTCCTGATATAGACCCTCATATTCTCAGCCAACTGAAACGTTTAGACAAGGACATTTTAGATCATTGTTACACCATATTTCAGACTGACTACATGAAGAGCAAAACAAGAGCAATGCAAATACTGGTTTCCAAGATATTGGCCATTAAGCAATATATCAGTGACTTGAGTATTGCTGAAGTGTACCAACAATACTTCACAGCTGTGACATACAGTGGCAACATGTTACCTAATGTGCCAAAGCCATGCAATATTGTTGAAAGTATCTTGATTGCATACTATGGTGATGCTGTGATAAATGCAATATTCCATAACACACTCCCAGAAATAAGGAAACAGCAGCAAGTTCAGTATCAAAGAGACTATAGAAGGTTGAAAAGACAAGACAAGAGCATACAACTAAAGCAATCATACCTCAGTGAAGAAATGAATTGGCCTACCATACCTAGCACTGAGACTGAGCTACAGTGTGCATACAATTATTGGAAAGCAACACAATGGCATTCTCCTCTTATCTGCTCTGTGTACTCTAGCAGTGCCCATAGATTGAAAACAAAGATCTATGATATGAATCAAATCCCCAACATAGTGCATAACATGTCTGTTTTGCAGGTACATGACCCATGGATTATTCAGAAATGCATTGTACAACAAAATTCCAATGAGTTCTTGTATGGAAATGAATTGGATGGCTTCATGTTGGATAAAAAAGGGCTGCTATGCAGTGATCCTATCAATCACAGAATAGCACTATGTTCAGACTGCTACAATTCCCTAAAGAAACCAGCTATGCCCAGATATGCACTGGCAAATAATCTATATAGAGGTCATCTTCCTACTGAATTTTGTGACCTTACATGGGTTGAAGAGATGGCATGTGCTATTTATCATATCACTGCCCATGTAACCTGTTTGTATGGATCTTCAGAACCTGGACAGCCAAAGATCTTTCATGGAAACACCATAACACATGATATGTATGTCATATCAACAACAACAGTGCTTCCTAGAACTCCTGCAGACATCACTGGGTATCTCTCAGTTGTATTTATTGGACCTCATCAAATCAAAGCCAGTGACCTGGGCAATACATTCAGAGTGCAAAAAGCCAAAATATGGCATTATTCTTCTTTGGTTGAAGCACCATAACAAATTATATGAGCAGATCCTGTTGGATCAGAGTAACATAGATCAATTTCCAGATGATGGTGTTCTTCCTGGTGTTGATGCTCAATTCATCCAAGACATTCACCAAAAAAGTGATGAAATCTTCCAAGAAGAAGCAGCAGGTTTTACAGAACGTCCTGCAGAGGCTTTTATGCATGACAACTCTAAACATGCAGATGATCAACCAACTGTACTGCTGGAATACACAGGTGTATCTGACCCAGAAGGAGACAGCATTAGTATACAGTAGTGATGCTGATACTTATGTTCCGCTTTAGGTCTGTGTTGTACCACTAAAAGCGGAGTTTAAGATCTATGTAGATTATTGTATCATCTTATCTACACCACCCTCACTGCTCAATCGATGTTCATTCATAATACAGTTCAGGCACCCACATGGAGTCGGGGACGGCGCTTGCGCCGCTACAGGAATACATACAGGTTTTGTGGATTTGTATGGTATATATAAGTAGCTGGAGCGTCATCAGGCTGCAGCAGGTGAAGGGCACTTACGGAGCATACCGTGGCAGTCCAGCCTTGCCCTCGTCAAACTCATGTTGGCGAGTCGTTTTCCTGAGGCCTCACAACATTCATCATCGTGACGGGTTCGGGGCCCTGCAGTCTGGGCGGCCGTTTCGAGCTGGTGCGTACGTACCCAGGCTTGCTAGTATTCACGCATCATGACGGCATGAGTGAGTGCTCACGCACGTTGCAGCATGACGGTGTGAGTCTGCAGGTGCTCAGGGAACGTTGTTTGCGTGGCACATCGCCGGAGGCTCGCCCGTCTTCGCATCGAGCGCAGGCCTGGGCACGGCGATCTTCGTTCGTCGTGTCGGCTGGGGCCGGGCAGCTGCAAAGTGCACGGAGGGGTCGCATCTCCTCGCAGACGTTGAGATGTACATTGCGGAGAGGTTTGTCGTGTTGTGAAACGTGGGAGGAGGGTCATTGAACGTTAAGGTCGGCGCGAGACGACTCGGAGCGTAGAATGCGGGCGATGTTTGAAGAGGGTGCGCAACTGGCGCGCGAAGGGAGGGGCGACGATGGTGGTGGGAACAGCAGGCTGTGAGCGGCATGCGGTTGGTGGTGGCGGTACATTAGCGGACCCATCGCATGCTGACGGGCTCGTGTTGCGCATGTCTGAGGTTTTGGACGAGGCGGAGGGTGGCGGACGAGGCACGGAGGGTGACTGGGGTTAATGAGTGAGCCAAGACGGACGGGGAGCGACCACGCACCTTTTTCGGATCACCACTGGCCGTGCTACGCCTCGCTAACCTCCCACGGCTCCAGCGATGCACTTGGCGCATCGCTGGAGCAGGCTGTCTATCGCCGTCGGAGGCGCGATGTTTGAACGCGCGGCCGGCCGACCGCGCGGACGCATTTGCGCGTCGTGTGTGCCACGTCACGAGCGCGTCGCTTGTCGACGCACTCGCAGGGTGTATTAAGGAGCGGTGGGAGTGCCCGCAGGTGCGAGGGAGGCGGTGTCAGGAAGGAGAGAGAGGGGCCTTACAGGTGGCGCATGTGGCGACGCGCAATCTGTATCTTGCTGCGGGTGAGCGTGTGACGGCGGCCTCGGGACGCTGTCGACGTCGCGGGTGGGTGAGTAGAGCGAGAGGGAGTGGTGGGCGAGACTGAGACAGCCTCGACGCGCTTGGGCGCTCACGCGACAGTGGGATTCCCACGGGCCTCCGGATATTCAGGCTCGAACCTACGACACTACGTAGTACTGTGGCTCACTTGGACAAAAACATTTATTGGACAATATCACTAGGTCATAGTGAACGTTCGACCCATTGAGCATAACGGTACATGAACGGGACCGAGCGGGACGGGACGGAAGGGGAGCATACAAGAGAGGACGTGGCAGGCAGGATATGACAGGATCCTATGGATTATGACAGGATGGGAGGAGAACTCACAGGCACATACATTATCGGACAGTATGAGACAGGATGTGATGGGTCAGGCTCATTCAGGAACTGACAGGATCGTACAGGATAGTATGGAAAGCGGCAAGTAACGATAAGATCGCTCAAGATCGGTCGGGATCTTGCCAGATCCCGACCGATCTTGAGTGATCCCGTACTAGCCCGTACTGTCCTGTACGGTCCTTCCGGATCTGGGCTGGACGCATAGGTACGTTACTAGGCCCCTCGATTTTTGTCCGATAAAGCCCTTCATAGACAGCGACCCGGTGGCTGACGCACACTGTAGCTTGAAGCCTTGAACGTTTGAACGTTTGAGTTTAGCCACGTGGCTCTTGCTCCATACTAAACACTACGCACAAGGGTTACATCCTTGGTAATCTGAATTCTTTGATGAGCGACTTTACGGTGGACCCATTTTGAGGAGAGGATACAAGTTTGGTTACTACGAGTTTGGCCCTTGTTAGTACTAGTAGTCGCTCCGGCGGGGGCTCTCGAAAGTCAAGTCGAACTCCGAGTCGAGTTCTCACTGCTAGTACGTAACAGTATGTACACATGCGCATGCCTCTTACATACCTACACATACTAATTTAGTACACTGATGACAGTTCGGTCACCATAATTCTACAGACTAGTTAATTCCCTCTGTGGGCCAGCCTGAGGCAAGAAACGCATTCGGGCGCCCGGGCCTGAGGAGCCTGAGGACCGCGACTCATCGCCCGATAGCACTTCTTCAGTCCTACAAACTACCTTCTTGGATGCATAGTTGCTTCGGATTTGACGAGATGCATCTGGCTTGCAACTAAGTAACTTTAGAGCCAGGCCAGATTAGGCCAGATTGGACGCGTAATTTGAACACAGCCAGCGAGACACCGCCGATGCAATCGCATTTGTATGAAGGGCTTTATCGGACAAAAATCGAGGGGCCTAGTAACGTACCTATGCGTCCAGCCCAGATCCGGAAGGACCGTACAGGACAGTACGGGCTAGTACGGGATCACTCAAGATCGGTCGGGATCTGGCAAGATCCCGACCGATCTTGAGCGATCTTATCGTTACTTGCCGCTTTCCATACTATCCTGTACGATCCTGTCAGTTCCTGAATGAGCCTGACCCATCACATCCTGTCTCATACTGTCCGATAATGTATGTGCCTGTGAGTTCTCCTCCCATCCTGTCATAATCCATAGGATCCTGTCATATCCTGCCTGCCACGTCCTCTCTTGTATGCTCCCCTTCCGTCCCGTCCCGCTCGGTCCCGTTCATGTACCGTTATGCTCAATGGGTCGAACGTTCACTATGACCTAGTGATATTGTCCAATAAATGTTTTTGTCCAAGTGAGCCACAGTACTACGTAGTGTCGTAGGTTCGAGCCTGAATATCCGGAGGCCCGTGGGAATCCCACTGTCGCGTGAGCGCCCAAGCGCGTCGAGGCTGTCTCAGTCTCGCCCACCACTCCCTCTCGCTCTACTCACCCACCCGCGACGTCGACAGCGTCCCGAGGCCGCCGTCACACGCTCACCCGCAGCAAGATACAGATTGCGCGTCGCCACATGCGCCACCTGTAAGGCCCCTCTCTCTCCTTCCTGACACCGCCTCCCTCGCACCTGCGGGCACTCCCACCGCTCCTTAATACACCCTGCGAGTGCGTCGACAAGCGACGCGCTCGTGACGTGGCACACACGACGCGCAAATGCGTCCGCGCGGTCGGCCGGCCGCGCGTTCAAACATCGCGCCTCCGACGGCGATAGACAGCCTGCTCCAGCGATGCGCCAAGTGCATCGCTGGAGCCGTGGGAGGTTAGCGAGGCGTAGCACGGCCAGTGGTGATCCGAAAAAGGTGCGTGGTCGCTCCCCGTCCGTCTTGGCTCACTCATTAACCCCAGTCACCCTCCGTGCCTCGTCCGCCACCCTCCGCCTCGTCCAAAACCTCAGACATGCGCAACACGAGCCCGTCAGCATGCGATGGGTCCGCTAATGTACCGCCACCACCAACCGCATGCCGCTCACAGCCTGCTGTTCCCACCACCATCGTCGCCCCTCCCTTCGCGCGCCAGTTGCGCACCCTCTTCAAACATCGCCCGCATTCTACGCTCCGAGTCGTCTCGCGCCGACCTTAACGTTCAATGACCCTCCTCCCACGTTTCACAACACGACAAACCTCTCCGCAATGTACATCTCAACGTCTGCGAGGAGATGCGACCCCTCCGTGCACTTTGCAGCTGCCCGGCCCCAGCCGACACGACGAACGAAGATCGCCGTGCCCAGGCCTGCGCTCGATGCGAAGACGGGCGAGCCTCCGGCGATGTGCCACGCAAACAACGTTCCCTGAGCACCTGCAGACTCACACCGTCATGCTGCAACGTGCGTGAGCACTCACTCATGCCGTCATGATGCGTGAATACTAGCAAGCCTGGGTACGTACGCACCAGCTCGAAACGGCCGCCCAGACTGCAGGGCCCCGAACCCGTCACGATGATGAATGTTGTGAGGCCTCAGGAAAACGACTCGCCAACATGAGTTTGACGAGGGCAAGGCTGGACTGCCACGGTATGCTCCGTAAGTGCCCTTCACCTGCTGCAGCCTGATGACGCTCCAGCTACTTATATATACCATACAAATCCACAAAACCTGTATGTATTCCTGTAGCGGCGCAAGCGCCGTCCCCGACTCCATGTGGGTGCCTGAACTGTATTATGAATGAACATCGATTGAGCAGTGAGGGTGGTGTAGATAAGATGATACAATAATCTACATAGATCTTAAACTCCGCTTTTAGTGGTACAACACAGACCTAAAGCGGAACATAAGTATCAGCATCACTACTGTATACTAATGCTGTCTCCTTCTGGGTCAGATACACCTGTGTATTCCAGCAGTACAGTTGGTTGATCATCTGCATGTTTAGAGTTGTCATGCATAAAAGCCTCTGCAGGACGTTCTGTAAAACCTGCTGCTTCTTCTTGGAAGATTTCATCACTTTTTTGGTGAATGTCTTGGATGAATTGAGCATCAACACCAGGAAGAACACCATCATCTGGAAATTGATCTATGTTACTCTGATCCAACAGGATCTGCTCATATAATTTGTTATGGTGCTTCAACCAAAGAAGAATAATGCCATATTTTGGCTTTTTGCACTCTGAATGTATTGCCCAGGTCACTGGCTTTGATTTGATGAGGTCCAATAAATACAACTGAGAGATACCCAGTGATGTCTGCAGGAGTTCTAGGAAGCACTGTTGTTGTTGATATGACATACATATCATGTGTTATGGTGTTTCCATGAAAGATCTTTGGCTGTCCAGGTTCTGAAGATCCATACAAACAGGTTACATGGGCAGTGATATGATAAATAGCACATGCCATCTCTTCAACCCATGTAAGGTCACAAAATTCAGTAGGAAGATGACCTCTATATAGATTATTTGCCAGTGCATATCTGGGCATAGCTGGTTTCTTTAGGGAATTGTAGCAGTCTGAACATAGTGCTATTCTGTGATTGATAGGATCACTGCATAGCAGCCCTTTTTTATCCAACATGAAGCCATCCAATTCATTTCCATACAAGAACTCATTGGAATTTTGTTGTACAATGCATTTCTGAATAATCCATGGGTCATGTACCTGCAAAACAGACATGTTATGCACTATGTTGGGGATTTGATTCATATCATAGATCTTTGTTTTCAATCTATGGGCACTGCTAGAGTACACAGAGCAGATAAGAGGAGAATGCCATTGTGTTGCTTTCCAATAATTGTATGCACACTGTAGCTCAGTCTCAGTGCTAGGTATGGTAGGCCAATTCATTTCTTCACTGAGGTATGATTGCTTTAGTTGTATGCTCTTGTCTTGTCTTTTCAACCTTCTATAGTCTCTTTGATACTGAACTTGCTGCTGTTTCCTTATTTCTGGGAGTGTGTTATGGAATATTGCATTTATCACAGCATCACCATAGTATGCAATCAAGATACTTTCAACAATATTGCATGGCTTTGGCACATTAGGTAACATGTTGCCACTGTATGTCACAGCTGTGAAGTATTGTTGGTACACTTCAGCAATACTCAAGTCACTGATATATTGCTTAATGGCCAATATCTTGGAAACCAGTATTTGCATTGCTCTTGTTTTGCTCTTCATGTAGTCAGTCTGAAATATGGTGTAACAATGATCTAAAATGTCCTTGTCTAAACGTTTCAGTTGGCTGAGAATATGAGGGTCTATATCAGGAACTGTACTTGAATGAGCAACATCATGTGCTATACTGGAAAGCATAGGAGATTGGCATAGACATTTCAGAATCTTGCAGCCATATAATTGTATATAGTAATGCTTCAAAATTATATATCTACAGTGGAATGGTGAACTGAGCAGCAGAGAGCAGTTGCATGTTTGGCACAGGAGAACATCTGACATATTTGCCAATGACACTTTAGATGAGTTGAAATGCTGCAGTAGTTGCTTAGCCAAAGATGCTTTGGATTGCCTGATACCTTGTGTCTGATCAACACATGTACAAACAGCAGCCCATAATTCAGCTCTGGTAAGGGATTGTAATTGCTGCAGGTAATAATCATCAGTATAATAGAACCATGAAGGATCACTATTCATGATGCCTTGGACTGTGTCATTAGGGACACTTGCAATTGTATGTGGTATGCTGTCTGATGATGAGACTGGTATATAGTCTGCAGAATCATCTGGTAAAACTAGTATTGAGCCCAAGGCCCTATCTGGTAGTTGGGAAGTAGGGGCAATACTAGTTAGTTGTTGTGACATGGAAATGGCAGCTGCTTCAGGGGGGAAGACAAGATGTGTTGAAGTGAATGTCTCGATCATAGTGGCAGGAGGCATGTTATATATGCTCGGAAAAAAACGGAGGAAGATCCGGCCGCACGAGCGGAACACAGAGCCAGGCAGAGCCTCGGTCAGACGCGAGCGCACGGCTTGCATGTGGACAGTTTCCCTATGCGGTATCGCGCGTACCATATATGGACGAAAGTTTCCCACGGCGACACGGCATCCCCGGCGCAATATCGTTTCTACTTGACAGAGCCCTCCCTCCCTTCGGGAGGAGTCGGGGATATAGTATAGTATATGATATTGTATATATACTGTATATGTATGGTTTATATAGTACAATCTACTGCTGCCATAGTCATTTCCCATCATGAATCAAAGTACATGCTAAGGTTCAAGACAATGGATAATGCTTGTACAGCCTGAATATGGCTATCTATCCCAGATGGTAGTTGATTGAATATGTAACAAAGTGTTACCAACACCTAGACTTTTATTAGTCCTAAACAAGGACAAACCTTCCCTGTCCTTATGTAGGTAAGTCAGCCTGGCTATATGTATAGCTACTGACAGGTCACCGCGGGCAAACCAGGTTTTTCGGGCTCCGAAAATGATAATAAAATCGGTCCTCCATGGGAACCTTTTCGGAGAGCTTGACTGACTCCGAAAATGCTCCCACATTTCTCATGTTCGTAGCATGTTCGCCGAAAACACGCATGTTCGGCCTCCGAACATGCTGAAATCGGCTGAAACGCATCATGTTCGCAGCATGTTCTGACAATATTCGGAGTCCGTAAAGGTTCCCAGGCGGGACCGATGTTCGTAGGGGTTTTCGGAGTTCGAACAACCTGGTTTGCCCGCGGTGGGTGGTGGTTGGACATGTGAGAGGGGTTACCAATTACCTAGAGATTAGTTGGTCCTGATCAAGGACAGACTCTTTCCTATTGTCCTTGTAGTAAATGACAGGGCTTATATGAGTAATATATTACTGGCCTTCAGTGATGTGTATGACTAGGAGAGTATTGACTAGTTGTCTTAACTAGTCTCCGCTGTGACTTGTATGCTAGTTCTCTTGACTAGTCTTGTATTGACACTGGAATTCTTACATGGCAACTGATTGCAACCCAGTTGGATAGTATGACTTGACTTTTTGTATACTAATTCTCTTGGTTGGTATCTTGGATTGACTAAAAGATTTGACAGTCAGAGCCTCAGTGTAGGCTTTAGAGTTATATTGATCAGTCAGACCATTCCTTGACAAAGCTGAACATTCAAAGAACAATGACCTTTCTTTGTCTTATTGAACCTGGTCTCTTGTTTGTCCTGCATCCTTTTGATCTTACTTGTTTGTTGTTCTCTCAATTGAAATCATTCAAAACAGTAGCCATAGTCCATTGCATAGACTTCAAGAATCATGCAAATAAATGAGCCCTCAATTCACCACCTCAATGCCCTCCATGCTACCCATCTCAACCTTTGAGTCAAAGACAGTGTCATCTTCATTGCTGCAAGTGCTAGTACATCTCTGTCAGTGTGATTCTTTGCACATCAGTAAGTACTATATTGCTGACCTTTAGCAATATAGTTGTCTCAACCAGTCTTTGTATTGATTTTGTCACTAGTCCTTGTGCCTAGTCTTGTATCATATGGACACTAGTCTGATTGACCAGTGAACTATTGCTTTCCCAGATGGTTAGTAAACATTGACTTGTTGTGTACTAGCCCTCTTGGTTATTATTGTGTGTTCACTTTGCTTGCTTGTAACTGGATCTCCATTTGGTTACTACATTATTATACCATGATCATTATACAACTTACTTACATTCCTGTAACATCTCACACTTGCAACCAAAGATACTGTGCACCCAATCTCTATTAGAGAAGTGCAGTGTATCCGAGGACAACAAGTGAGAAGACTTGTCTTCCCACTCGCGTGGCATCAACCTTTATGGGGTTGGTGCCAAACACACGCAAACTAGATAATTACATGATACGCGCAATATAGTCCGTGAATGGTAATACAAATATGTATGTTCATAACGCACGTTACAATTCTGCACACAATTGCTACTTCACATTGTCACACATTCACTGCTCTTGTGATACATGACATAAGTGTTACCTACATCTTGATTCATTTCTGCCTTTGTTGCTCTTTGGTCCTACTGTTGTGTAATGAAGAAGTCTGGTTCCTGTTCTGTTCTTTGAGTGATTTCCCAGTGTGCAGACACCAGGCTTACATTACTTCAGACAGTCAGAATCTCAGTACAGGCTATAGAGAGATAAATGGAGTGATTATGTTTGATAGCTAGGGAGCTGGGATGGTGGCACTGTGTATTGGAGCATCTGGTCAAGCACACTGTACCCAATCACATGTTGCACTGCAGCACAATGCTACTGTACCCACGCAATGTTACTGTAGTGACTGCATCTAATACTGTCCTATATGTACCTTGCCCATCAATGATACTACCTTTATCTACTGTGTGCACATGTATGTAACCTTCAAGTTGTGTGTTTGCCTCCCCACCCCAATAAGAAGACAAATATGGGCTGACTATATCATTGATTCTGTTTTACTGTTTGATCAACTCACAGTGGCTCACTGCTCTAAACATATATTATAGGTAGTATAATAGTACATTGTTCTTTGATACAAAATATGATACCTTCAGCTCTATTACTCGAGATTTTACCATGCTGGGGGTTGGCAGCAGCCAGATATGGAGCAGAGCATCTTGTACTCATTCTGTTGAAGTGAGCATTGGCAAGGCACAGGAATATTAATCAGTACAAAGGAGTTTGTCAAACTATTTTCCCCCAAACTTATACATGTAACGAACAGTGACATATTTGTCTTATTGAACAAGCTTTGTGATATCACTCCTTTGTTGTTCCTTGAAGTTGAATCAAAATAGAAATGACCATAGTCCAGTGTGTGGGTCTACTGATCATGTATACATTTAAATGAGACCTCAAATTGCCTCACTACTGTTCTCCTTACTGTCCATCTTGAACTCCATGTTGAAAACAATGTTGTCTTCATTGCTGTCAATGTTAACATGTTCTGTTAGTGTTATTCTTCTCATGTCAATCAGTAGTATAATCCTGATACTAATGAATGATGGTTTATTTGCTGGTTCTAGTTGAATGAGATGCCACAAATGTCAACATGTAGCATCACTTAGTAACATGATGTTCCAGCAGTTGTCTAAATTCAATCACACTGATAATACTCAGACCTAACCCTTGCCTATGAGTAGGCTTGAACATGCCAATCTCATCTACTTTATCACATGTGCTGTTCTGCTCACTTACACCCATGCCAGTTTGATGATTGATTGCCAAGATACTCAATCCACCAGCTGATGCAATGCCTTCAGAATCACTGATGTACCATGGGTATGTGCTATGCTCAATTTCAGAAAGACATATTGCATCAATTATATGTCTGTATGCAACCTGAGCAACTTCATGAGCATGGACAATAGCCTAATGAATTATCAGAAGCCTATGCTAGTCCTCAGCCCATCAATCTGGAGGCCAATGAAGTTCACACAACTGGATGCTACTCCCTAGTTATGCTGTAAGCACCATGCACTAGAGCCCAACAAGGCAAATCAAATGGCGTATAAATTGAGGCAATAGGATAAGAATCGAGTGATTCTCTGCAAGTGACCACTAGTGTGCAATGTGCAATGATTTCTATTTTTTGGCGCCACAACACAACATTTGCAAACAGCAATGATACAGGACAGGACAGGACAGGACAGGACAGGAAGGTACAGGACAGGAAGGTACAGGACAGGACAGGAAGGTATAGGACAGGAAGGTACAGGACAGGACAGGACAGGACAGGATGTACCAGCAGCCACAGGATCTGGAGAGATCCTGTAGAACCCTGTAGAATCCTGTAGAATCCTGTAGAATCCTGTAGAATCCTGTAGAATCCTGTAAGATCTGGGACGTGCCTGTGAGCCATTGAAGAGCTGTGGAGCATTTTTGTCCAGTATTCACATATGGGATTTCACCATAAATGAACAGACAGGACAGGAATTAACATGAGGGGACAGTAAGGGACAGGACATACCGGGTCGGGACAGTACCAGACGGTACAGGATTCGAAGTGTTCCTACAGGATCGTACCAGATCGTACCAGATCGTACCGGATCAGGCAAGCTCCTGGACAATCCTATCTTATCTGTCCGGTTTCCGTGATTTCCTGAGCAAACCGGAGTGAGCTCCAGAGATCCGGTAGGATCCGGTAAGATCTTTTGAGTTCTGATATGATCCGACAAGATATGCCCCGGATGGCCTCAGTAGCTCGAATTTTGTCCCATACGGGCCTTGATACATTTGACTGGATACTAAGCGTGTTCATTGGCAGTGTATGCTGCGCTTCACGGTATGCCACACGACATTTCGATGGTAGCAGAAGACAAATACACAGAGCGCGGGGACCACAGCGTGAGTGCCTTGCTCAAATGGATGACGAATAGCCAAAAGCCCTAACACACGGGCCTCGCGTTTGGCGGCACGCGCAATCTACATTATCTCATAAAAGTACCGTCAGGGTTCCATCCCTCGAGAAGTGCACCAGCGCGCTCATGCACGATCTCCGACTGCCCACCCATCGGGCTGGGCCTCCGATACTCGTAGGGCGGGTACTTATACAACTCGCGCAAACCGTATGAAATACGAGGCCCGACACAATTGGAAAAGTCGTGTGACGGAACCCTAGCCCACTCGAGAGCACGGACTAAGAGTACCAATTGGCAATGTTAGTGAGGCATATCCACGCTTTGTTAGTGCACTTTCAACAGCAACATCAAGGCCAATCACACACGGGTGCTGGACCACTATCGCTCATCTACCGCGAGCCCCAACACCTGCCACTCCCTCTGCACGTCCGCATACACATTCCGTATGACCTCTGCGTGCGCCTCCGACCGCACGCGAAACGCAGCCGGGAATATCTTCGGCACGGGGATGAAGCCGTCCGTCCAGGTCGTCTCCTCGTCGTTCGGGTCCGGGAGGCGGGCGGGCGGGCAGGAGATGTCGAGGCCCCATAGCAGGCGCGTGAGGACGATGAAGAGCGAGGCCTCGGCCATGTAACTGCCCTGACAGAAGCGCCGGCCCCATCCGAAGGCGTACCTGAAGGTGGTATGAGTGAGTGACTAGCAGCCTCAGAGTTACAGAGACCCATACTGGTCGCGATCTTGCGAGGTCGGCCCGCTCGCCCAGCGGGTGGGCTTTCCGGGTGTGTACCACCGCTCGGGGCGGAAGGCGAGCGGGTCGGGGTACCGGGAGGCGTCCATGTGGATTGCCCAGATGTTGCCGATCACGGTTGTCCCTTTCGGTATGAAGTATCCCTCGTAGACGTCGTCTGCATCTGCGCGATGAGGTACACCTACTCCAAGGAACTGTAAGTACAGCAGGCGGAGAACGACAGCAAGACAAAGAACGCACCCATGATGGTCGGAGGACGACGCCGGAGTGTCTCCTTGATGCAAGCAATGACCCACGGCAACCTCTCTTCGTCTTCCCAACTAGGCAAGCGCCCCTGAGCCACCGGCACGACCTCGTCAACCTCTAGCTGTGCGCGCTTGAGTGCGTCGGGGTTGTGAAGCATGAACATGATGAACGTCTCGATCGTCGCCGCAGTTGTATCTGAGCCCGCCTCGAGCATCGACCCTGCAGTGTACGCCAGTAATTTGTCGCGCATCCATCCGGAGGCGCTGGTGTCCGAAGGACCTGCTGGGGCGGTGGAAGAGACCCCGCCGCCGGGGAGGTCTTCTAGCCCAGCGTCGGCTCGTGCCCGCAGGTAGGTCGGGACGAAGCCCGCGAGGGCGATCCCGGACTTAAAGGTTGCGCGGCACTCCTCAAGGAGTCGGCCCCAGAGGTCCATCTCCCTGTCGAGGTGCAGTGAGTGGGAAGCTGGGGGCTGCGTAGAGGATCGGAAGCTGACCAGACGTGCATCTTACGCGCTTCAATCCGCCAAGGTGCGAGGAAGTCGGGAAGCCATCGCAAAACTGAGAAGCCGTCCGCCCTAGGTTCAGAGGGTTAGCTGCGCGAGGCTTGTGCGGAGAAGTGCATATCGTACATGTAGTTGCCTGGTTGAGATACTTTAGTAAAGTTTCCCATCACATTGTAGATGCGGTGACTATTACACTGTATCAATGTCATGACCTCTACCCAACTCGGATGAAGGGCTCACAGGTAGGGATGACCGATCAATCTGTTGACGCGTTGACCATATGTCATGTTCAGAACTACTCCCGTTGTCTGAAGGAATGATCAGCATCGACCGCGGTCACGATAGTCGAGTATGTAAGCGCACGTATCGCCTGATTATTGCAAACCAGTGCCTCTCAGGAACCTCGCCACTAGGGCCCTGGATGTGTTCCTCAATGACACTCTGGTCACCGTGCAGAAGTAGATCATGCATCAGGACGCGCGACTCAAACTCTTGCATCCTGCGAAGCTGACGTGAAGGACCAGGGCCGATGACACCCTGCAGTGCTCGCCGTACGACCTAAGCAACCGAGTCGTCAATAAGCTAACACATTATTTGTTGAGCTCAAAATGCCACACACCCGCCAGGCATGCTCATAGCCCAGGAAAACCATGCGCTGCCCGTCACTGACAAGGTCCATTGCAACGTGTGGGCTAGCACGTCCGGAGTAGATCGTGCCACGGTTGACGAGGAGTTCATCAGCGGCCTCGGCTGTATTCAGGACGACCATTTGCGTGAAGCCCATGCGGACGCGGAAGATGGGGCCATACTCGCGTGCCCACGCGAGAAACTGTGAACAATATGAGTGACAGCAAATCTATGTAGTGACGCAAGCTCACTTGCGGGTAGGGTCGGAGAACATTGACTTGGAGGAGGTTGCCGAGGACAGGAATTCCCGTGGGTCCGGGTGGATGTGGAGTGCCACGATACTGAGAACTCCGTCTCTGAGCAAAGACGTAAAGCAGGATGCTCAGTAGCAGAGTACTCAAGACGACTGTATAGTCGAGGGTCGTGACGTCGCGCAGCTGGACGTCGCTCATGGTGAAGCTATCAGGAGTACCCACCTTGGGCAGGGGATATATAGTCAGAACTGACGGCGGTGCAGTACATAACCTGCCTCGTGAGTAACCTGCCTATACACGATAGGGTTCGAGAAGGCGGGGCAGGTCAGTTGACGAGGGCCAATTCCCACTCCCATCACATCAGGGGCATGACGATGCAGAGTCTCAGTATATGGTAGGCACCTTCCAGCCATGACTAAGTGCGCTCGAGTTGTCGCCAACTTGCGTACCACTGCACGTCGGTCCTAGTTTTCCGTGGAGAATGGCTGTAAGATGAGTAAATGCACTCAGGCCCACGTAGAACTGTTGTACGTACACAATCGAGGATATCTCCCTCGGTGAGATCCCGTCGAACAGCTTGCCTTACCTTGACCTTCCTCTTCATCCGCTGATCGCCACGCAGCACCCAGAGTCAGCACTCACATCCTGATCATGTCGAAGCTCCCCGAGAGCACCATGCCCGCTTCAATCTCTCATGGGCCTTGTGACCCATTTTGCAGAAGGTTCAGACGCGAACAACAACACGTGCTTCCCGCGCGAAGCACAACTCTTCTGTGAGTAGTAACAAGCGAGTGGGGATCGATGAAGGGAGGGCAATTGAAGGAAGTGCTGGATGCGGAGTCGTTCAAGAGGCTGAAGTGGGAGAACTTGTTCTCGGTGGGAGTTCTGCCGAGCATAGGCAATACACGCAGTAACGAATTGCGAAGAAATCACTAAACGAGTAGACGAGCGGGTCGATATAAAAGAATCGGGGTAGAACACGGAAGAACTCACTTGTGACAACTTCTGTGATAGTTCAAGAGATTGCGCTAGAGAGCTGGGTGAACGGGCTGGTTAAGCGAACTGGCTGGGCGATTTGGCTGAGTCGTTCGATGACGAGGGAGGGCGAAACAAACATTAGAACAATGTGTAAGTACATAAGTGGTTGTCCGTGAGCGTGGAACAGTACGCACGTTTGCACGCGTGGTGTTCAGATGGGCGTCTAGACGATGGCACGTGGTATGAACGTCGAAGATCTAGATCGACGCACGTACGCCCAAGCACTTGGCAGTCAGAGTGAGTCTACCTGAATCTACCCCATCTTGGACGACCATCGCTTAGTCCCAACTGCTGCAGCTTCAAGCATGGCCTTGAATCAGAACCAAAAACCTCCATCAGGGGCATACATTCATACAGTACGAGAGTCAGCCCGTAGTGCACGAGAACGGGCCAACATCACTGTGAGTGCTCGCGAACCTCGCGTTGGATGCGCTGGGTGGCTCGATGCAGCTATATCGACCCTCTTTAAATAACACTGACGCTCTACTCTACCCATCAGATCACAGACGAGGGGATACAGCGCCTCCTCCTCTCTCCCGCCTTTACGCTGACCTTTCCCCGCCTTCGCACCGCACACGGGTATGCCCTGCCGCTCGCCTTCCCCTCCCCCGCCGCGGAGCTCAACGTCCTCGCCATTCTCTCACTGCTCAACTTCGGCTCAGGCTACCGCGTCCCGCTTCATGCTGCGACGGGCCGCGGTGCATTTGACACGATACGTGCGTTCATCTTCGGGATGTACATCTCTTCCGACGCGGGGGAGAATTACTTGACGGCGAGAGGGATGAGCAATATCAGCACGCAGACGGTCGCGGAGCTACTTGGCGTGGCGGGCAAGATACACGTGGAGAAGGCGCACGAAAGCATCCCGGGCCTGATGGTAGGCGAGCTGGGCGGAGAGGTGTGGGAGCTTGTGAGACTAGTGACGCGGGTGATGAACGAGACGGGCGAAGTGCTCGTCGAGGGGGGATATCCTGACTTGGGAGCGTTCGTCCTTGAGGCGCTGAGAGAGGGAAAGAAGGCGAAGGATGAGGAGACATCTTGCGATGTTGTCCTCGAGCGGGTGAGTGCCCGCCCTATTGGAAGAAATGACATACAATTGAGGGGACATGTAGCTCGTGCGCGGCATCCCCGCTTTCCGGGACATAGCCATTGTAGAAGGAAATCGTACGTCTCTGATACCCTATCCCCTCGGATGGTAGACTGACCCAACGGCCAGCGATATACTGCTTCAAGAAGGCTCTCCTCACAATACACTCGATCGCGCGACGCTTCGGAATCTCAAACTCAGGATCCTCTATCCCCGTCCCACCGGGTACAGAGAGGCTCCCCATCTTCGTCGACAACGTCATTCCGTCGCTGCTCGTTCACCTCGGCGTCCTTGACTTGTCGACTTCCACGCCGTCATTAGGCCTCGCGAAAATCTTCCCTGACGCTGGAACCCCTGAGAAGCTCTCCTCGTTACTCGCAGAGGCGGCAAACACTAGTGATCCCAAGACTGCGCGCGACCGCACGAAGGAGCCCCCCGAGGAAGGGCCGGTGCTCACCGTAGAGCAGGCATACGTCCTTCGGGCGGCGGCAATCGACGCGTGCGAACGAATCGTGAAGGTTGCGAGGACGTTGGACACCAACGGGCGGGAGGACCTGGTATGGATGAAGGAGATCACACCTCCAGAGGTGGACGCGTGGTTGTGGGCGGTTGCGAAGGATCGGCCGGACTATAGGAAACTGACGCGGTTTGTACTGAGGGATACCCCGTTCTTCTGACAGTTGGTGCGCGCAGTGTTGAGCATGGCGCTTGTGATCACTGCCTTAAGTTCGGTGTGCGTAAACATGCTGTCTGGCAAAGTAGTTACAAGGTGCGTGCCCGGCCTCGCTGAGATGATGTGCAACTGCTCATTCGGACATTCATTCACCCTAAACAGGTGTTCATACGACAAACGTAGACACGTAAGGATCGCGGGACTCCGATCGTGCCGCGACTTCTGACTCCAGGATAAGGTCCGAAGAGCACCTCGCCTCGGGGAACAGTCATCGACTTCAAATGGATCGAGCCACGGATCCAGTCCAAGGCATTCCAAGTCGTCACGGAGATAGTGCCGGCGCCATCGTCGTGGACCGCTCGGTGCATATAAATGGATCATTGTGAGCGGCCTTCTGACAGATCACTGCGACTAGAATCCTCATCCAATTTCATACTCCAGTATCTAAGTTCGAATCCGTCAAAGTAGATTCCTGTCAGTGCGCGGGATCTCAACTTGAAGGACCCACCATCGGTGCGATTGCATAGGACGGCGTAAGCATGATTATACGCTGCAAGCTTCCGTTCTGCGCTAGAGCGTTGGTTACTGTTTTTTTTGCAGGGCGGACCCTTACAGCACTGTCAGGCTCACGAATTGACTGATATGGGCTTCCGTGCACGCTGATAGAGGGGGCGTACCAAATTCCACAACGTTTCCTCACGGACTGTAGTTTCCCAATCAAACCCCTCACGCTATCCCCGCAAGGTACGACTTGGATTCCACACGATTCATCCACAAGATGACACTGCCCACGCGCACGAACCTTCCAAGTTCCAACGCATTGCGCCCGATCCGACTGCATCGAGTGACCGTATCGAGCGCGCCGGACACTCGAACCTTCGTGGAGTACCTGAACTCTCGCGGAATGATTCCGACGACGCGGGAGTCTCTACGACAGCTCCGCTTCGCTGCCACTGCATACGACGTCCACCCCGCATGACAAATGACTCCGCCGTCCTGGACGGTGGACCTGCAAATGCAATGCCACGACACAGTTGGTTGTCGGCATTTGAATGGTCTTGTGCGTTAAGGAGTATCGGACTAACCTGCTCAGTACTCAGGCCTCAAAGCTTCAGCTTCAGGCCCGAGTCTGGTGCGCGCCCGGCGGTGACATGCTGCGCTGGATCCACCTGACGGCGCTACCTAAGCACAAGGCTAGAGTCGATGGCTCAGGCTGCGGCAGTCTCCCTCCTTCTTGCCCTCTCGGATGGCTTTGGATGATGTTTGTTCTCGAACGTGTCCTCTTCTCTGTTGCAGGCCACTCGGTTCCTTGTTGTATGGGGAAAACGTTCGTTGAATACTCGAAGACGGAGCATGCGCACAACGTCGAATCTCTACGCGTAGAGTATGCTACATTTCCGTCGGATGAAAACCCATATCGGTGCGCTCTGGACTTGCGATACGGGATCTCATAATTGGCGACACTGACAGGTACAACTGTACAAGAGAGCGCCATAGCAGTGAGGTTGTGCAACTCGTGGGCTAATGTGAGGTTTGGGAGCGCGGTATTCGTACATATTCCAGATCGCTGACGTTCTCGAGGAAAATGCACCTGCCAAAGGCGACTTCGCTGATGATTGTCATATTCAGTTTTCTATAATGATGAATCTTTCATATCTCCTACAACGATGCGTCAGTGAGTAAAGTCAACCATGTATGAGCTCTGCATTACTCACAGATGCCAAGTATAGCTATGTCTCGGAGCCCGGCTTGCTCTGATGCTGAGTACCCTCCTTCGCTGCGACAACGGTTTCCCATGAAGCGTGCGTATGATCGTGTTTCTCCTGTATTCATTATACAGTGTCTGCGCGACGATCGTGATCGGCCTTCGCGAGGGCGGAGGGGCCTGTGGGCTAAATGCACCTATCTTCGTAGCCTCATGAGAATCAGCGTATGCTTTTCGCTTCGATTGATGTCCAGGAACTGATATAACTCGTTTCCTGCGAACAGAGCCATCCATTAGTGGTCATACCCTCGCCGCTTCACGACAAGAGTGGTTAGTATATTAGGAACAAGATACCGTTCTTCATCGCGATGTTCTGATCAACTAGGCCCCTATAGTCCTCGCGACACTCCATACTTCTGCCATCCTGAGACTAGGGGATTCTGATTGATTGGTATGTCGGTGTTTCTACGTGCTCACCGTGTAGTGCACTGTCTGAGCGAATACGGCAGCAGCCACATTTTCCTTGTATACAGACTATATAATGGCCCCGCGGCGTATCTCTGTCCGCCCATGTTCAATGACCCACGATGAGCGACTCGGCTACACAAGAGATCACTGCGATTCTGCAACTGGCGTGAGCTATCATCTCCACTCTTGCTTCTCATCACTGACATACAACGTGGCCGACTTGCAGATCAGTTGAAAACAACTGTGTCCTTTCAGCATTTAGTACGTGTCGGTCCCGGAGAACGCTCGGAATGGCATATCGTGCTGATCGACATTGTGTCGCCAGCGATCTACTTGTTTGACCGCTGCCTCGCGTTCGGCCAAGAGGTCGAGCTCATATGGTGCCGTCCACGCTCTGTGGTCTCAGCGCTGTATGTAGCTCTTCAGGCGTTGACGATTCTCCAGTTCAGCCTATATATTTCCGGGGACTTCATTACCTTGGATTGCAGCGTACGTCACTGTTGAGATGTTCTTTGCATTAGTTTTGCAGCTCATTCCCTACTGCTGTAGAGGTGACGAGACTGACCAAATGTTTGTGCGATTAGAGCTCACACGTTAATCAGAGCATGGCAGACTTACATTGCTGCAACTGTCTTTGAAATTATGTACTTCGCCGTGCTTTCACGTGAGTGCGATCAGCGATGTCGTCTTGCAATGCATCATTGTTGACAAAACCTGTTTCCTAGTCATTTCTGCTCTGCGTGTCTACGCTATCAGCTCGCAAGATTGGCGAGTGCCCCTCATTGTCTTCATGTTGGCAATTATGCGCTCGGCGTTTCAGATAGTGAGCAGTAGTGTACATCTTACCAGCATGTCCGGGACTAACATTTATACATCATCTCATAGTTCAAGGTCGTCACTTCAAGCTGTACTGCTGTCCCCCCTCCCCTCGGCAGTGCCATTGGGAGCCTGGCACCCCAATACGAGACGTTCGTACCTCTTTAATAAGCAAAGTATGACACTGATTATCCGTAGGTGTCAGTATAATCTGCCTTGCTTATTTCAACGCAGATGTTGATACTAATGCGAACGCAGTGATAACTGTCGCGCTTGCCGCGTCCATCGCTGCAGATGCTATCGTGCTTATCGTCACCTGGTGTCGGACATACCGCATTCGTCGGCTTGCCCGTCAAGAAAACATTCATGCACCCTTAACTTCACTTCTTCTGCGGGATGGTCAGTTGGCTTCCCTTGATCAGCGTCGTATACCTGAGCTAACCTCGACGCGTCCACCATCAATAGGAACGATCTACTTCGGGTGAGCCAGGATGCATCCATCGCTGATTATCTGACTATGATATCATGATCTACCAACCGTGTCAGACTGCTCGTGGTCATCAACTGCCTCAACATCATCTTCGAAGGAAACACGAACCAGGTAGGCTTGCACGACTTATTTGCGATTCCAATATCTCGGGATTGCACTGACCTCGCTGTCGACAGGCCTTCGATGGCTTCGTCTTCTTTGGAACTGCGTCAGTCTCCATTCAGCAGGTACACTGACCTGGCATGCTCACCGTCTACTTGATACAGGTTCTCGAGTATCATCCTCTCGCGCTTCTGCCTCAACCTCAGGGAGGTAGGGCGCACCACAAATGACGTTCTTTCGAGCATACAGACCACACCACTCTCCGATCTGCATTTTTCTCGAGGAGTCGATGGCTTCGGAGCCTCCCTCTCGTTCAGGTGGGACGACTCGGCCGAGAACGTCGACGCAGACACAGGCGGAACTGATGAAGCAGACGTAATGGACGCAAGCCGGAGCCATGTCCATGATCTCGGCGAGGAGGCTGACGGTCTGCATACGCTGGAGGACGCCTAGTGACACCTGTTTGAGAGCATCAAAGTACCGAAGAGTTGTACTGCTGGACATGCGGCCGTATAGTCAGTGACGTTGATCGCGACTCTGTGATTTTATTGATTTGGTTGACTTGCAATATGCCATTTAGGACGGACACAGTGATAGCGCTACCAGAGTCAGTAACAGGAGACGATTGGCCGCCGTAGGCCTTCGCAATCAACGTGCCGTGGGTATGTCATTTGCTTTCCTTCGCCAGAGTTTGATGATTTGAGAACACGTCGTTTTGAGCGCATTTCCTTAACTTGGAAACACAGGTTTGAGCCAGAGTACTTGCTGACGTTCGTTGTTCGAGTGCTCAGTGGCAAGTGCTAGTGAGGGAGGGCGCCTTGACTGGAGACGGCTTACGTCAGCGCTGTTTCATCACGTCCGGACTCCGTAAGTAGTACCGGCTCCCTCCTACTTTCTTCTAGTTGAGTTCATCTCAGGTCTGCTCCAAGTCGTGCTCATTCGTTAAGGTTTGCCCGTGTTTACAAATCAGCTACTGAAGGTGACCCAGGTCTTTTAGCTGAGCGAAGGGACGCGTGAAGGTGTAAGACTACTCTCAGGATGGAGACGCGATGATGAGGCTCGCCCATCAAAGGGCCATGTGTAGATTGAAGGTGCGGCTGCGCTTCAGTACTTCGGTGTTACGCCTGACTAACTCACGACTATGTCTACACGGATGGCCCAGCTGATCGTCCATCATCGTCGGGAGAGTGCCAGTGAGTTCTTTCTCCCCGGAACTTGAGAATAGCTTGGTCTCACAGGGTTCATGGTCTCAGACTTGGCTCAAACTTCGCTATGATACTCAATCGTCGAAAAGCCAAACAACGGCGCGTGTAGTGCGATATTTCTTGCACGCATGCTCTCCAATAACGTGGTCCGTGGATCGCAGCTAGTAGTTGTTTGAACTCGATGCATCGTGATGCGTAGATTCGCTCTCTCGAACCTTGTGAGTGCAAGCCTCTGCAATCTTCTGGCCGGCTTGATCTCGGATTTTGGACCAGGGAGCGGCATGGTCATGGTCATGTTCGCATAATAATAAGTGGTCGATGCTTCTGATTTCTGAGTTTCTATTTGTCCTCGTCTAGGTGCTCATGTTCTCGATGTTCTCTCGCAGAATCAGTCAGTAAGTTTTTATGATCGGCAATCCCGCGATACGACATCATTTCTCGACGCGGTCCAACAATGTATTCGTGCGCTAGACGACTTCTGTGAGTGCTGCATGGCTCTCATTACCCCGTACCAGGCTCAGATTGTCAATTCGACGGCCATAGCCTTAGCCATAACCACGTAGAGTTACGGCATTGACTCTACTTTGGGTACGGTTTGTTGTCATGCATCGCCGTCCATGAGTCACTTGCAGTATGATAGGTCACTCGTCATCATCAACATCCTCAACGTCATTTTTACGTGACCCAAGTGAGTAGTTACTATGTGCGCTAGGAAAATTGTGATGGCCGACCAAACTCATTGTGACCAGGTCTTCAGTGGCTTCGGTTATTTTGGAGACGCGTTCGTCAACCCTTTACCCGTCGATACCATCTTTGTACTGATACTCGGCATTGTATAGATTCTTGACCATCATCCTGTCGCGCTTCTTCCTCAACTTGCGTGAAGCAGGCCTCACCGAAGCCGTTGTATCATCGAGCCCTATGAGTCAAGCTCACTCACGATCCGAAATGCAATTTTCGCCACGAGTGGACGCGCTCAGAGCGTCCTTGTCGTTCATGGACGATGTTGGCTTCGCAGACAATGACGTGGATCTTAATGAACATGAAGACCTGCTGGACGGTTCTGTTACCCACATAGCAGCAGGGAGCGCGGTATCGGCGAGGTCATGTGCATTCCGCGCAGTCTCGATGTTCTGCAATGCTGTGGCTTGTCATACGGCTAGTATCGGTCATCGTATGCGCTTTCCAGAGCTTGACTGACATACTCACCGAGACCTGCGGAATGCGTGTGACCGTAGATATGGCGCGACTCACGCTATTCGCAAGGCACTGTTTGGCGCGGAGCAAACTCTACACTGCTAAGACTTATACATTGCCTTGCATGATCTGGGGCGGAGAGTGGCCATTACTCAGGAACAACGGAAGGCGGTATGAATCAAAGACTCTGGCAATCTTGCATCAACGAGTGTCGACGACGGACAGCATTTGGAATTACATATATGCCATTAGTATGTCATAACAGGCAACGCTTATCGCAGCTGGAGCCTCTTGTTCAAACGTTCAACGTTCAACGTTCGACGCTCAAGCACTCACCCTGCTGCTTGGAACAAAGCAGACGTGCAGGTCTATTCCTCGTGCATTGAAGATCTCGTACTCCTATGCTTCGCCCGCCTCTACTGCTCATCAACGCCGCTGTTCGGCTTTGCGGAACGTCGTTGTACGTCTACTACATACATCAGATCTATGTGGGCGAACCTTAATTAAGTTTACAGCAAACTGGCTGGCGAAGATTTCAATGGAAGCCCTGATTACCTCCGCATCGTCTGATAGTAGTAGGTCAGCGACTGTTTCCATTACTGAAGGTATGCTTTCACCGCACAGCCGATCGGATTGAAGCTTACCTGCAAAGAAGGCGAGCCATTCCTTCGTGTTTGAACGATGAAACCATACTATTGCGCGTGGGGCTAGAAGAATTGTGAAGCCTCTCTGCTATACCCGGGTTTCAGCGTGAGTCAAAAGTATTGATACACGCAGGCCGTCATGATAATCGTTCATCGTCACAGCCATGAATTGGACATTATCATCTCAATGTGGCGCAGAGAACCCCTCATTCTCATCCAAGTCGGACGCCGTGCACGATCTGGGTACCAGGCAGTCCATCTGGCCGTACAAGCAGATTGAGCATGCATGAACTAATGTGAGTTTAATGTTTCAATGCTCTTCCGATCAGGCGCCAGGCTCGGAGGGGCAAAATATTTCATTGTCAAAGGGTGGTGCTCATTGGCGCCCATTCCATTTCATGTTGAAACGGTTGAACCTTCTTTCGCACAGCTATATACTCATCGTTCCTGTTGAACTGTCTAGATGTATATGTGTCTATCTCGTTGATGCATGCTAGCGCAACACTGGCAGATGCGTACCTGCAGGTGTGGTCCCGTGGGGGCCGGGAGGGCGCATTCAGTCAGTTCGGGGCCAAATTTCCGTAGCGGTGGGCGATGAAATGATTGGTAGCCACTGTCACCGACTCGGTGCCATGACTGCTCCTACAGTACTTATAGTGACCACAGCCTCAGTTCCACCTAATCACGTCCTCAAGCAGCACTATGTCCTCTTCTGTACTACAAGAACTGACAACAGTTCTACAATCGGTGTGAGTTTTGTATGGCTTGCGGTTCCTCGTGACTAGACACCGAACATGGTGGACCTCACTGACACACAGGATATATAACAACAATTGCCTTGTCGCCGCATTCGGTGAGTCGTAACTCTCGGGTATTCAGACATTTCAGGTCGTCTCATACATCTCTCCCTCCCAAGCTGTGTACTTGTTCGACCGATGTGTGGGAATTAGCCAGGAGGTTGACTATATATGGCTTCAACGCTACACCACTGTGTCCGCTCTCTACGTTCTCCTTCAAGCAGCCACTGTGGCCCAGTT